CAGGGCTTGCCATCTCTCAGTTTTCTCAGCTTGCTTCTTCCGCTCCTGTCGCCGACTCGCGGGGTCGATCCCATGAGGATACATTTGCCCCAAGATGTCGTAGACTTCGTTCCTTTCATGCGACTTTACTCAAGTGTTTATGTAGACGACGATGCTTTCTCGAAGCGTAGTGACAGCTATAGCGGATACGCTGCCGGTCAGCAGTCTGGTTTCACCCCCGGTGACTTCAGCAATATCGCTGGATCGGCCCTTGGCCCGGGCGTCATTTCAAACATCCCACTCACCTCCTTAAACCCTGGTGGAATTATTTCAGGGACTGGTGCTCTGGCTAACTCCCTCCCGCTTGGGGGTGTTTCTGGCGTTCTCGCTAACCCACCAAATGGAGTTCTGAATGCGGGGAACAGCGCACTACATAACCCACTCGTGACTTGGTTGCCTCTTGCCGGACAAGGAGTTTCTCCTCTTGGGTATGGAGGGATAATCAATTCTGATCAACTTCCTGGCGGCGCCCCATGGTGTCGGGATTCAGAATCTGCCTAATGCTGTTCCAACGATTCCTGGAGTTGGTGGACTGATTTCAAGGAGGGGGGAGTATTATCGGTATAGCTAGTGGTCTCACTGGTGGTCTCACTGGTGGTCTCACTGGTGCTGCCACTGGTGTCATTCAGAACACGCCCTTGGGCAGTGTCCCGGGCATGGTTCAAGGACAGAGCGCCAACTTACCAGGGTTGAGTATTTATGGCAGCTCAGAGGGGCCAACGTACCGAATCCCTGGTTCAGCGGTACCTAATGTCATCTATCCGGTTAGTACCCCGCTTCGCTTTTCACCCATGGATCGAATTCGAAATACTAACGACCTGACAGTATCAAATTCAATTCAATTCTGATGACGGAGACAAGGAGAGCGAGCCTGCGAAAACTCCTGCGGTCTCCCCGCCCGCGAAAGTTCCGTCCCTCTCGGGGAGTGTTCACGATAACAACATTAGCACGACGTCAGTCTCTAAGCCTAATATGAGCACGACCGTTTCTGTCGGCCTTTCCACCCTCTCCCTACCATCGTTGCCGCTCAGCAAGTTGAACCTAGCGACGTGACAGATAAGGTTCCCGATGGGGTTAAGGGAAAGCTCCCTGTGCCGAAGGACCCGACTAAGGAGGCGAAAACCCATCTACCTCATCCAGACGTGGCTCATCAACCTGAACCGGCTGCGGCTAGCCCAGCTTCCGTCTCCCCTTCTCTGCTTCGCCAGCACCGCCGATTCCGACTCAACTCGCTGATCGAAAAGCTCACACAGAGTCGTCGACAAGGAACGCCACCCGAACACACAGCGATGAGTCTTCTACATCTGCTGCACCAATGCAGGTCTCTTCGCCATTATCTTCATCTGCGTTGTAAGCAAACATCGAGTTGAAGACGGAGGATAGAGGTTTACTAGAACTCCATTCATCACCTTTTGTAGAAGTTCTCAGCGTTCCTGAATAAAATGGGTTTCTTTGTGCTTTATTTTCATACCACACTAGCTCCAAATAGAAGGAACGCTTAGCGATCTTATTGAATTCAAGGATTGCATAACGTAACATGGAAGTGTACCGAGCAGGAATGTTGCATAGTATGCAAGTAGCAAAAATGAGCGTAACAACATAGTTTGCATTCAGTTCATTTTGTGGATGAGGTTGTTGATATCATTCTCCCTGTTGCCTGTGTCACCACCTTCAACGTAGTTCTTGAACTTCCTCCTCCTCCACCCGCCATTGGGGTTAGAAAGTTTGAATGGCCACAGGAAGTTAGCAGCCTCTTTAAAGTTGGGGCCAATGGTGACAATCTCGTGAACGAGATCTTCAACCGAGAGGATGTTGTACTGTCCCAGATTCTTCTCGATGATGCTGTTCGATGTTAATGGCACGCGCTGACCGTTGACCTTGCCATGACCACGTTTGTAGATCAAGTCGCGAACTGACTTGAGGTTGGGTTCACTGATAAAGCATCACACATAATGAAAATATGAAGTGCTTAACAGAAACCATGCTTACCCATATGTAACGAATGGTTCTATCAGTCGCAGCATGTTCTGGGTTGCCTTGTTGACTTTGATGAAAACACCGTTGTTGATTTGGCGAAGACGGAAAAGTTGAAGCACTTTTTTGGGTTTGGGTGCTATTTTGTTTATACTGAGTGTGGAATCTTAGATTTGAAGGCGACACACGTTGGTGAAATCCAAAACTAACCCCTTGACACGGACGACGAAGTAAAGTCTCGGCTGCGCTTCTACATAGTAATTACCAGCCGCCTTGGCAACGCGACGGAGGCGCTGTTCTTCCCTCTCCATTTCCAAATACTCCCTGACGTAGGCTTCCGCACGGGTGAAAACTACTCTGCGCTTTTGACCAGCAGTCTATGTAGGATTCCGCAACTCGTCAGTCTATGATCCAAACACAGGGATGGAGTAAAGAGTGAGGGAATCAGTCCCGAAAGATGGTTAATTGAAGGCAGCATCGCGTAGAGCTAGCCAATTCAGTGGAATGCATCAGGTGTATGGTGAAAATGTGGTGCAAAATAAAGAAAAAATCACCCTTGGAGATTTTGCCCCTAGAGGTTTTGGAGGCTTCTCCGCGCGTTCCCTCCGCAGCCTGGCATTGATCTTGCGCCTTTTGAGGAGGGTCTCGGGCACCTCAACTTTCTAAAATTCAACATTGAGCATCCATGACAGAGCAGAGGTTGCGCATATCCAGTGAAAAAGTTCAAGTGGGTGGCCAAGTAAAACCAGAGACTCTTGAGAGACCAGCGATGAGCCAGCAGAGGTTCAACGGGGAAAGAACCAAGGATATGCGCGACCTGATAATATCGAGACTCACAGGGGCACTTGTGTCGCTGGACGGGTCATGAGTAACAATGTTACAAGAATGCGATGAAAATTACCCACGCGGCTGCTGTGCTTGACATCGTGGTTGGACGGCTTGACGAAGAGGACGACACTCGGGAATTCGCGAGAACTGTAACTGCAATGGAAATTGCCGAGACACCGGACCATTTCCCGTTCTCTGCCATGAACTCCGTTCTGAATGAGAAACATTCGACTATCAATTCAACTCGTACGGAGAAGGGATCCTGAGAATTCTTGGTTGCTTTATGGTTCACCGTGTCCTGAACTCTTCCTCTCCAATACATCGAGAATATGCAATGATGCCATTTCGATGCGTGGAACACCCTGTAATGTAGCAAGCGACGGCCCGCGAGTCTGGACAAAAAATCGAATTTCAAATTCACACCGGTGTTCATCATCGTCGTTGAACATGTCCGTGTTGTCATTATACTGTACAATAACCACACGGATCGGCCAATGCATGCTTCAATCACATGCGGACCAATCACCCTAAGCCTGGGCCCCTCTAATGTACAACCTCCCCCCCATGGCCATTTTCCCTTTCCTGTTTCCAGCAGGTTTCGAAAGATATACAGCTGATGAAAACATTCGCCTCCGAAGATCATCAACAACCGGCAAAAGAAGCGATAGTTTATCCGTTCGAACGTCGGGAAGGTTATGAGGCTCCGGAGCCCCACCCAGTGGCTGAATAGTAATAAGCATGAGCGCTTGTCGAGGTCCCTGTTTCGCGTCTCGAACCGCCCTCCTCACCATTCATAGTTTGGATGGCGCTTACGGGGTATGGTACTGGCGAAGGGCTTTGAAGTCCCTGTCCATAGTAGTTTGGCACTTGCGACCATTGCTGCAAACCGTACCCAGACGACGAGACGGAAGAGTGTCGTGAAGGAGGTGGCAGGTGCAAATGCATGTTTTCCTGGTTTGCACTTGCAGGGGCGTGACCAGGAGTCCAGCCATGTGGAACATGGGTCGTCGACAAAGAACTCGTGGTGTCAGGGTAGAGTGATGAAGAGGTGCGAGGGGAGTGGCTCCAATACGATTGAGCGCTGGTGTGTGTTCCAGCACTTGCCATGCCCGATGATAGTGTGAAGGATGTAGCGTCGGATAGGTAGGCAACATCATCTGATTCGCCGTCATGGTGGTAGTATCCCTCTGAATCACTCCGACGATAATTAACCATATCACCAACAGGTTGGCGGTTAGGTTCTATCGGACAAGCCTTCCTGTGGCGTCTCATGTTGCTCTGCGCTGAAAAGGCCTTATGGCATCTATCACAGACGAAGGCTAGGGAGAGACGGAGGTTAAGCGCCCGTTATGTGGTGACCATTTCAAGAAATATACCCACGTTTCTCGCCTGTGTGGACCCTCATGTGCTGAAAACCTGTTGTGAGCCTAAGCGTCCTGTGCAGGAGAAGCCATTGTGGCTACACTCACCTGCACTAGGCTGCTCGGTCGGTCAAAACGCGCCGTGCAAACAACGCATGGATATCTTTTGTTGCTCGGCGAACTGGTGTCACTGCGCTCTTGCACTGTTTCTTGGTGGGAGGATGAGGATTCGGTGTATGTGGCTGCGGCGTGCATGTTTGCGCTAGGACTCTACGGACACTGGTGCGTATTTAAACGAGGGGAAGGAGGGTTTCAACGAGAAGAAGCGGTGGGCAGGAGAAGCAATACCGGTGTCAGAGAGAGAAAACGAGCATTAAGTAACCCTGCATGAATCAGCTCTTGATTTAATCCACCCTTGAAGCGCCTACCGATCGAGAATGTACCGGCGGGAATTTTTTATGAAAAAAGATTAAAATATTCCCCAAGGCTTGCTCCGTACGGCAACAGAAACACGAGTCAGCGGGCAACTGACTAGTTAATTGTGAAAGGGACCGCATTTGGAAAGAACCGTTGACAAAAGATTTGGATCATATTATGCAAGGTAATTTGAATTTAGATGTGGAATCAATGACGGACGTGCCAAATAATTTCAGCTCAAGTCGATGGGAGCGTGGATGTTGCCACGCCGCCATCGAAATGAACGAACTGGGTGACGTGCGAACCTCGCAAACAAGTGAAGGTGTGACTTTGCTTCCAAAGAAGCCGCTGGTTATGAGGCCCTAGTGGGATCGTGAATGAATCGTTCATGGGAGGAAGGTTCTCAGTAGAGCATTCAAATAATTGCAGTCACCAGGAACCACTACTCTGGAAAGTCCTCGTGTCATTAGCTTTGTATGGTGTTCGGCTCGGGCTTGTTAGAATAGTTCAATTTTTGCGGATAAATAAGGTGTGTCCGTTCATTGTCATCTCTCTATAGAATGATATCGGCAAAAACAATACGATGACCCTTCCTCCTTCTAGCGGTCCACCTCCCTGAAAAGATGAAGGAAAGATCTGTTAGAAGGATGGGGGGACACAGATGCGGTAATGAGTCGCCTACCCAAATACGAGATCCTGACATCGAACGGAAAATGGTTACTCAGCAAAGTCAAATAAGTTTCGAGGTCGGAGCTTACCATGGTCCCAATCACTGCGACGGCATCGGGTAGGAAGTGCTGGTCAAGGAATGGGGTAGTTAGTACGGGACTGGTTGACTGGATGGCCGGATTTCTCACATCTACACGTGGTAAGAGTGGGTCAGGCGAATTGGGTGCCATGACATCAAGAAAATTACACTTACGTCGCATCATAAAGTCGGCACCAGCCAAATGAGCAAAACCTGGCGCTCGAATTTTGCAGCGGTAGGGCCGATTGGATCCATCACTGACAAGGTAGACGCCCATCTCACCCTTCGGGGCCTCGATCGCAGAGTAAGTTTCCCCTGAAATGCCGAATCAAATGCCGCCGAGAATCCTCATTTGGGCGTAACTAACCGGGAGGCACCGAATACCCTTCACTGAAAAGCTGTAAAGGCAGTTCACCAGATCAGTTGAGTACAATCAGGCAAAGCTCATTTTCACCTTGAAGTGGTGAATCAACGATTCCATATTCTCCTTCATTGATGCCCGAGGTGGGGGAGAAATTTTATAATCGTCCACTTTGTACGCACCAGAAGGCATCTTGTTCAAGCACTAGAACGTCATGTGAGCACCAATCGACCCCGCCCCGAACGTACGTACCTGACCAATTATGCGTAGACTTTCTCTGAACTCTTGTACGCGGCACAAATAGCGGTCGTAACAGTCACCTTGGGTGCCCACAGGGACATCAAATTCTACATCACCATACTTGTCGTACGGAGCGACCTTCCGAATGTCCCAGGGAATTCCGCTACCCCTTAGCATTACGCCCGAAAATGAATAATCCAGAGCTTGCTGTGCGGTAACCTTGCCGATGTCAATCGTCCGAGCTTTCCAAATGCGATTGCCCGTTACCACTTCCTCTATTTCATCCACTCTTGAAGAAAATTGGGTTGCCCATTTGTAAATGTCATCCAGTAAGCCGTGAGGCAAATCGAAAGCGACACCCCCTGGCCGGACATACGCCGCGTGGAGGCGGGCGCCCGAAACCCTCTCATAAAATTCCATTAATTTCTCTCTTTCTTCGAAGCCCCAGAGAAAGGGGGTGAGAGCGCCCACATCCATAGCGTGCGTGAGCACCGCCATGAGATCTGATAATGAATGAGTCAGCTGGATTAGTCTCGGGCAGGGACGGAGTACAATTTACGGTTCAGGATACGAGTGATTTCGCCAAACATGGTCCGGATCCACTGGGCCCGTTCTGGGACTTCAATGTTGAGCAATTTTTCCACGGCCAATGAATAGCATTGTTCGTTTGTCACTGTGGGCAGAGAATGCATCGGACGTCTGATTCAGTGGCAAAACATGCACGCACTCATCGAAACATAGTCAAGACGGTCGAAATAGGGAAGCGCCTGAGTGTAAGTCTTATATTCAATGAGCTTCTCCGTTCCGCGGTGCAATAATCCAATGTGCTAATGTAATATACAATAAGGAAACGCGTTCAGACTTTGCAAAGTGGCGCACCGGATCTGCTCGGAGAATTTCCTCGCCATTAAGTTCGAGAATAAGGCGGAGCACGCCGTGGGCAGCAGGATGTTGTGGCCTAAAGTCACAGGAATAAGTAACCCTTCCCAATTGCTTATGAGACAGATTACCCAAAATTGACTGGAGTCAGAAGCGGAAATATCAGATACTAAGAAACACAGGTACTCCATCGAAATCACCTGTGAAATGTCTCATAGTTGCGTCCTTACGCGTGCCGGTCTCCCTCAGGGCTTCTTGGGCTGTCATATGATGCAGATCCTCAACAGTGTGGGCATCGAGTGGATGAGAGTCTTTTGGACGAGCAACAGGTTTTCCAGACAAGTAAGCTTTCATCTCTGCGAGCTGCTCAGGTGTGGGAGTGCCAATGTTGTACGCATCGTCTTCATTTGGCGTAGCTCGAAGCCTCATTGTAGAAGATGTTATTCCTCTGGTGACTGTCAGGTGAGCAGGCCTTACAGCCCGTAGAAGCCGAGTGTTAAGACCAATAAGTGCCATAGTCGTGCCTTCCTCAAGAGAAAAACCACTGCAGTAGAGTCGAAGTGCGCCTTGTGGGAAGCGGTCACGTGGCTAGTCGGAACAGCAGCCTCCCCGTCAGTTCCCGATAGCAGAGGACCTCATCACAAAAATCACACACCAGCAACCTTGTTGTGTATTGGCGATCCATACTACGGTGTAACCTGACAGGATAGCCGTACTTATCGAGGCCACGGGGTAATGATGACTCCTGAACCACCGCCACCACCACCTTATTGTGTCAGCGAACCGTCGGGGCGAATGTTTAGGGTCCATCGCAACTGGACACTCGGATGAGAAGGCTCGGCGGTCAAGGGTTTTTTGTTAGGTAACCCACAATTTGGATTGTATTAGACAGGATTCTGCTACGATTTGCCTTTACTACCTATGCACCAAAACTCATTGTCTGTCCGCGTCCCAAACAAGGTCCCGCTTTTAAAGTAAAACTTGATCTCGGTAACTTCGGGGAGAATAGGCCGCCACTTTAAATCTATGCATTTCAAGACCGGCAAAATTTGGGCTCAAAACACCCGGGTTGAAGTGTCGGGCTAAGAGCTTGGCAGTCCTCATATTCCTCTTTCTCCGTAGTTCTTAGTATGGGGTTGGTCCTGTCAAGCTGGTTCATTTACAGCTTTAATAACTACGTTCAGGCGTAGTTCTATTGTCGTTAATACTCTTATCTAGATATATTCTTGCTACTCCAATGGATAATATTTCCAAGGTCAGCGGGGCGCCAGCCAAGCGGGAGCTGATAGAATTTCGTGTGCGAGAACACTGAGTTCTACTAGTTGGGATCCGGCCACTTAGGTGTCGCAAATCGCGGACGCACGAATATTCGGCATGTATGATAATTGCCTGTAGTTTCAGAAACAGTATGTATTAGATTAAATTGATCGACAAAGAAATCTCTTGTGTAAACGTGACAATGCACTTGGCACATACCTTCTAGATGATCGCATTGGCAGTGTCGCACATTGACTGCGAAATGAAAGGACGAAACGCGCACTCAATATCAGATATACATGCTGCAGTCCTCGTCCGACAACGGAGCGGACCTATTCTCGGGCATAACATGAATGGAGCTCGAGGAATGTACAATAATATTTTTGATCGTGGGTTCTGACACTCAGCTAGCGGGAGTCGAAGTATTCAGTCAAATATGCCATTAGATGCTCGGTATACATACACAATTATATGATTCAAGTATACTGGCTAATACATAGCTGTCCGGTTGCAGCCCTGGGATGAATTGGTCTACCGGCTATTCACCGAGGAACACGTCCACTTCAGAATCGCCTCCTTGTGCTTGTTTGGCAGGCTCAGGCTCACCATCCCCTGCAAGGGACAGCATTTCTGTATCTAGGGATGGTTCTCGGGTTCGTGGCATCTCAGAAGACCGTCTGGAATCAGTGTCTTTTGCTAGAGGGCTTCCCCTCGAGGCCAACGCTCTCTGAATAAGCCTTATTTTCGGATGTTTGGCGGGCTTCACATTCGTAGCTGACCCAGGCGTGCCGGGCGTTCCATCACCAGGCGCAAGGCCGGCGTCCGCGGGAAGAGGAAGCCCGCTCTCCTTGTCTAAATAATAAGAGGGAAGAGATCGAATGAGGCCATTTAGTGCTGATCCCTTGCAACTCACCACCGATCCAGGTTCGGGCGATCCATCTGCCTCCTGAGATTGTTCTAATTTCACGCTGAGTGATCTGCCACTTTCTCGGTTTGTTTTTGCTACGATCTAGAGGCCCAACACTGGCATAGGAACTAGCGCCTTTGGGCGCTGGTTGCACGGGGAAGGGACGTATGGGCAACGGACGAGACGGAGCAAGTGACAAAAGACCACTATCAGCAAAATGTTGAACATCGTCGAGAGTGACTTCTTGGGGTGCCTCAGGTGCGGGCGTCGAAGATGCGGCTGGCTGAGGGGTTCCTTAGCGCGCCAATAGATCAGCTAATCATGGATTGACAATTCCCAACTGGTTGGTCTACCTTCAGCACTGGGAAAATCCTCTATTTTTTTCGGGGCGACACGTTTTTGCTTTGATTGGCTCAAAGGTGTGCTGGATACCTTTGAGGGTTTCTTTTTTGGAGTCTTCCCCGGTTCCTGTGTATCCCACACGTCCGACGTGCTCCCTGGTGCCGACATTACAGTGGGAACCTGCACTTGCCACGCAGACATCATCGCCGCCGGCTCTCCACCCTGAGACAAAGGATCCTCGGGCTCCACAGGAACGAGAAGTTGAGCAATTTCTTCATCATGAGCGGAGGCATTCTCAACAGCAGGAGTTGGTGCGACGAGCGTGGGGTTGCCACTTTTTGCCCGACTTTTTCTTAGGCGCTTTGGTTTAGGTGTAGGGACAGATAGAGGGAACGAGTGACTAGAAATCCCTAAATCATCATCCATAAGTTGATCCTCTTCCTCTTCTTCTCCCCGGCTCGGGCCAGTTTGTGATTGCTGCTCGAGGGGCGGTGGTGGTGGTTCGGGGACACGTAACTTTATTTTGCTGAGACGGAATTTGCCCATCCCTGCAGGTACGGCGGTGCTTATCGTCGGAGACTGCGAAGAACGCTGAACAAAGTCTTCATCCTCTGGACCCAAAGTAGAGATTTGCGGCACTTCATTGTCAGCCATAACCAGATCACTGTGGCAGGCCAGCAACTCAGTTGATCTGGATTGGCTACCTCGGGCAAACGGGGGCAAGCGGCCTCAATTCTCACAAAGAGCTCAGCGGAGCGTGACATTCCCACGGTTTCTGGTTGCACCTCAAATTGGTCGAATTACGAAGCCATAGAGGCTGGAGTCCTGCCTACAGGCGCAAGGCTTTTTGCTGCCCGGGATGCACGCGTATACGATCATGGCGGATGATCATGAACTTTTTAGGGACTGTTAATAGGACTATTCAACATATCCACGTCCAATGGGGGGTTTTCTGGCTCAGGGTCGATCATCCCAGATTCCCCTCCACCTTCAACAGCAATCAGAGGCAGAGCTTCATTTCCTTTCCCACTTGATTTGATCTTTGATTTAGTCTGACCAGGATTCCCTACCTTCTTTTTCTTCGGAGCGTTGGGGTTGCCTCCGGCTGCAGCTTCTGCAGCTTTACGCTTCCGCTTTGCGGCTGCTTGTCTCTGGCGTTGTATTTTCCGCTCCAGAGCAAGAGTCGAAACGGCACCTTCAGCGGGATACCTGGAGTGGAACGTGAATCGGAGTCCACACAAAACGCGGAGTACCGCGTGAGGACCGAACATACACTTTGATGGTCTGCAAGAGGTAGCCACCCGACCCCGAGGTTTGCATAGTGGGATGTGTTCTGCCAGGAAGGATTTGATATCGGCGAAGCCAACCTTCCGTGATACTAGATCCCAAGTATTGTGGATCTGCTCTCAATTTAACTTGAGCTTCGGTCAGGACCTTAGAGAAATGATTCACCCACCGCAAACATGTACGAGATGACGGGAAACTTACGTGAACATAGGGGCTGTGTACAATAATCGAGGACGACCCAGCCAAATATGGCGCTAATTTCTCTATAATTGAATGTGGCTCATGATTGCTTGATATGAGCAGCCTGGGCTTGAAATGTAAACGCTGGCTTGGAATTGATATTATGACGGTATCTTACGCATCCCATTCCCCGCTGAACAGATCCTCTCGGTGGGCCTGCAAGGCCAAGAAAGCCTCCCGTCGTTTAATGATTCTTGCGTTGTCTCTTTCGAACTTTCGATGCAGGGCCGCGGCTTCGGGACTCTCGTATGTCACTCCTGAAAAAGATGGCATGATAGGCTCCGAAAAATCGCGGACTACATGTTTATTCAGTATCCGGGGTAGGCTCACAGGCTCATAAAGCTGTACTCACTCGGCGCCCATTCTTCATCTACATGCACCCAGTTAAGTAAGGTTGACAATGGTTTAAGCTGTTCGGGACTAAAGTTCATCGAACTTATACATGGATAAGAAGGTGCTTGTGAGGAATCTGAAATTGCAACAACGGTTCCCGAGCCTGAAAGGCAAAAACATCATTTATGATATCGGGAACATTGCGTCCACCCCTCACCTCCCATACGATCAAGAGCGGCGGCGAGTATCAGACCTCCTGTGTCATCCACTATGATAATGCGGGACCCTGATTGCACATTTGCCATGCTAATAATCTGGCTCAGTGTGTCCGGTCGCATGTCCCTCACGCGACTGGGATCTCTTGTAAACCAGTAATCGCACACGTTGAAAATCGTCGGCTCGATGATCGTTACTCGCTTCGCGAACCTGGAGAAGCAGGCTACAGTCATGAAGGATCGATTTCAAGGCTAGGTTGGTCACCTACTTCGCCTCCTTACGTTTCTTGTATTTTTCTTTGCTATATTCAGTTTTCAGTTCATAGTTGGCGTGTTGCTCCGTCTGCCTCTTCCATATCTCCTGTAGAGTACAGTTTTCTCGAGGCGGAACGATGCATCAATTGACGAGGAACAACGTACAGTAAAACTAGCACCAGATCTCTTCAGTTCTTCTATCTCTGGGTGTGTAAGTGGTTGAACAAATGATCCGTCGTTTATCAGCTCATTGTTGGCATTGGTGTCCTCTGAGTTCCCCTGTCAGCCCATTCTGAAGGCGGAGAGCGGCACTTACCAAGCTCTTCAATTGTTCTCGGGGGTAATATATGCAGCTTATGGGATACAATGTCATAACTGAAGCCGGGCCACTTGCCAACAAGCTCGCTGGAAGGGAAATTGCCAAACTTCCCGATATTGATGGTACTATCTTCATGGGGTTAAAGGGTCAGCCCTTCAAAGTTACACTTCTGAGCAATGTGATATAGTTACGCCTTCCGTTCGACTTTAGCATGTCGAGTTTCACCGCTTGGTGTTTGAAGAAGCACCATGTCGCCTTCTCCGATAACCCGCTGCTTTGAAGGTCCAGGATCCATTGTAGTATTTGAGAAAGTAACAGCTTTGAGGGGCTGAGGCAGTGCACACAGCAGGAAAACCTCAAGTCCTACTACAACAGCGCCAAGACGAATGGGCAGCGGTTGCTCAGGGACGTTCGGAAGTAAATTGCACACGACTTGCAGATCACCTGCTGATTCGCCGTCTCGACTCTCATCATGTCCCAGCTCCCAGATGAGACCCTTCGGAGGGTAGGCCAACATATTGAACTCGGAGACACGTCTTCATCTTATCACAAGTTCAGATCTTGGCACAGATCCAACAAACCGCTCAGCAATCCTCAAGGAACTTATCGCTTTCGAGGGCGCAGATAGCGCAGAAAGAGAAAGAAAGAAGGATTCTTCAGCTTACTATGGAGGAAATCAACTTGCTCCCTCGTAACGATGATGTAAAGCTATACAAAGGTGTAGGGAAAATGTATGCAATTCTTAACGCATTCGTTTGTCTTGCTTAGAGGACCTCCTGCTAGGTTTATCAATATTCCTCGTGCCACTATGGATAAAAGCCTAAGGGAGCAGGAGAAAGAACTTTCGGACGATATATCCAATTTGAATAAAAAGAGCAAGTATCTTGAAAAGCAATACCTCGAGGCAAATTCTCAGTTAAGAGATGTTGTAAGCAGTTTCCACGACCGGTTGCTTGGTACCACTCGGGTTGATATCTTTTGTGGTCCAGTTTCATAGCTCGCGGTTGAATTCATGAGTGCGGATACCAATCCTTTCTGCCATGTGTGAAAGACCGATCGCGGAGACGATTCCTGTTCTCATCGGCATGTTCTGCTTTACCTAGCCATAGCATTATACGCCTTTCATCAAGGCTTGACGAAAGGCGTGTAAGTCTTTGGCCGTTATGCCACGCCACCAGATCTCCAGTCTCTCTTCGGGATTCAACCAGCTGTGTGCAAGCCTCCAGTTCCACTCGTCGGCGACACGCCGCTCAGTATGACATCGCCCATGGAGGGGTTGCTTGTGTATGCACTGTTCCAAAGTAACCTTTGTTGCTCCACGCGGACCTCAGTCCGTAATTGCTTCCTTGTCCGATTATTATATTCATGCTTCTGCAACATAAACGACCTGACCTCCTTACCGATAACCTCTGGAGAATATTGCGCCGCGACCTAGCTCTTTGTATCATGTCATCGGATACGGTTCGAAGGAAAACGTCACTTAGCAAAACACACGCATGTGCATTAGAGCGGGGAATAAGGACTATCATCAGGAAAAACTAGTTATGATGAAGATGAATTCCCTCGATTAGTTGATTGTAAGCCGGTAGGGACCCTATCTACCTGTCAGGGTGGTAGTCAATAAGATATTCCCATTCGGGCTTGTCGATCCCACCTGGCACAACTGTGTACCAGACCCCGAGGAATCTAGAGAGTGGTGAGGAACTTGGCGACGAATAGCTCAGTGAATAAACATTTCGAGGCAACGCGCACAGCGAGGTGTATATTACGGTATCGTGGGATATGCGGAGTATTTAAGCCTCCAGTGACGGACAAACTTTGGAATGTGTGTGCGTCCCACGGTCGAGGCTAGGCAGAAATGCTAGCTAGTGCAGTACATGCATTAATATCCCAGCTGTATTGTGGTACAATCGCCCCATATATGTATATGCGATCGAGTGAAAAGTCGCATCAATTTCTCAAGGTCTTTGTGCATGTGAACATGGGACGGAGGCCGGTTCGGTGGCATCCCCGCAGCACTCGACCGGCGCGGCGCCGGACGGGAACAATTTTTTTCTTGACCGTTTCAATTTCGAACCGGCCATGCAAGGCCTTGAAGCTAGCTGGCCTGCTTCTTCCGGCCGGTGTTCTCGTCTGAAAGAATACAGAGGCTAGCTAGCTAGGGCCTGCATGCCAATTCATTTTTAATCACGTCATTTCCACTGCATACCGAACAGAGCAAGATTTTATCGCGTGTACAGTCAAACAAAATCGCAGCCAGTGGCCGCGAGCACATGGGGATTCAAGTGGCCGTTGATTGATACCAAATATATGCCTGGCAGTTCGCTGAACATGTTCCGGAGCATCCTATGACCCAGACTCTGCGAATATTCGTGGTCTAATCACCGCCTGCTCAAAGCACGTCCAATCGACCTGCTGATCTGTCTTACATCTGAGATGGGCTTTGGGACCTTAACGTGCCCCCAAACGCGTTGCACGTTGTCGTTGCTACTCAACTGCTCGATCCACGAGCTTCCCCTCCACCAACATCCATCCGTATCTGGGTTGGTGCAATGCATTCTGTTGTCATTCCTTACTCCCATGACTGATCACCCTGGTCTCCGGGCTGTTACCATGCTAGACAGCAGTGTGCGTCACTGCACCCCCAATCAGCACCTTGTCTTCGCATCGTACGGGCAACTTGGCCTGTTGTAGCCCTCATACACTCAATGTCAGACACTGTTATGAGTCAACTTGGCGTTCGGCAGCAACACTCGAGCAACAGCGAGGCAAAGGTATGCGACCAAGGCCATGTTCTCTTTATGCCCAACTACGATATTTTATGGCACGGCGGGGCTATGTTACAGAGTGATCAACGCACAGACGCGTCGGAGGGGCGGCGTCACGTCGGGGACATGGGATGTTGCGCATTCGCGCCTTCGGATGGGAAAGCGAATGGAACGGAGTTCATTTGGGCGAGCATATAGTCTTTAGCGCTTGGGCAGGACTTGGCAACAGGTTCTTCATGATTTGGCGACTCCCCCTCAAAAGTGAGTCGGGCTAACAGCTGCGGGTGGGGGGCTTATGGGATTTATGCTGTCGAACGGATGGTTTCTTGGATGCGATTGAGTGCATGTTAAGTTTGTAGAGGCCGCCTTCAAGTGTTCCATCACATATCAGTGTGCAGCCAGGAGCGCGAAGTTTGATGATGCCAGACTGAATTCGAATTGAACCACCTGCCTTATCGAGGCGCAAGAGCGAAAGTAGATTTGGCTGGGAGGAGGGGATATGAAGACAGTCCTTAAGGACGACAACGTGAGAAGAGTTGCCGGAATACATCAATGTTGCGACAGATCCCCGCCCTTGAATGGGGACCCTGGCTCCCCCTGTTCCTGTTACAAACTGACCAGGGGTTTCTGTGTAATTGGAGAAGGCCTCCCGATCCGTAACAACATGATCAGCTGCACCGGTAACACCGACCCATTGGCTGCTTGTGAGGATGGGCGAATCTGAAGTGGCAGTGAAACTGAAATGCAGTTGGGTAACAATATTTGCTGACTGATTTTTCTCCTCATCCGCTATACGTTTGTAGCATTCTCTATACCAATGACCGCGCTTGTGGCAGTATCGGCATTCGGTATTTGCCTTGTCATGCCTGGGACGGGAATCGAACGCGTAACTGGACGATTCGCCATTGCGTGATTGGCGACGTAGATATTCATCTTTGATACGCATGTGGACGGCATTGTTGGCATTGGCCCTGACCTTCGCATCAGATGATTCTAGGTCCTTGAGCTCGATAGTCGACATAAAGCTGTCCCAGGACGATGGGAGTGACACGAGTAAGGCCATTGTGAAGTCGGATTCGCTCAAAGTATCGCCGACTAGGCGCAATTTGTCGTAGATATCACGCATCTTTTGGATGTGATTATCCAGGGTGTCTTCCTCCGCCATCCGCGTGTCATGGAGCTCCCGACGAAGAAAAATGCAAGGGGTCTCACTAGAGACCTCGAATTCCCGCTTGAGCGCATTCCATGCCTCAACAGGAGTAGTGGCGCTGACAACAAACGTATGAACAGGGCCCGTGACCTGCAGCCTGATTAGCGCAAGCGCCTTGCGCTGCGCCCTCTCAGCCTTGATCCTTTCATCCGCATCGGTCGGCAACGTGTACCCATCCTTAATGTACTCCCATAAGCCCAGATAAGTCAATACATCCTCCATGCTGGTCTTCCAGTGAATGTAATTCTCCTTCCCCGACAACACCACGGGCATCCGTTTGCCGAGCGATGCAAGATCTTCGGCCATGGCAGGAAAAATCTGATAAGAAGTCAAGCGCACAGAGGTCGACGAATCCGAGGCGGTTGTCAAGTCGGCGTTCCGGATATGTACGGCAACGCGTTGTAATGTGGGGATTCCTGATAAGGCAATCCGCTACCTAAACGGCAACACTTAGGCAACACTCGCGAGACCAGATGTAAGCTAGAACAAAATCTTTTTGTAAACGTCCGTCTGTGCGTATTTATATACAATGTGAATATATTGCGGAGCGGCCAACTAAGGTAACTCCTTGTGCGACTACGGAATTAGTAATTCCCTCCACATAAGTCCTCCACATACACCGGCTGTGCCCGGCTCCCGTGATTCTCGTGATTACAACAATTTTGGTCAACGCACGTCCGTGCGCATTTATACAGGCACGAAATGTGAATATACGTAAAATAAGTAACTGCGCAAGCGCGCGTACGCAAGCGTTGATTAAGAAAGAATACATTGGAATTATCTAGGGATTTCCCACGACAATCCAGAACATTCCGGGGGGTTCCGGTGACTCGTAGCACAGATGTAAGATAGGAGCGGGAAATATAACTGACGATTTGAGTCAACCTCCATGCGTATACTTATATATACAAAGGAATGCAAAGTGCAAAAAACGATGGCCAAGCGGGTCATGTAACCATGCTTATTTAGGAAAATACATGACAATATCAATTGCCAAGTTGGCAGTAACTCCTATGGATTCACCGTCATCAAAAATATGGGCCCACCATGAATAATCAGTTAGGAATCATGTCTTTGGAGGACCCCGGAGAAGTTGCATGTTACAGGGGTCCCAGTGGCACAAGAAAATTACTTGTGGCCTTGCGGCAAAGGCATTTGTGAATGTTTGTCAGCGCGGTTATAAAGCTGCAGGAAGCGTGTTGCTCAAGGCGGAGTCGTCCGTATCGCCCTTAACATGTCAACGCGATGTTGTTGGCCGAACCCACAACTCGGAGGCACTCCAGCACTCAATGAGTGAGTGAGTGATGATTCGCCCCTTCCACTGTTGCACTCCAAGTTGCATCACGACATTGAAAGGACAAGCACGTCCATGATGAGAGGTTGCAAACTTTGGCCCCGCAGTTGGCCGAGCTCCCGCGTTGCTCCTTCCAATGCATCGGAAGGAAGTTGGTGCTTTGTTGGTCATCGTCTTCAGCAGCATCCATTAACCGAGGTAACTACCATATAATGACATCTGGAGGGTAGCAACTTACCTGCAACGATACACCACTACATTTGCGCTCAGGCCTTATCGCAAATGAAATGAAATTATCGACAGCGACGCACATATGTCAATATACCGCTCCCGGACCAAAAGCGTTCCTGAGACCCACTGTGCCACACACCTGCAGTGCCCTTCCCTTGTTATGATATCTGGGGGCCTTGCTTCAACATCTGCTGCATTGGGGGTAGGCTGGACATCACGGTATCGAAAGACTTCGTAGAGATTGACTTTTCTATCCGCTTGCCTTAGACGATAGGTCCGTATATGTTGTGCTGGAAGGGTTCGAGTCGGAGATAGGAATTCGATGAAGTGATGAAGGATGAGTAAGCAGCCAGCGTGATAAACTCGATCCCACTGTGAAACTCAAAGGCCACAGGCCACAGGCTGAGCCGTGAGAGTGGTCCACAAGCGATTGAGAGTTGGGGCCGATATCCAACAGTTCAGTAGCGACAGGCGGAACTGGAAAGTTGATCTGGCGTCTCAATATGGATCTAGCTGAGGGATTCAGTGCAAAGACAGATACATGTGAACATGAGCGAGTGCAGAGGCTTGGGAACGACAGTGTCGCACGAAGAATGTAACAGCAGGGAGCGGAGAAAGGGTTGAGCGTCCATACGTTATCTCCCAAGCAACATCATCCACCACAGGACGGCCTCCGGCTTACCTAATCAGAATCGGACTTGTCACTCCCGATTTAGCTTGCGGTCCCACGAATGTCGACAGACTGTTCTCGATCAGTTACGCATTATGATTCCTTCCAACACATTCAATGCAGCGCTCTCAGCATGCAAATGAGCCCGTGAATGGGTGACCGGACGCGCACCTAATGAACTCTAGCCATCGCATCGCGCACAGGGGTAGGCAGGTGACTAGCCTCTCTTTGGCGGGAAGAGAACACAGAGGGGAACCAAATAGTATGATCTAATTGAAAACCGAGACTCACACATTTTCAATGGATCATGCTGAGTGTAATCATAGTTGGGTGGTAGATGTAAATCGACCGGTCTCTAATGTGAGAGCCCAGTAATGAACTTTGTACATTCCTTCCTACTTTTCTCTTTGTGCATTCGGGCCGCCTTTTTAGGCCCGACGAAAAATCAAGGGGACGGTACCAGCTATAATCGATTCAGTAGCACCACTCACCTGTTGGAACACAGGCATATCTCCGCTGGACCAAGCGGTTTCTGTTTCATGCGGAAGTAAAAGATCTGAAGTGGAGTTAAATAGCATGTTATCAAAACAATGTGCTCGTCCAGTATCCGGTTCGAGACTCTATAATAGCGTCTTCCATGCATTTGTCATCATCAGAATGGTGAGGACGAAAACTAAACTCAAAAGCAAAACATACTGTCTAAAGGAGAAGTGGAGGATTCCCACCGAGGAATACATTTCGAAGTTCGCTGGATTGGCTTTTTGGTCTCGGCACTTGTGTCTCAGTCACATTTGTCATGCATTGGATGTCCTTTGTTTACTTCACGGAAGCTTTCGTGCGTTCTGGAACAGTAAAGAAAAATAAACAGAACACGCCTGGTTTCGTGCATAAATTGAGGTGCCCTTGGGGGGGTTCCTCTCTTTTTCCCTAGGGAATCACAGCCCTCCCATGGAATATACCCCTTTATCAGCAAATGGTCCATGTTCAGTTTGGCCACTTCTGTTGGATATGTCCACCAGAAGTGGCCAAACTGAACATGGACCATTTGCTGATGTTCGCGTGGATGCCCTCCATGCGTAATATACCCGGCCTGACTGTCCCCACCTGGCCATTCCCTGATCCCTCTCCCGAAATAGACGGCCCCACTGCGTTCAGCGGCCACTCTCTTCCGCTACCTCACTGGCTTCTAGCTATGCCTTCCAAATATGCCGACCGACTGAAATACGTCTTCGGCTGTATACTCCATGACTCTATGACTCTATGCCACTATGCCACTATGCCACTATGCCACTATGCCATTATGCCATCCAAATATGCAAACGCGTTTCCGGCTGTATACTCCAGAATGCCCATGTCCTCTCCTCTTCTCTAAATATGCCGGCCAATCGAAATGCGTTGCCAGCTGTATACCTCTCCCTAAATATGCCGACCAATCGAAATGCGTCGTCGGCTGTATCTTTGCTTTCTCCTCCTGCTTTCCCCCTTCCCAGAAGTCATCCCGTGCCGAAATATGCACCACATCGGAGTGCTGTATGTCGTATGCCTCTGTGCCAGGCCATGCCCCGCAAAATATGCGTCACATCAGAGCGCTGTATAACGCGATGTGCATGTCCCTGGATCCCCAATGCCGAACGTCATGCCATGCAGCGAAATATGCACCACATCCGAGTGCTGTATGTCGTCAGGAGTATGGTCTACTAGGCTGGAATGCAGTTCCCTTTTAATTTCCTTCCTCTCTCTTCCTCTTTTTCTTTTTCGAATTTTGGGCCGTCCTTGGTTCTGCCGGGGACTTGTGCTTACTTAGTTTCATACCGGCTCTTCCGAAACCCAAAGCGGGTCGGGGGAGCGGCTAGGTGCATAGCTCCGGCTCTTCCGGGACGGTCGCAAGGTGCGTGGTTTCCATTTCTCTGTCCCCTTTCCCCCGTCCGTGGGGACTACTGACAATTTTGCCTTTCACAGCAACCCATTCCCGTTGCTAATATTCATTTGTTATTTTGTTCCCTAGGGATCTTCCATCTCCTCGTGCGCCTCTGCCGCATGTAATCAATAACCTCGACGGTAAGTATTTTCGCCTCTTGTTCCTTTAGGCGTATTACTAACCACATCTTCTTCCGTTTTTAATTTTTGGGTCTATGGACCACTACTCTCGACGGTAAGTATGCTTACTCTTGACGATATATAAGCATTTCCACCCCTGGCTTTTAGGCTTGTCACCACCCACATCTTGACGGTAATTATGCGCACTCCCTACCTATTCGAGCGTATCACTAACCACATCCTATTCTATTTTTAAGGTCTACGGACCACTCCTCTCAACGGTAAGTATGCGCATTCCCTACTTTAGGCTTATTACTAACTACATCTTCTTGGTCTATAGACTACTTGTTCTCGACGGTAAGTATTTCAACACCCTACTCGTTTAGGCTCATTACTAACCACAACTTCTTCCACTTGTTAAGTCTACCGACTACTACCTCCCCTCGACGATAAGCGCTTCTATTGTATATCCTTGTCCGGCGTCGCTGACCCCAGTTCATTAGGATTTCAAGTTCACCCCACTCCCCTCATTCACGACAACAGGCGCCGTTTTCATATGTTCCCCATGTCAAATTAACCTTTTTGTAACACAGGTCGAGGCTCTCATGATCGGATGCTCCAATATGGACATCGGATTCGACATGGGCTTCGTTCAAGTGTTTGCACGATTTCAGGGCCCATGGATCCCATCTTTGTACGGAATGCGGATTCTGTTGGGTGGATCTGGAAGCTGATTCCTGGGTCAGTTCTTGGCCTGGAGTACGGACACCTTGATAGGGTTTCCCTGATTTTATTATATAACGCTTCAATACTTGAAGCTTGTACGTGCCTCAGTCATCGCCGTGCTGTGTCCCGAGGTGAGATATTTTCCCATCCTCATTGAGCTCATTCCTTTGGTGTTGCCTTTAGAAGAGGAGAGAGATCCGTTGATCCAGGAAGGGAGGGCTTAAGCTTGATATGAAGGTTTGGGGGCACGGCACTAGTCAGTTGATTGTGATATGATTGCGTCGCATAGTTAATCGGGAGAATCTCTATTGGATACCGCATTAAATTCATCTCTGAGGAATAAGCGACGGCACCTGCTACAAATGAAGCTAAAGCAACATGCAGTGCAATGAACGAAAGACGCTTGGTGTTTGGTCTCGGGGAAAAGGACTCCGAGGACCTCTGGCGTACGACCGCCTAAACCCGAGCCTACAGTGCCATTCAGGCAGCAAACGTTCCTCCCGTTTGTTCACGATGAACTGCAACGGAGCCCGAGATCCCGGAAAGTTGTCTTGTGTGTTTTCCCGGTAGCTGAGATTCAGATTCAGACATTCACGAAGATGAGAAGAGAGTTGGGGGGGCCATCGATCTTGGCACCTCTTGAAATTGAGAACTTTCAAGGTCGCGATATTCATGCTCAGTGGTTTACACACGCGAGCTTTGTGTGAGATGAGGCGGACCACCTCCGGTGGGCCTAATCTCAGGTTTGGCTGGTCTTTCTCCGCTGCAGCTTGTGTTAATAATATTCCTCGAACGTTTATCCATACCAATATTTGAATCTAGAGTTTCCTCCGCGTATGTGGAGCATGGGTGTCGCTCATGGGGTCGATAGCGTCACCGCTGGCCCTTGTAAGCAATAGAAGTGTACCGATGTTTGGACTGATCTTTGCTCTACATGAGGGTTGAGGCCTGCTCATCGATCGCATGTTACACTTACGATAGGCCCTTAGCAAATATGTTATCCTCTCTCAGGCTGGGATTAATCTAGCTGCAACCGCCTAGTGCTTCAGTAATTTGGTGACCGGTTGCTTCCATTCGAGGGGACATGCATGCATTACGGTTGCCGAGCAGGGCCAGGTCTAAGTTTGCATCCGACTCAAGCGCCGCGCGTCACGACCTCATCGCTACGCGTCTATACATAAGTCAATTTGCGTTTTAACGGCTCCAGCGCTGTTGTGGACATACTAGGCACCACACCAACACTTTTTCTCGCTTTTTCCGAGCGAAATTCATGCCTTACATACCTGCGCTTTGAACTCACCGCTACGCGTCTCTACATAAGTTAACTGCGTTTTAAGCGACTCTGGCGCTGTTGTGGACATACTAGGCACCACACAATCACTTTTTTTTGGCTTCTCTTCTCTGGTTAAAATTTGGACATTCTTCGAGTCTCTTTGGTCCGCAAACCGCTGATTGATCAAGCTATGTGTCACATAGGTTATGTATTACATAGTTTTGTATGTATACTGGTAACATCCCTGACTACTATCACCCACTTACGGTTGCCCAGCAGGCCAGGTTGAACGTTAACGTTCGCATCATGGTCACAAGTCACGTGATTTTGATTTTTTTTTTCTGTTGAGCTCACCGCTACGTGTGTTTACACTGCTACAAAAACCACATCAGACTCGTACCCAGTTGTTTTCACTCTGTGGACGTGCGCGCGACACTGCAATGTGGAAATGCGACTAAGTAGTTTTGTATTCAATGTAAAGTCACGTTCTGCTTTCAATACAAAGAGTCACATGCTACTCCGAAAATTTGTGCAGACATGGGGAACCTCATGTGTTCCAGAATTGTTTTCTGAGAGGATCGCGTCGAATTTGGCAAATGCGTAAGTGGACTGCCACTGCTAATGGTGTGAGGTGTTGCCGCGCGGAGTAGCATGTGACTCTTTGTATTGAAAGCAGAACGTGACTTTACATTGAATACAAAACTACTTAGTCGCATTTCCACATTGCAGTGTCGCGCGCACGTCCACAGAGTGAAAACAACTGGGTACGAGTCTGATGTGGTTTTTGTAGCAGTGTAAACACACGTAGCGGTGAGCTCAACAGAAAAAAAAAATCAAAATCACGTGACTTGTGACCATGATGCGAACGTTAACGTTCAACCTGGCCTGCTGGGCAACCGTAAGTGGGTGATAGTAGTCAGGGATGTTACCAGTATACATACAAAACTATGTAATACATAACCTATGTGACACATAGCTTGATCAATCAGCGGTTTGCGGACCAAAGAGACTCGAAGAATGTCCAAATTTTAACCAGAGAAGAGAAGCCAAAAAAAAGTGATTGTGTGGTGCCTAGTATGTCCACAACAGCGCCAGAGTCGCTTAAAACGCAGTTAACTTATGTAGAGACGCGTAGCGGTGAGTTCAAAGCGCAGGTATGTAAGGCATGAATTTCGCTCGGAAAAAGCGAGAAAAAGTGTTGGTGTGGTGCCTAGTATGTCCACAACAGCGCTGGAGCCGTTAAAACGCAAATTGACTTATGTATAGACGCGTAGCGATGAGGTCGTGACGCGCGGCGCTTGAGTCGGATGCAAACTTAGACCTGGCCCTGCTCGGCAACCGTAATGCATGGCAGATGAAACCATTGTTAGCCGAGCTTGCGAGGCTTTTGTTTCCAAAAGGTTGGTTCGATTTTTGTTTTACCGTGGGAAATGGCCAGCAAATATCCACAGGTCCAAACGTGCTACTAACAACGCTTGATTTGCAGGTTGGGGACAGGCGCTGCGCTGCAGTTTGGTCATCTAGTTTGAAGGGAACCCTCATAACAAAAGTAGCCTGGTTAACATACGCTCTTTCAAGCCTCCCGACACTGTCTTAATTCTGCACGAAACGCTTTGCTACGTAGACCCGGTCAGTTGCGTCTCGCGGGTTGACAAGGCTGCTCGGTAGATGCCTATTTTATTTTAATTATGCAAGCGAAACGGTGGTTTACCGGCGATAGGCACAGGAGCAGGAGGCGTCCTGTGAGCCCGATTTGTCCTAATGGTACGCAGTTCAGACCCGCCCCTTTTCCTTCGTTTCTCACAGAGGGGGGCTTCAAGATCGTGACACTTGTTCCAAATTCCAAATATGCGGGCTATAGGCACCGCACCAGATACTCCTATCTCTTGGCCATTGAAACGTTCACCTCCCAATACATACGTAACCAATCCACTTTATGGTCGGTTTCCTCAACACACATCTGGGGTCTCCCTATTTTTCTGTGATCGCAAACCGCATAGCTGTTTCCCTTAGCTAAAGCAGCTTCCACCTCAATCACTCCATGTAGTGAACTCAACTTGCTGGGACTTCGATTTCGGGGGAAATATCGATGCGGTCAACGTTTCGGGGTGCTGCCCGTCTGGCCAGTTACCGTTGATCGCAGAATTCTTATCGATCGTTTTCACAGGAAAATACTAGCTGTGAGCGTTCTTGAAACGGGTGGATTTCCTGTAAGGGATATCTTGTATGTTACTGAATAGCTATAAACACACTTCTTCTGATAGCCGGGGATCAAGTCTTCATATTGGATATGCGTCATGGGAATTGGGCAATGATAGATAAGCCGGCTGCCAAGAACCTATAGTCGACGCTTGGCACTTGGTCAACGGGGGGAATGCAAGAGACAAGCCGTCTATCGAATTGGTGCGATGTGTGCTAAAATTAAAGTCGAATCCGTGAGATGGTCACAGAGCTAGTGCTTATTGGCTATGAAGCCACTAGCTCTCGTTGTTTTTCAATTCGTTTCCAATAGGACGCTGACCCACTTTCATAAGTTTTATGAAAAATTTCAATTATGCGGTGACTGCGCAGCAGAATGCTCGCTGCACAGGTTAGGCAGGAGACTTAAATTATTTAGCGCGACATATGTATTTCCTATTCTGCGGTTCGTTGTAATTCCTGTCTCTCGCTGCGAGCCACTGCTATCTCACATATATTCAGCGTTGCATGCATGTGAAGGTTGTAAATGCACATCCGGGGTGAGTGCGCATGGCCGTGCGAAACTTACACGGTCGTCTACGCATTTTATTCCAGTAATTTCAGGTGTCTGCATTAAATACATGAAGGCCGTGCCCGAACATGGCTAGTCATGGTTAGCACGTTTTCATGACCCGAGCGCATATTGGAGTCGCGTGCTTTTGATCTAGTGTAAACACCAAGAACTGAATAAACAGTTATAATGGTACAGAGAAACGGAGATGAAAAGTGTCCGGTGGAGCAGCGGGGCATAGGTGATATTGGCCGGGAGACCATTCAGGTAGAGGATGGGGGTAAGGGATCTGGATCGCGGTGACCCAAAGTTGCACGAACAACTTCGCGAATTTCCAGGGCTCTTGAAGTCGACATCGTCCGTGCGGAGGAGCATAGGCTCTCAGCAAGTTCGTCTGAAAGGGGACGAGGCGATTCTGGAGCCGAATTTTCGTCGCTGACAGGGCTAAAATGATTTGAGTCTGTCTCATGCTGGTTACTGAGGTGCCCCAAGTCATCCTCCGGATACACGATATCTCTTCGCCTCATTCGTTCCAGTAAGTGCCCAAGCTCTCTGCAAGCTTCTCTGTATTTCTCCAAGGCTTTCTTTCGTGCATCCGAGGCGGAAAATTCCGATTTGAAGGAAAGAGAATCCGGAATGGAGTCCGGCGTAAATTGCGTGCCTCCTGATGGATCATCAACGCTGTATTCAGACAGGGGACGTGATGGGGGAGTGAATACAGGTTCATCATTCTCTTGATTGTCTGCAGAGCTGGATTCATCCTGACTGCTCATGGACTGAGAGCGCAGTCCTTCCACTGGAACGACAGGATTATGAGCATGACCATCTGTCGTCGAAACCAGCTCAACGCCCGGAACAGGCTCAACATCGTTATCCGATCCGTAATAACCATAGTCAACGGCTTGTGAGTCCGAACAATCAATTGGAGTTCGCGATCCGAAAGGCTGAGGGGCCACCCGCACTCCGACGGCATATTGGCTGTCTGAACGACTGTAAGCATGATACAAAGGATGCGGCGTTACTTGATTACCTTGCTGAACCCAGTCGTCGCCCCATGTGAGGTGTTCTGATGTGGTTTCTGGCCAATGAAATTCTTGGGACGCAGGTGCTATATGGATGGAGAATCAGTGTCCCGCTTCGTCAGCCCAGAAAGTCCAACACTCACGTGGAGTAGGCGGTGGGGACACCAGAGGGGAAGGAACACGACACCATTCTGGGAATGCTAGATTTTGGATTGGAGTCGGACTGCGGCCCCGATCGGATCCTTCACTCTCAACAAGCTGCACTGTGGGTGCTGGAGGATATTCTGGCATCTGTTGGGGATGCAGGTGAGGTAGAGGTGATGGAGAAGGCGGATAATTGGAAATATATGCAAGAGAAGGTCCGGAAGGCCGAGCGTGAGGTGGGGGACTGGGAATTCCGTTTGGATGAGAGTCTTCTCTGATGGGCGTAGTAGGTTCCAAAGAGGAGGGGAAGGACAGAGGCTGAGACTCAGGGACATCTGCACCATCAGGAGTCTCATCCATTACTTCGGATTGTTCATCGCGCAGCGCAGGGAAGTTGGCGCTAGGACTGGGAGGTGGCCCCTCTCTTCCCGAAGAGTCGCCATCTATGCACTCTTCTTTGACAGAGTGAAGCATTGGAGAAGGGGGGCGGCCACAGAAGTGTGTTGGATCTGCGACCTCCCCGACTGAACGAGAATTCCTCGATCTTGACTTGTGCGAAGAAACGACGGATGGAGCTCTCCGAGAACGTCTATGGGGGCCAGAACCCGTGCTGGACCGGGACGAAAGAGTTTTAAAGTGCGGCGCTCGCAATTCCCGAGGTCGATCACTTCCGGGTGGTGTCTTGCGCTTGAGGGGGCGAGCTGTATCCCCTGACACCTGCAGATTCTAAGTGGACAAGTGGACCGTGTTAAGTAGGCCTCCACATACCCATGATGATGCCGTAGAGACTTGGGACGAAAGGCCAATGTCCCGATACTCCGTAGGGCGAACATGAAACACAATCGCTTGTAACAGCGTCGGACCGCTTGAGCGTGGGTGCATGACGGGGGTGATCGTTGCAAAGCAGCTGCCTGAGTCTAATAGGGGCGTGATTGAGCTATGCATAACCACAACCAGAAGGGCAACGTGCCTTGGGATAAATGTCCGAATACCCAATAATCGTATGAAGTGAGGACAAATCTGGTGACAGACATATCCATGCATCGGTCATAGATCTTCGGTGATGGCGTTAATTAGGGCTCATAACTGCGGGAAGGGCACTTACCTCGCACCACAGCAGTTCAGGCGGAGAGAGGTCACAACAATCACCTAGTCGTGCCCGCAGTCTGGTGGCACTTCTAAGGTCGCGCACCACTTCGACGTCAACCAAAGAACGAAAGAGGTCCAACGTTATGACCCAGGGAGGAACCACAAAAACTGCCAATGTCGGCTGCAGAAAGCCTTGGTGCAGTTTTTGGAGGAGATGGGCGGAAAACACCCGATCTTGATACAATTCAAAGAAGAACCATTTCGAAGAACCGTAATCAAGAATGTTCAACACTGATTCGGAAGTAGCCAGAAGAGATTGCTTGACCCATTCGCTGACTCCAGCCAAGTTGCTAGCAGGATGTGGTATCTTTCCCGAGACTAGCCCGTCTGGAAAAACCGCTATCGTGCATTTATCATCGTACGCATCAATATCCTCGCTGTGCAAGAAAGACTGGATTGGAAATGGATCTGTAAAGCAGTCAATAACAACTGGTTTGCCTGGGAAGTCACAGCAGTCATACATTGCTGCACATTAAGCTGAAAAAAGTTCTCTGAGAGTTTTCTGACTTGAAGAAGCGGTCTTCCAGCTTCCCGGGAAACTGATGAATGCTCCGGATAAGAGAAGGAGAGTAGGCTGTAGTCGCAGGTTGTCGCCAACGGCTCTAGCGTGGCATTAGCGCAATAACGACGTATGTCATCGGACGGTCTCATTGAAAAACAAAAGAGGGGTGCGCGTAGCACCGCATGGGGGAACAAAAGAGTTTAAGAGGTGTGAGGAGCAGTAGCTGGTGGCAGCGATCACGACGCAACAAAGGCGCTAAACACGCAATCAGTTGAGCGGTATCCATGGATTAGTAGCATGCATTTGAGCTTGCAACCTTATTCGAAGAACACAACAGAGTAGACAAAACAAAGGCAACATTTGCCTTCTGGAATGGGCAAAATTCGTTCCACTAGGAGAGATATGCCACCCAAAACCAGATACCTGGCACCCAGCAATCTTGGGAGAGGTAGGGCATAGATCGCTGGCATCGGTAATCACTACAAATAAGAACTAACGGAGACAGGTATCAAAGGCGGGATGACAGGTTGCCGACGTCAATGACTGTCAACAATACTCAACCAATATCAACTTGCCTTTTTCTGTCCAATTCCATGTCACAAAGGAATATCAAGTCAGCGTCGTACCCGCTGGTATCGTATGCAAGAGCGCATGACTACGATCAGCCCTCAAACCCACCTCAGAAACCAAAATGGAATGCTAAATGGATGCATCGAACCTTACAAGTTGCTCTTGATGAAGTTTCTTCAACCAACGGAGCTCCATTGACAATTCGTCTACGCGTATTTCAGTCATCTTCTTCTACCTCGTACTCCTCTCAGGCTCCTCAAGAAGAAGTTCACGTGTGTTCGCTGGCTTCTATGCCCCAGAATGGGAATTGACCCCTTGACCAGGAAGATATCGACCTGACTAGGTTTCAGCATGCTCTATACGACTCACCCACTAGAAACATTATAGACCAGCATGGACTACCTCTTCGTGCCGCTTACCGTGGAAACCAGCTACTTTTCAGATACCCACATCCATTCTTTGCAACGCATAACAATGACCCTCCGGCGAGTACCAGAATAATGTCTGAGCCGAGAGTACTCTAACGAATTTCCTTGGTGTTCTCATGCAAGACTTATCGCCGGTTTCAAATTGTCTTCTATGCCGCATCAGATTGCACCGGATTCGTCTCTTTGATAAGCAGGGTTTGTCAATGTCTGGACAATAACGACGTGGTCAAGAACAACGCCCGAAGAGTCCCTGGCTCCATCGTGCGCGGGAGCTCGCCTACAATGGAGTCCCAAATGATTCATCCCCGCCCTTTCCCGGCCGCTGAGACTCAAGAAGACTTTGTCCCACCATCTTCGCAGCCTGGCAGTCAAACGAGCCATTTGAGTCGTTTGTACACGCCTAAGCACTATTCTCATAGTCAAGATGCCTCGTATAGACTCTTTCCAGGCCCCGAAAGTGCCTCGAACGCTTCGTTTGTCACTCCGTCGACTGTGTCCGTGCCCAATCCTGGCTCAATTCCTCAGGGCAGCAGTTATCGTGGGTTAGGCTCTCTCAGCTGACCTTCATTTGGCTAGAACGATCCTTTTCGCCAGGCCCAAGCTCATCCCAAGGAAACCCCTCTATTCAATCTGCTGAGCCTCTTAGGACACCAATCACTGTTGCGAGTGTTCCTCTGCTTCCAGCACTCACCCAACAATATCATCAAAACCAACGACCGCATCATCCCAGTTCCACACCTGGTCACATGCCGGCAATGAATAACCAAGAGCCTCTAAACACAAACCAGATCACCGGGGATTCGGCTCGGTACACGAAACCATCCAATTCCAAACTCGATGAGCTACTGCAAGGCTTGAAAGAAACTAGAAACAATGGGTTTGACGTCTCCTGGTCTGAAACGGATTCAAGAAGGTTGATCGCTGCAGTTCTCGCGGAACCCCAGACGTCGACCTTGGTGAGTACGACAAGATCGTGTGATGGCCAAGATACAAACTTTCCTGCTTCCTGAGATTGAATGTGTATTGAAAGGGATGAGGCACCCAGTCCCAAACCCCTAGATAGATTATATGGCAGCGTGTTAAGAAGCTATAATTGAAAACTTTATGACTGCCAATGTTCCTGATGTGATCCTAATAATATTTGCAGAACCATTTTAAATAAGGTTAGTCGCGTGACGTCAATGAGGAAGGCTCAACCACCAGCTCAATTCTCGTGCACGAAACAGTTTGTGATAGACCAACCAAGCGGCGGTCTGGAAGATCCATCATGTCACATTTACCTTCTCGTTCTGACTCCCTCGCCAAACCAGAACTATCGACTATTAGCCCCTCGTTGACCCAGGCATGCTGGCCAGGCGCCACCGATGTAGATTTTGATGTAGACAGCGTGCTGAGAATCGCCCACGACCGGCTTTCGGAGATTGAGTCCATAGGGAGTGACCCAAAGCTCAAAGATGTTGTTGTTGAACTCGTGGACACGATCAGAACACTGGTACGCAAATATGTTTTCCCGGCCGTCACAATACTAGCGCCGTTGACCTTCGCGCTAAATTAGGTTGGGGTGATCACGAAGATGAAAGGAGCTGCGGAAGAGATGCAAACATCTCTTACTCTCGCGAATTCAAACCTTACTCTTGCGCTATCAAATACAGAAATGCTTGAAGAAGCGCTGAAACGTGCGGGTGGAGGGCAAGGCAAGGATATCGGCTGGAGGAGATGGAGTGACCGCGAAGGATTGAAGCGTTCATCTGCCATGGCAACTCTTGGTGGTTCTTTAAGTGCATTGCCTTCGGAGGATGGCAGCTACATCGACACTGCTCTTTCACAAAAAACGCGTCAGAATCCCAGCGATAGCGATGTCAGTGACGCAGAACTCATATCGCGGTCAGGATCTCCGGTACCCGGCCAAGAGAACGGGTCACTCCACCCACATATCCCTGTCAGAGAGCCGTCCGCACCTGTCACGACCAACACTGAGAGTCGATTCTTCAAATTCCGCTTTGGAGGGGGGAACGTTTCCTCTGCGTCTTTTTTTTCGAGTGCCCTGTCACGCTCAGGATCAATTGCTAATGCACCTCCTCAGGCATCCCATTTGACTTCACCCTCGCTTCCGTCACTTCCGTCTTCCGACACAACTTGGAAAGAGCCTATACTGGAGGCAACGAAGTCACCGCTCGTCGAGGATCTTCAAAGGGAGCTAATTGATGAACGTAAAAGGAGAGAAACGGCCGAGGCAGATAAGATCGCAATTGAAGCTGAACTCGAGAACTTGAGTGCTGAATTATTTGAAGAGGTGCGTTTAACCACTCAAAAATCTGGGCCACGTGTCCTGATTTATTGTATTTCTATAGGCGAACAAGATGGTTGCAATCGAGCGCCGCAAGCTGGCAGAAGTCGAGGATGAACTAGAGAATGCTCGCGAGGAACGAGAGGCTTTGAAGGCCGCTCTTCGGATCGTCGAAAGAGAGAACATGACCCATGGCATGCGTGGGGTTTCAACAGCAAAGGGCTCTCCGTCCTCATTGCAAACTCTTCAACTCGAACGAGGTTCACTTGTTGAGCAAGCCCTCCCGTCCGATGTAGTGGCTTTGAGTTTGGATCCCGACCCTTCCGTGGGTGCCGAAAAAGTCGGGGCACAGGAACAACCTGGCAATTCCTTGATTCCACGAACGGCGTCGCCATCCATTCTGACACGTAATGCGGATGGTGTCGTCGTTTCCGCTATACCTCTCTCTCCCCGAGCTGCGAAGCAACATGATCCAGAAAAGATTAATGCTGCTCAAGATGCTCCATTCGCTTCAACAGTTTAGCAATCTAAGCACACGTCGGTATCCCCCCCCCCCCCCCCCTCGTTCGTCGGATCGACATCACGTCATTCGTCGCAACCGTTTTCTTGGCGATTTCCCTCATATATATGGACCACCATTTCACTGTGGCAAAGACTCCGACCTTCATCATTTGTTCTTGCAACTCACAACATGGCATGCAATATGTACCACTTCCAAGGAATCGAATTACACATAATGGCTCGAGTCAAGGTACAGCTTCACCGAGTTCTTCATGGTTACCCCATGTACCAGTAGTATACATATTTTCTAATGATAGTCATTTTAATTGGGAAACGCCAGAACGGTTTTAGGGAATACACAAAAGGGGTTACTGAATTCAATTACCTGTTTCCCACGCCAACACGATGCCCCCTTTCCTCGCTGGCGATCAGGGATTGACACCCACCCTACAGCGCCTATCCCGGATAACCAAACACGAATATCCAAATTATGCATCACTATCCCAGCCTGCGCCTCCTCCGATCATTGATTCATCTCCTTTGAGTGATTCCGGTAATCAGGAGAACGTGGATGATCGCGGAGATCGAGAACATGCTAATACGAGTCATATTCTTGGGCTTGCTCGATTACACGGGGAAATACGACGCGAGTATGAGAGAGTGGAGAAGGTGTGTTTATTACACAAAAAGTTTAATGCATGTTGGTATCTGATCAGCCATGTCTGTCTGTCTGTCTGTTTCCTGTGGCAGTTCCTAAAGTCGGATGAGGGATGGGAGTCGCGTCCGCCGTTGTCGACTAACGCCCCCTATCTTATAGCTGTATGGGATGAACTGATCGCGAGTAGAGGGGTAACAGCTGTAGGAAAGATCTTCAAACTCCCAAAGAAGGCCGATGGCACCTCTCTCGTACGTGGGAAGATCCCTGGAGTGTCTAACGAATCGATAAAGGTAGATGTGGTTTCCGAGTTTGGGAAGAAATGGACGCGAGTCATCACGTAAAAAACTTCCGCCCAAGTTCAATCCCTCGTTTTTGAATGTTCTGATGGTTCCAAGTGCAATATAGACTGACAGCTGGTCGATTCATGCGCGAACTGGACGAGATAGAATCTTCCGATTCGGATTCGGAACCAGAGCCTACTACTACTCAAGTTGAAGATCCATCAACTTCCCACCAATCGTTGGAAAGCTCTCTTGTCGCACAAGGAAGAAGATTCGTTCTGACGGCAGACTCCTTTGACTCTACTACTACGCCGGCGCAAAGAGGGCGGGCAGTAGTAGGAGTAGGAGTAGTACGATCCATCCGCCCTCAAATCATCTTCCGTCTCACTCGCCTCGCTTCCGCCGTGTGCACGGCCGGCCCGGCGCCGGAGGGATCCCAAGACGCATCCAACGTGGACAAAAAGCGCGATCTATCCCGTATTCTCAGACACGTGGACAAACTGAAAGCATTGGGCATCACGGTACTGCTAGACGAACAAGACGGTGAGATCGGCGACCGATTGGCAAACATGAAATTAGTCAAGACGCCCATATCGTTCTATCACACTTTGAAAATCAATTTGGACCTGTCCGCGGTCGTCGCGCTGTGCTCGGAAATCACGCATATGGGCCCACCGGAAAATCCAAGTATCGCCGAAGAAAGATTTCGGCCTTGGCGACAATTACTATTGTCGGATTCGGATGGGGTGGAAGAGGCACTCGATGATGGTGGTGGTGATGATGATGATGGCGTAGATAATGGAGGGAATTCAGTGGAGCATGCCCGGTCGCTCATAGCTCAGTCTATCCAGGAAGCCAAGTTGCCGTTGCTCGAAGAAATCCGTCAAAAGGCCATAGATGCGATCGCTTTTCATTCTGGACGTGGTGTTCCATCGCCAAGTTCGTCCAATTATTCCGTCGGACCGTCAGAGAGGAGTCCATCCATAGAATTCTGGACCACTCCCGAAGTTAAGCATCGGGCATTTGGCATCGTGGATAAAATTGGAGGTCAAAACGAGCGCGCTCGTGCTCGCGCTCTCTTTGAAGCCCCATCACCAATTGAGGGAGAGGAGCACTGTGCCAGTGGGTCTCAATCATTCTGGACCAGCTCTCGCTACCCGAAAGATTTTATTCCTTCTTTGCATGTACAACTGTTCCCTTCGGACGTTCCAGAGTCTTTCTACCTTTCTCCTGCTTCTCCGGACTCTGGTACTGTCGAAAGGGACGCCTCCGGGTCGGAGTTGAAGGGAGCAGAATTTTGGACACACCTTGGTCGAACTGCCGCATCATTAGCAGGCTTACATTCCGGTCAACCGATATCCAATCCACTGGACAGTTCCCAACTTCCCTCGACCGAGTCACGTACTAAACCAAATTCAAAGGGGTTGCGCTCAGCTATCACAAAGCATACCGCATTGTCCTTTTTGTGGGGTAGCCAGATGCACATGACGACGGTGACTGCGAATAGGGCCAGCGTGAAGGCTCTCCTCAGAGAAATGGATGCCACTGCGGAGCTCAAGCCGTTTACGAACCCTCTTGTCTCCGAGGAAGGAGGTGTAACAAGGGAGGAGATTCGAGAGGAAGCGGCAATATGGATCATTCGACCTCGGTCATTGGCAGAAGCGAGTGTGGTCACCCCTCCCCCGCCTAGGTCGCACGATTTTACACGCCTAATTTCGTAGACATTTTCACATGGTTGCTTTTAGTCTGCATAGATCGTGGTGCACATGCATATAATCGGACCGCGCTTCGAGCTCACATTGACGACGAAACAAGGCACCTAGCGCGCTAGGGGATCGAGATGATGGCGTGAAAAAGTAAACGCTGGATATGTGGGATGCACAAGGCGTCCTGCTTCTGCTTCTGCTTCTGTTAATTTGGCTCTTCTGAATCGTGTCGCTGCAACTAATTGCTTCGGTATAACTAAAATACATGCATGCGGCGGCAGCGCAAGCGCCTTGACTTCTCAAAGCGTGATAAGTCTCAGATGTCTGGTCATGTTTTTGTCTTTACGTGATGCTTCATATGATGGTCTCATTCTCTAGAGGCCTGGCTTGCATGGTCCCTCATTGCACCAGATAGAATCTGAGTGAAAATCTGTTTTACGCCACCTGATTTTCAGCCACACCAAGTTTTTATGACACGAAGCCCCAAAAGCAGAGTTCCGTGAATTATAATACTGTGGAGCTCGGATCTCTTTACGCCGCCGATAATTAGTTAATTAAGCGAAATTACGTACCTTTAATATGCGTTGGTCATACTTCCACCTCTCCTCCCCTGTGTAAAGTACTCTCAATGAGTGATACTCTTTAGGGCCCAGACTTTCAGCTACGCCGTCAATGGAGACTCATGGGTCAGCTGCACACCTACATAACATGATCGATCTATCTTCCTCTAGCCGATTACATCTTTCATCGCTATGAGCATCAGGTTGTGTACGTACGCATGTCCGCTCCACCTCCAGTACGCTCCACAGCCTAAGACAAGACCCCTGTGTGCTGAGCGCTTATACACCTGTAATCGACCTAGGCACCATAGATCCAGCTCTGTAGGGACGTAACAAGTGATCCACGTCTACGTACATATGTACGCATACACCGAGTGCCTCTAGGGGCAGAAGCCGGAGCTAGGGGCATGCTTGAGCGCGCAGGCAGAGGTTTGAATTTTAGGCTGCATGCTGTACTGATCGATACATGGTACGTGTCCGGAACCCCAGCTTATCTGCGTAAGCTCCATCATATGAGTATCAGCTGGGAAGCACGCTGCATACACTCGTACTACATTATATACGTACCCCCACATCCGATATGAATGGACGCAAGCGATACGTTTAGCATGCATGCATGTTGGGGGTCCACTCGAGTTCGCAAGCATGGGGATCGATAACTCCGTGCACGAAACTCAAATTAGTTTTGCCGTAGTTATACGTCTAGACTGGAATTTCAACGCCAGTAATCCAGCAGCGGATTCAACGATATCATGCATCCTGCTTCCGCACATGCACTTACTTGCACGAAAGAAAGAGTGCGTAACATATGATGAGAGAATGACGTAAGGTACTACTGGTTCGATTCCCAAACGAGATCTGGTCTTCAAGGGGAAAAGAAAGAAAAGAAAAATAAAGACAAATACGGCAGTCCTTATCATTGGAACCCAGCAAACTACGATTCTTCCCCCCCTTCTCTTAACCCTCCAATGATGGAAGAGGAAAGAAAAAGTAAGGGGAGTAAAAACATAAGATAAATGAGGAACAGAAGAAGACAGAGAGGTATTGAGTCGAGCTACCGGAAATGGATATCCAGACGGCAAGGGCTGAGAGAAAAAAAGAAAAAAAGAAACGTTTGCGAATCGGTTTGGTTGGGTATTCGGCGGAGGGGGGAGGACAAATGTAGAGTAAGGTAAGTAAGGTAGAATTGGGGGAGTGGGACGAGAAGCGGGCAAACAAATGTCATGTAACCGCAGTTCTACCCGGTCCGAACGTTCATGAACAGTTCGAGTGGAACGACAAGAACAGAGAGGGGGGGGAGATAAACATAGTAGTAACGAATGACGGACCGCCATCATTTCTGCATCGTTTCCTTTTTCTTTTTTCTTTCTCTTACAACGCAACGACAACCGTCATCAATCCCGCGAAGAGAGTCATACCCATCGCAACAAAGACACCACTGCCCGCGACCCAGATGCTCGCACCAGGCAAGTTCACACTACGCGAGGCGGCACCACTCTTGGAGCTTCCCTGAGTACTAGACGATCCACCGCTCTTGGAAGTACTGCCCGATGGCTTGCTAGTGACGGTGCCAGTACCAGTACCAGTGCTCGTACCCGTAGAAGAACCCTTGCTGTTAGTGGGAGAAGGCGAAGATTGCGAAGCGTAGAGCAGGCTAGACGTGTAAGTTACGCAGTTAGAGGTGGCTGGAATCCTGGGAGTGAAAGGAATGGTGCTGATGGGACCAAGGGATTCTGGAGGTTGAGAGAAGGTCGATGTTTTACCGTCTGAACCAGTGTAAACTCCAGGAGGGTCCTGGTCTTCACTGTCGCAAACTGTGAATTCGCCTGGAGTGTACTGTTTTGGTGGCGCACGTAAAGAGAGGTCACAACGAAATATACCATCAGCAAACTTCCCTTGTAACTAGCTAGAAGAAAAAATATACATACTGATGCAGGGCAAACATAGTTGCAGCCAATACGATCAAAGATGTTGTTGCAGTAAATGTCAGAATTGGCAACGTTAGGGTCACAAATCTTGAAGCAGGCCATGCCCGAGCCCATGTAGCTGGAGAAACAACATAAGCGCTCGTTTCACTGGGACAGACGAAAAAAAAATGATGAAACTTACTTGTGCCATTGGTAGACTTGCTGGAACGAGTTGTTGTTGCCATTGTTACTGGGGAACGCATTCGAATAGACGAGGGAACCAAGAGGGTTACCACGCTGTCAGAGATCATCAAGCCGCATGAACACACACGCATGGAAGAAAAGAAAAGGGAATGTGGACGGACCAGATCAGCACCGTGAGGATCCAACTCTCCTCCACCATCATCCGGTTGAAGGTTAAGATTCTGCTGGTTGAGGGTAGCAGTGAAGAGAATGTAATTGGGTGCCTTTAAGACCTGAACTCCTGTCAAGGTGCCAGCAGGCATGATGCGAGTTCCGTGGCCGGGCTTGGTGGACCAAGCGACACATTCTGCTTCGGTATCCCCAATGGTAGAATTGGGAAGAGGGGGCGCCCAAAGACAGAAGTCTGATGTTGGAAGTGCGTGATGGAGTGATTAGCGCGAGGGAAGGAACAAGTGGACGGAGAAGAAGAAGAAGAATAAGACGCCAGACTTACCATCAATATGGTTCATCAATGCTGTCTGGCAGTCCGAGTTAGGACCTTCAGTGGTAGAGTTGCAAATGTTGTAACCGAATTGAGGCCCACGACCAGTGGGGTTATCGTCAACTTTGTAAGGCTGGAATAAACGTGTGTGTGTGTGGGTTAAGCGAAAAAAGAGGATAATCTGGAAGGAGCGAGTTAACGAACCTGCTGGCCATACGGGAAGTGCTGGTTGAAGAGGGGAGTGGGAGAAGGTGTGGGAGTCTGAGCAGTGACAAAGGCGACTGCGGCGAGGAGAGAAAGAACGTGGCGCGACATGCTGGGATGCTGTCGTGAAACTGGAAGGCGAGGAGGAGGTTTGAAGAAGAGGTAGAAGAAGAAGAAGAAAACAAAGCAACAGTTGTATGCAAGTAAGCAAGTGAAAGTGATGAGAAAGGTGAGACGGACTTGTACTTCTTATATCCATGTGTGATTCGGATTTTAAAGCTTTATCCCCGAGTTTTATTTTTATTTTCGCCCAGGGTATGTATCCTGCCGATCAAAAAATCGCTTTTCGGGCCCAAGAAGCATGGCCACGCATAATCTCATTGGGGACCAGCATCTCTTATGTTAGTAGCTGGGCCCTTGCGACGACAACAACAACCCATCGAGAGCATGAACATGCAAAGCTAACTGGATGTTATTAACAATTTTTCATCGAGACTATTTTGGGATGTTGATTTTGCCAAAAAAAGAATTGAGTTTCCATGGCCGAATCTCAACTTTTTTTACGTCCAAGGTTCAACAGGAGTGGTGGAAGAGGATCCAACTTTGTAACGGGATTACGAAAAACCACTTTACACTATGTAGTAGAACTCAGTCGGCACTGAAATTAAGCGCCGATGGAACTACAGGAATTGATTGATCAACTTTTAATTCATTTTCACGTCAGCTGCCAGCCACCACAAAAGCCACAAATTACATATCATCGAGCCGCACGTACTTCTTCTAAGCCACTTGACAATATTACGAGATTTAGGCCTTTTACCACTGGCTGAGATTGGCAGTACTTTTTCTGTCGTTGCCGAACCGTCGGATTATTCCGAATTAAATAAGACCGAACAAGGAAACTCATCCCCTTGCGCGCTTAACAAATCGCTCTTGCCTTTGACATATATTCCACAACGTTAGGGTCGTTGCTTTCTACATGGCCGAAGAACGGTTGTTGTTGTTTCAATTTTTATAGCGGTGCCGAGCAACAAGTGATGTCTCGATTCAGTACGTACATGCTTTGTGTGCCTTAGATGTTACGATTCATTGTACCTGACACCAAGTGAGTAATTTGAAGGCTATTTATATACTTTTGAGGAATCAACGATCCCAACGATCCCAGGCTGGCGGGAACATGGGGATAGTGCACCAATATGATTCTAAAAAAGGAGCAACGATACGGGTGTGTTCTGGCTCCGGAACAGGCATGCGTCCGGCATTGTCTTTGACCGCATCGCATACTTTGGTGGACATGGAGACCCAATCCGGAAGCACTCCATGCCGATCTTGTTCCAATTTGGGTGGCATCCTGTCTACGGTAATATGTACATACATCTTGATGAAATTCGAGAGCGACACGTGATAGATCGGAATCAACCTTGAACACATTTCAACCCGTGTTCCAAAGGGAGCGACGAGCGATGGAAGGGCCCATCAAGCGCAAGGTGTGCAATTACGACGATCCAAGTACTAAATAGCTCAGAATAACGTGGGAATTAGGTCCTTTCGCGCCCTGCGTCGCGAGCGGCATCACCAACTCGGACCGGAGATGCAACCTCGCGGGTCGGGCGTTCCATAACAGTGAAAGCCAAGGTTTCTTCCTCCTCCATCGTTCGTAGTTCCACTCCATTAGCTCGTTCCCCACCATTAGCTAGTCAAACCCCGCGCTCTCTGTCCCCCCTACGGCCGAACCAAGCTCCTAATACGCCACGCCCTATTTCCATGTTCGTATCCCATAGTAGTGTCTTTCCTCCCGATCCATCCCATTCCTCCCCAGGCTTCGTACCGAAAGCCAAAAGAAGTGCTCTAGCCTTAAACAAGAATACCGCCTCTTCTTCCTCCTCTTTGCCAACAGTGTCTGTTACCGGACCCGTGTCAAAAATCCCACCGTTGAGCGGCGCCACTTCGTCGTCGAATTCTGCTCCCGCCCCAATCATTTCTACACGATTATACCCCGATCGTTCCTCTGCGCGCTCTCTGACACCAACTGCGCGTCCAGATCCCAGTAGAAGACGTTCAGGAAGTTTTAGTGACGATGGACGCAGTTCGAATCTCAGTTCGCATCTGAGTTCGAATGCGAGCCTAGTGTCAGCTTCGGCCATCTCCGCCTCCTCACCACGCACGCCTAATAATAAGGAGAATGGCTTTGGCAGCATACGGCGGACGAGCGTCACGCTAGGAACTGCTTCTGGCCATCAGCCACCTCCACCTTCTTCGTGGAACACCCATGTCCCGATACGCCCTCGAGCGAAGCTCTCCAATATATCATTACCCACAGGACCTGGTTCCCCTCAAATCCCCCGTCTTCTTCAGAAGGAGGATCTGCTACGACAACATCAAATAGACACGCACGTTCTAACTCTGCCTCTTCCTTAAACTCCCCTCGAAAACCGACCTTGACACCCAGTCCACTTCACCGTCGGACACCCTCCGCAACTTATCGCCTCGACAAACAGCCTTCCAACCTATCATCATGGAGTACAGCTCATCTGCCTCCGGAGCAATCATCACCGACTTCACTTTCTCGTCCTCGTGCCGCTACCTCTATCTCCTCAACCAGTATCCCTACCACCACCAATATCGTATCTCCGTCGCAACGACTTCTAGTGCCTAGATCGCCTGTTACATCAACCCTCTCCTCACTCTCTTCCGACTCCGGCGTTGCTGCAGCACCGCTACCACCAGTAACAATCACATCATACCCACCAAAACCATCATCCCATGTCTCAGATGTCTCATCTTCTGTTTCTACCAACGCTTCAGTAGAAAAACCACATTTAGTTCCAGGAACTATCATACCGGACCGAAAGGTTTTGGGTGCAGCTTGGTCGAGTGGACAAGGGATGCAACAAAGCCAGTCGAGAGGCGTATCGTCATCTAATTCTGAAGCTGACGGCGAGGGCGTACAATTGCCAGAGGAAGAGACGGACTCGGGTCTACTTTTACCACTCGATTTGATGGAACGGGCGGAAGCGAAGATAGAGGCAAAGTCGAATCGTAAAGTGGGTTAGCCTCGATAATCTTTTTTCATTTCAGCAAAAAAACTCACGTCCCCCATGTTCGCATTTTCAAGATTGCCGATCTCGAAATAACTAATCGCTCACTGTTCGTGTTTTCCCCTTCATCTCATCCTGAAACGTCACCAGTTACTTATCTTCACTTTTCTTTTGCTGTATCTAGGATGGCCATCAATACTCAACTTGAGGCCGAAAAGGTTCGCCAAATGCGTGAAATTCGTGAACTTAAAAGACGGTTGCGTGAATCTCGTCTCATTCTTCCTCCAGGCGCTTTCAAAGTTCTCGACGAGCAACGCAAGCGCGCGATCGCAGCCGGAACATCAAAAACAGGGGGGACTGCAGTAGATGATTTGGAAGAGGAGGACGATGATGAGGATTCTGACGATGGAGTCGAGCAGCCACCAGATCCGGCCTATGAACGTGTAACGGCGCTCGTCGACGCTCTTATCGTTCGGGGACACGAAGCGCTGCGAAGCACTACCGAAAGTCTCTCGCGTGGTGTAGGTGGAATTGGATCAACAGGGACCAAAGTCCTCAGCCCCGATGAAGTCCAAATGCACTATGCCCGACAAGAGGTCGAGGATGCTATGCTGTCATCGGAACGTACTCCTCGTGAGGAACAGGACGGCTCTGCATTCGATCGACTGAAGGATGTGGTGCATGATCTTGATGGGCTCGAGGCTGGTATGGACGACGATCCGTTCGTTTCTGGGGTAGACGACGAATGATATCTAAAGATGTGCTTCTTTTTTTTTAAACGAAACGAAGCACATGTAGATCACTGATGCTTGCATTCTGTAACGAATCCGTAATTACAGTTTCTTTCCTATGGAGGGAGACAACTCATTCCCCGAACTCAATAACATCTTTTCATCACACACTCTAATACTTTCATCCTAGGTACCCATTCTACGCATCTTGCATCTTATGGCACATTCTTTTAAAATTCATCCTTCCGCTGTATGTTTTAATATCCTCTACTTACACTCATGAACCTAACGAACTAAACATGACATACATCGAACAACCCGCGAGTCTGAAGATTCTATGTCGCTGTTGTTACATTGTTAACAAGGCACATATTAAGCTAGGGAGGGGGGGGGAGAGGGGGTGTATAAAGAAAGTGTGGGATTTAATCTTCTTCTTGGGCAGCGCGTTGTGCTCTCTTAGCCAGCTGACAACGTAAGAGTGTCATCAGTTTAGGGAGGGAAAGGGAACAAATATCGGCGTTTCCCTTACCGCAGCGGCCAAATCCAGCTGACCTGCCCTTGGCGCACCACCCCCTCCCGCCACCGGAGGTCGGGGTGGTGCAGGGGGAACGCCACTACCATTGGGTTTCCCGGGAATCGACGGTTTTGTGGCCGCGATTGGAGGCTTTAAACCTCCAGTCCCAGGTTTAGGTGCTAGCACCGGCGGCTTAGGTTTTGGAGCAAGTGGCGGTGCTTTACTAGCAGCCCCTACTAGAGATTGGCGCCCAGAATCTGGCTCGGAAGTTGTTGTAGACAAGGAGGGCTTCTTCCATGGCGTTGTCGATCCGTTGCTTGGTGCCATACCCGGGAATACAGATATTGGCTTGGCATTGGAGTCCGCGGTCAAAGACGATGGAACTGTGGGCTTTTGAGTCACAGATTTGGGGACGCTCGCGGCGGGGGCTGGTGTTGCGGGAGCAGGCCGCCGTGCGGTGGGTGGCGGAGGAGGCGCTACGGGTTTCGGTTTAGGGGGAACGAGCTGAAGATAGTTTGACGGCGCCCATCCCTCGACCTGATCCTTCTTAACCAGCCACCAGCCTTTGTATAGAGAATTAGTGCCAAGCTTCAGAGGTCTGTAAGAGCAATGTACCATTGTCGTCCTTCTCGATCAATTCCACTAGGTCATCCTTCGTTAGTGACATTTCGCCTTCCTGCCCGGAAAAGTCAAATAATGCCTTGTAGATAGGAACGTCGGGATTTGGTGCGGCCGCTGGTGGAGGTGGAGGTGGCGGTGGCGGTGGCGGAGGAGCGACAGATTGTCGTTTAGCTGGTGTAGTGGAAGTGGAGGCGGGTGGTTTAACACCTGGTGCTGATATGCTTGGGAAGGGTTTGCTGGTAGGTTTCGGCACGGCGACTGGCCGTGGTTTCTAACACAGATCCGGATGTTAACCTTGATTCCACATTGGGGCGACTTCCAGCTTACATCAGTGGATGGCCCGCCTTTCCGGAGTAGCTTCCCTTTTGTGATCGGTCTGACTTGGCCAGGCTTGCGCTTAGCCGCGGGCCGTGACGAGCTTCCAGGAGGTTCACCAGATGGCACGGACACTGCATGACTCTTGTATACGTCGTTCCTGTGGATGGTCTCGTCTTTCTGGAATTTAATGATTTGCTTCTTATCTTTCTTTTTGACGTACTCGATGCTAAGCAGGCTATTAGCACGGAGACATGGTTAGCAAGCAGGGACACCTACGCGGGGTTTATGACTACAGCGATGCTGCTCCGTGTTAATTTATCTAACCAAGTAAGCAATTCTGTTTTGAAGAAACAGCTAATTACGGGATCCCCTTCATCGGACGCATTGAGGTTAAGTACCTAGAGAAGGGATAAGGTATAATTAGGGTACTCAGAGGAATGACGCACAACCCAATCATCCCGCAAGTTTGACATCGCAACTGCTTTGATGGTCACAAGCGGGATCTTACGCTCTAACATGGTGGTGATACGTCCATCTTTCTGCATCGAAACGACAATGTACACGGCCTTCTCGGTCTATTCTAACGTTCAGTGCGGAGCGACAAGGAAACATGGAAACATGTTCGACGCACCACCACTAAGTAACGAGGAGAAGGCTTGCTTGATCTGCCGAGTTTGGAAACCAATATTTGGATCCTTGAACTGAACGCAACCTGTTCGTCTATGGGGAAGGAAGTGATTCCAAAACTGCAGCTGACATCGCAACTAATCACGTACTGCCAATGCCACAAGCCTCCTTGAGCGTCTCCCCCAGCGGATCGCTAGACCCAACTTCCAAGTAGTCACCCAGGAACCGACGATAACTTAGCAAACTAAAACGTCTTCGCTCCTTGCGACCCGCAAGCAGCTGGTGGCCACGGTCCCTGATTTTGGCGTATTGGATGCTCTCTCTGTTGTTTCTCCAGAAGCGTTGTATACGAGTAGCACATCCGTTACGATAGCGCACATAATTCTTCCAAGCACGCTGAATCCGGGCAGCCATGTTGTGCCAGTAACGGTCTCTCATAGTCTCCAGTGCAAAGAGCTTTAACAGAATCTATTAGCCCACTTTGCCTGCCAAAAAGTAAGTACACACCGTTTCCGGATTCTTTATGAAAGCCTTTGTGACACCCATCTGCCATTCTTCCCTGGCAATGCCAGTGTCTTTAAGAATACGTTCGCAACCAGACCTCGCATCGCCCTGCCAAATGTATTCGCCAGCATAGGAAGTTGCGGGGGAAAGAAGATAGAATCTAAGATACACGTCAAGCAAATCAGAGCCAGACTGCGGAGATGAATATATAACTGACCTTTCGATCATCTTGTCGAAGGTGTTGCGGTAAGCAAAGCCAGCCCGTCTCACCCGGATGTTTTCCTTCAAACCCAGATATTTGATTTGGTGCAAGATCGCTTTCGTGTCATACTCGGTGGGGCTACGATTCTGATTCGACTTTATCGTTCGGATGTAAGAGGGTTGGGCACGCATCAAGTTCTCAACAAGTGCATTGGCGGATGCCTGAAAAGCCCAATAACATATCAGCACTTCCAGAGATGCGCTTTAAAATGGAAACAAACCTTAATCTTGTCACCTGCAGTAGGGGGCCGCTTCTTGCTATTCGGATCGGGGCGGTCACTGAACAGCGAAGCAAGAAACTGATTTCCGCAAGTTGCAGCTAGTTCGAGCAGATCCTTGACCAGTGCGTCCTTGTTCTTCTCAGTCATTCCCGGAACATTATACATCACGTCGCCGGCATAATGTTTCACAAGGAATTTCTGGCCACGCCCGTCGAAATGTGGGTTGGAGGAAAGACCTGATAGTCTTTGAATGAAACTCCCATCTGCAGCAGCAGGATCGGCATGGGCGGTAGCGCAAGCGTCATTCAATGCAGCAAATATTCCTGGTGGTCGTCTCTCCTCAATGAGATCACATACGATCTTGTTATTGAAATAATTGATTGGAGTCCACTTGATCTCCTCCCGAACGTACTCTTCTTGCTCCGTCTTTAATGTGAGCTCTATAAATATTTGCTGTAGTTTCTCGTTAACGTAATTGATGCAAAGTTGTTCAAACGAATTGTCCTGGAAGATTTCGAAGCCGTAGATATCGAGGACGCCGATGAGATGGGAATGCGCTGCTCTTGCGGCCATGGATACATTTATTCGGGACACGATCCACTCGAAAAGATTGTTGTAGATAGCCTTAGCTAGGGCATCGCGACCCGCTGCTGCTTGTGTGGGATTCAGGGGGACGTCGTAGACAGAGCCTTGGGGGTGTCAATCAGCGTCTCACTTACGCCGCAAACTCTGGCCTACCTCGCCTTCCACCTCGTTGCGTTTCTACTACCCTGGTTGTCATCACCTTGTGAACTGCACTCGAATCCGCTTCCATGAGGTAAGCAATGAAATCAATGACATTGGTGTCATCGATTTGTGTGTTCCCGTCCTCCATCTCAGTGAACTGAACATTACCTAGCCATAGGACTATTGCAAGCATGCGAAGAATCTCGGTTTGTTCATGTTGCGTTAGTCCGATAACGTTCATTGCTTGCTGCAAATTTGTTGATCAGTGTGAAACTATGAGAGAACCTGCAACGCGCACAATCGTATCCTTGAACTCGGAGACGTCATTGATCCCTGGAACGTCTAGGCAATTCGATCGACTGGTATAAGCATATGAATCTGGGCCCTGCAATCCGAACATCTCTAGGAATGAGATATATGATGGATCGTACTCATGATATTGACAGCAGGCGTAACACTCACCTCGTTGTTCGTCCGATGCACCCTTGGTAAATTGATAGAAGATGTGGAAATTACGCTCCGAATCCAACTGGCCAACGACCCGCCCCTTCTCCAGCAGGTAATTTGTGATTTGTGCGCCCACCGGCTCACCCCCGTCATTGAACATGATCTCTAGATATTTTCCCTATCGAATTAATTGAGCTGTTGAAGAATTGACACCGAGTCCACAACGTACATGACGACTGGAATTATTATTTCGCAGCGTCTTAGCGCAGCCGAAGCTCTCCAGCAGAGGATTCGTTGCAAGTACCATGTCCTTTATTTCCTTGATACTGCTGTCCTGGCCTCCAGACACTGCAGCGATATATTGCATGATGCGCTTGGCAGCTTCTGTTTTGCCTGCACCTGATTCACCGGAAATAATGACACATTGATTTTCCTTGTATGCTTGCATGTTATAGTAGGCACTTTCAGCAATGCTGAATACATGAGGCGCAACCTCTAATCGATTCTTTCCGTGATAGGTCTGGAGTACTGCGTCTGTGTAAATACCGAGATCTAGAAGTGCAGCAAATGGTCAAACCATCGGGCTACGGTGCAAGGAGAGCGTGGCATAAAACTTCACCTCGGAAAGGATTAACAGAGATAAGCACGCTACCGATGTAGGTGTAAATTTCCCCGTTCTTCCAGCGCTTCTCAAGATTGTCATTGATTGCTTCGTCGGTTATGGTTGTGAGGAGTGTCATGTCTGAAACGCCAGCCTGCTTTTTCTTGAAACCTTCCTTCCAGTCGGCCTACATGTAGTCCATAATGGAGCAACAATTACTCATGGATCGGCACACTGTTTGAGAAGATCGTTGCATATCCCCTTACTTTGGCAACCTTGGCACCTCCACCTCCCTTCTTCGGTGCCGCCTGCGTGACGACCTTCTTTCCCGCTTTCTTCGAGGGCGCCTATAGCGGAACACATTTCACCAGCATGAGCTGCAGGGAACAGAGAAGACAAACCATTGGCTGAGAATTGCTGAATGACCGTTTGCAGGTGACAACTGTATATGAATGTAAACAATGAGTGGAAGATCGCACGTGATGTATATTTCACGAACTGCGGTCAAGTTCCGTCATCGCCAACACAGCACTCGCTTGCATGGCATAGTACGATCCACGAGTAAAATCACCAATGGCGTGAATTTTTTGACAAAAGATGTTATGTAGGAGAGAGGTGAAGTCATAACCATAAACTGATCCCAGTCTAAGTATCCCAATCACCAACTTACATTCACCGATCGAATCAACTCAGCTGCTTTAGGTGAACGGGGCGTTACGCGCACTGGATGACCGGTGATGTGGCTAATATCCACAAGCAGATCGTTAGCTTCAAGAGTGATGCTTGGATAGATAGGACACTTCCAGGATGAGCGGGCCCGCCGAACTCAAGTTCTGGTGTGATAGGCTGCCCACTACTATCTACAGCTTCCTCAACATTGAAAGAATGCAGTATAGTTGAGAGAGGCAAAAATGCAGTTGCTTTCGCAGTCCAATCCTGGACATAGTGGGAACCAGGGGGAGAAAGCGCTCAGGAATGAAGTTTCGTACTATGGAACCTCGGCCAAGGATGTGCGAGTATTTCCCTCAGTGGTCGATGACAGGACACGCTAATTGCCCACCCTCTCTTGGGGATGGGCGTGCGAATGGCGCTAGATTTGTTGTGTTGTCAACCGCGGACGGTCGGGACAGGCTCATCATCCTGGCGTGTGGAGTTACCCATTGATCGGAAATTTGGCGCACACCATAACGAGACTCACAGATTGGTGATGGGCGCAATCCGGCATGCCCCCAACACCATTAGGCGGCAATTCTGGAGGGCCTCGTTGTCGTGTTGAGCCTGTTGGCCGATACACATAGTTTCCACAATGTTCCGTTGGCAGTGGCCGTCCGTTGGGGAAGGCGTGAGGGATCGTGGTTTATTCCACCAAGCACTTCCCCCTGCTGGCTCCATCGGGCTGTCCCGCTGTTCAGGATATGGCGGGAGACTGGGCAAGTTGGGGTTCGTGATTCCACAGCCCGGCGCAAGGGCAGGTGCCCAAATCAGTAGCGCAGGGCTGTGAGCGTCCAGAGCGGGCCGTAGATTGAGGTTGTGGTTGGTGTACTATGGTATGGGATTGGGGGAAGCCGCAAATAGGGCCATAATGTCTTGGGTCTGTGACGTCGATGGTGCGACACCTTGAAGATCTTCCCTTTGGCCAATGACCCTGGGGAGCTCGCGGTCCTGGTGGGCGGGATAGAGCTTCTCGGATGCCGAGAAGGAAATCAAGGCTTACTGTGCTACCCGCATCAGGATGTCGATGACGTTGGAATATTAACGATAATCTCAGCATCCGAGTGGCGATGGGGAAAAGGTGTTGAAGTGGCATTCCGATGCCCTTGTGCTGCGGTTATTGTTCCCAGTTTCCTTGTTCTAACGGTTTAGCCTTTGTTCCTTTTGAGCCACACAGAAATGTATATAACTGTGCTGTGTAGAGCTGAGTGCGATATCTAATGATACCGTACTCAGAGTGTCCGGCTGCAATGCCGCGATTATAATAAAAGGAACGATAGGCAGAAATTTAATCTTTATCCTTTGCTCGATAGCCTCGCCGCTGAGCGATAAAGGGGAGAATTTTTGAACTTACCTTCCCTCAGATACATCTCCTCTACGAGACTGAGGTGAGAGTCACTGTTTTCATCGTCCTCGTCCACACAACATTCATATTCATGTCTTACATATGTCGCGAAATTACGTTTGTAGCCAAAAATTAATCTGATCCTCAGCGCTCAATCGCAGGCAGCACTTAGAGTGCAAGCGCAATGACGAAATAAAACTGCAGACATGTAGTAATATTAACCTGTGGTACTTGGACGGGTCGCAAGTGCAACGTGATATGATGCATACGGGGAGGATTATATATTGCGAAGAATGTCATTCAACTTGCGGTAGATATCTTATCGATAGGCCTATAAATTAGTACTAGTAGTAGGAATTAGCAGTCACTGGCGTTCACAGTTGAGTTGTTCCACGTACTGCATTCGAACTCAGTGAAACCACGACTGGCTGACTGCAGAATAGTGCATACCTTTCGCGAGAGTGTGAAAATGGCTGATGTGGACGTGTTTCACTCAACTTTTGGGTCCGGCAAATTGCATGTACAAGGTCTTGGTGCTAAAGGACTTACAAGAACAAAAGAGTTGAGCGAGCCAATACTCAGCTCCCGGCAGACACGACAGTTTGTTTGCTCCGCGCTGGGTATGCTCATGGTCTTGCTGAACCTCTGGGATATGTTGACTACCAAGCAGATCGCAACGCGTCTGGTTCTAGAGACGCTTCCCTTGGCGGAATGTTTGCACTGTTACGGCTGTCCATGCTCCAGAGGGGCTTCTGAATGATCTCACCCTTCGTAGTCTTGCCAGTTGATCTCAGCTACGAAATAAGGGGCTGGCTATTATTGGTGGATGCGCGTTCGCTGTTATGCAGTTGAGCTGATGTCCATACAATTTAATATGAAATCTATCAACACATGGCCATTGAGCAGCGCTTCGGCAACTCGTGAGGGACCCGTCTGGTTGCTTCGTTCTTACCTTGACAGGTGCAGGGGTTCGCTCCGTCAAGAGATTCCTTTCGGACCCATTCTTTCACAGGTGCGACACAGACTCGTACCCAGTCGGAGTCGATCGTGGACGCGCAATAATATGTAGTTTGCTTTTTTTTTGCGCGGAAAGAGCGAATTGCATGTTACTCCACGACCGACTCCGACTGGGTACGAGTCTGGTTGCGTCAGTTCACTTTGTTGAGATATTCCTTTTGGTTTGATTACATTTGCCTTGATGCCCGGGTGCGGGAGTTTGCTCCTCCTTTTGCCAGATCCATTTCATTCCTGTTAGAGGACTTCCAAAACAGGAGAGTTGAGCGAGCCAATACTCAGCCCCCAGCAGACATGCCGGTTCGTTTGCTCCGCACTGGGTATGCTCATGGTCTTGCTGAACTTTTGGGGCATGTTGACTACCAAGCAGACCGCAACGCGTCTGGTTCTAGAGACGCTTCCCTCGGTGGAATGTTTGCACTGTTACGGCTGTCCATGCTCCAGAAGGGCTTCTGAATGATCTCACCCTTCGTAGTCTTGCCAGTTGATCTCAGCTACGAAATAAGGGGCTAGCTATTATTGGTGGATGCGCGTTCGCTGTTATGCAGTTGAGCTGATGTCCATACAATTTAATATGAAATCTATCAACACATGGCCATTGGGCAGCGCTTCGGCAACTCATGGGAACCACCCATCTGTCTGGCTGCCTCGTTCTTGGGAAGCTTACTGGAGAGTATGCTGTTCCCGAACTTGGAGCAATGTCAGCCGCATATCGCGTGTCAAAGTTGCTCCAACATCAAAGAATGCAGCACACCGACAGGGAGGGGCCAGGGTAGTTAGCATGTACTGAGGTCGGGTTGGGATGCTGAGAGGGAGGACATTGGGTACAATTTGGAACACACATCGAACCGTGTTGGGATGAGTGGCAAACCAGGGCACTTTCCAGGTGCTACAAGTTTGCCTGGGACGGTTTGCATAGCAACGCTTTGAGGACATGAAGCCATGTCTGGCATGGAGGCCTCGGAGATTCATTCAAACGAGAGGATCTTTGGCAATTCGAATTCAATTCACCGTATGCTGCATGAATCGATCTTCGGAAAAATAGTCCGTTCTCATGATGACGCATGCAGAGTGTATAGTGGGAGATGTCCTTATCACTTTCGGCATGCTTTTGAATCTTGATGACATGTTTTCACAGTGGAAAGTTGGTTGGCGTGGACCGAAACACTTCAATAACACTCAGTGAATTCCAGTGCGGCTCGAGGCACATCTATGTACGAGCTGACACTCTCCAGGCCATTCTGAGCCGCATGGATACGTGTAAACATTGTCATCCCCTATCTCTGGACGTGCTTTTCATCAAGAATCTGGACTCGAACTTTCCGCTGTTGACTCCGAACGATCCGGATCTTTGGCCCAACCCGGACGCCAAGTTGAGCTATTTTCGAAATCTCTTCCTCTTTCAGGCCTGCAAACTAAAATTAGACCCATCAGCCATGCATCATAACGCCATTCCACCCGATGACTGCAGGTCGACATCCAGGAGCGTGACGATCTCATGGTGGCAGACCCGTCGATTATTTTGCGAGCCCATCGACTCATGACCGAGCGGGGTGTACTCATGAACTACGATGTGAGCCGATCATTGGATTAATATGTTTCAGCTCAGCCGCAGCAGTCGTCAAGTAACACAGGATGCATACAAGTTATTAGGCTTCCCCAAGAATTTGAGATTGGGCAACACAGCGAGACCAAAGCTAATTTTTATTTCCGAGGACGCCCGGGGTCTTTAGTACTAGAGGCTGGGATCCTGCCTAGCCTGGGGTATAGCCAAGAATTCGCGGCCAAATAGGTTGAAAATGTCGTTACCTGAAAATGACAGCAAGAATGAGAGGCCGTTAGCCAGAGTGTAGCAGATCGATGCAGACTTCGTGGTCAGACCAAAGGAGCCAACACTACCAGGGTGCTCTATACGATTCACTTAAAGGACACAATACAAATTGATCTGCTCAACCGCGACAGTACTGACTAACTCATACTCCACGTTAGCGACGCAGCATGCCTACGGCAAATCATGCCTCTATATTCATCATCGGCGGTGACCACATGTGGGACTGCAATACGCACAGGAGTACTCCAACGCAGAACTTCTTTCATGACAGCGACTAGATAAAGCAGATCTTCGTAATCTTGCATCGTAGGTAATCGATCTGGACGGATTACTCTATCGAGTTCTTCCTGGGTTCGTTGTTGTACTTCTGGATGAGGTGTCATGAGGAAGAAGAAAGTTTCAATTAAGATATGCGCATGAGCCGTCACTGCCAGCTGTGCAAGTAGGAGCTAGTAAGCTCATTCATACCCTGGCGATAATGGCTGGTGTGGTGCCTCCAAAAAGGGCAGAAGTGCACTTGATTATTTCTTCTCCGTCTTCCTCTCCCCGTAGTCTTTTTGTCAATGGGATCCAGAGCGACAGACTACTCACAAATTCATGTTACAGGATATATTTTACTGTACAGGTCCACTTGAGAGTGATGATGACGATACAGGACCTGGAAGGCCCCGCCTTCCCCACAAGCCTCCAGACATTCTTGCCCGCGAAAACCACCGAGGGTTCCACCAAAAAAAAGGAAATATGGCAGATAATCAATCCAGAAGCCTCCTGAGACAGCAAGCCCAAAATTTGCACAACGAGAGCCAAACGAGTCCTTGATGTCCTTTGGCTTGTAGCCACAAGAAATCTCCATTATGGCGCTACCAGTGGCACCCTTGAGACTTTCTCTGAACTTGAAGGGATTGTCCAGCAGCGATAATGCGAACTGTTGAACAATGTGCTCTTGCATAGGGTGATATGTTTTGGATATCTTTGCATTAAGCGCGAAGCTCATGAGCAAAACTTGGGTTCGTAAGGAGCGAGTGGAGAACTTGATGAATATCTCATCGTGTCTGCCATGTGGGGCTCAGGACGAGAAGAATAGACAGTGGATCTATTTTCCAGAAGATCGGGAACAGCTTTAACACTGTCAAGAATGATGGCAGGTCTGCCGAAGGCTGAGATGCAGCATGTCTCTTGAGCAGTCGGTGTACAGTCAATACTTCCTATGCTTGTTCACTCGAAGGGACTATGGTGCACTTACCATGAAGCTTCGACCATTCCATAAAATTTTGATGTCTAAACTTTGGAGGAATTTGCTTCGCATTCCCGAAGAAAAAAAGCTTCAGGAGGGCCAGGCGGAAGTGGGAGACGGTTCCTTCTGAAGGACGTGACGAAGAAACAGGCCCAAGCAATTCCTAGCATGTATGTCCACATGCTGAGCCCGCGGCACATGCTAACGACAATGGTGTTGTTTTAGGATGGCAAAAATGTGTTCCTGCAAAAGTAGCCCGAAAGTGTACTTAAGACGTCGCGTTCTCAGGAAATGCTGCAGCCAGAGAACAGGGCGTGAGGCGTGAGGCGGCAATAACATGGGAAAATGCACATGCACCACCCAATGTCGCCGGCCGGATGGCCGGGTAAGGCTTCCGAATGGCATGTGCTTGCCATAGAATTCGCTTCTAGGGGGACTCTAGCTTAATAGCGTGGAGGTGTTCATCGCCGCAACCGGACATCGCCCTGACCCCTATGTGGCGGGCTTATGGAACTCCTGTGACCACTTATGTACATGGGCCTTGTATAATTTTGGCAGGGCTGACTGATCGGGAACTCTTCCAGGGCTGCGTGAGATTTCCAAGCCGCTTTCGGTCGAACTCAGGTGTTCAAGTTTCAGCTGGCACGTTAGTGCCATGCGACTATCCTGAATCCTTCAGACCACTTCTCACTTGAAATCGAAGAGCACCTGCATCCCGACTTGGGGGCTGAAGGGATCGATGTATGAAGCTAGCGGGTTGATGCCGTGCGAATAATTTGGGCCATAATGATTGCCCGGTAGATCATTCGAGACAACGAAGTTAATATTTCGATTTTGATAGGAGATGATCAAGCTGAAGCATCACGGCATCGAGAGCGAGGCATTCGTATACACCATCAAGGATGCTCCGTTAATAGTATGTTCTGCAAGCTCGCGAACTCCGAATTGCCCTAATATCCTGTCGTTTATTGGATGTGCACCATGAAATCGCTGGTATTGATAATAGTATTATGGGTACGCAAGCAGTCGGGTTCATTATTGTTTGCGCATCTTGTCCCTTCAGCGAAGCACTGTAAAAACGAAAAGAGGTTGATGCTGATGCTGAGCTGCCAGTTGGCTAAGTACTGGAAAACTTGCAATGATGGTCCCACGGAGTTTTGTCAGGACTGAGTATAGGGCCGCTGCCACTCCGCGCAGACCGAAACGAATATACCGCCCCCCGCTCAGCCACCACTGGCAGAGCGAGCATGGATTGAATGGAAGCGATAGTCAACTGGCGGCCACACCCCAACATTGGCATGGGTCATGACGAGAACGAGTAACAACCTTCCTGGGCCCTTAGGTTAGAAGGGATGAAGGCCGTGGAAGAATTATTCCGTACTGTTCACAATAGTGCGGGAGATAGATTGGGGACCAGTGCTGCTCTCCGCAAGTGCGAGCCCAGGAACACCCGAGACCAGAAAATTCACCAAGGATAATGTTCTGTGCAATGAGGGGTGGGAGGCGCAGAAGTGCAAGGCCAAGTCAGGTAGTGCGTGCAGGGGCGTTCGACGGCAGCAATGGTCGTATTCTCCCTGTGAGTCGGGTAAATAAGCGAAAGTCTTGCGGTAGCATTTTTGGCAAGCAAAAACCAGCTGCGGCCCTTCTCAGTGCAATACTAGCATAGACAGTTAACACAGACTGACATAGTTCCCGGAGAGAATTCGAAGTCGAGAGTACGAACGTTCTCGCTCCATCGAATGGGGAGAACCACAGCAATTGGTTGTCGACGCCATCGGATTCCATGATGTATAGACGGGTACATAAGTTGTCACATGCTGGGTTTGTTCCCACCGGCCGATACAGGTCACCTCGAACTGGCCAGGAGCAATAGCGTGCTGGTTTGTGGTCGGTGTGCCAGTTCTGTGCAAGTGCCCTGCATTGATGACTTTCGCCTTCCCACGTAATCCGAAAGCATGTGCTGCTCTTTGGGTTGAGAGTCAAGCTGGGTAGGCAGATGACCAGCCTCTCTTTGTGGGGAAGAAGATAATTCTGGCCACTCTAACGTCTTGGCGGACCAACAGTCGGTCACATGACCGTCTTAACTCCGCGTCTCCTGAGCTTTCTGTTCAAACCACCCCGACAGTTGTGAGGAATAGGCTTGAGAGGGAGGGGGCGAATAAGGTCTACTGGTCCTCAATGGTACCTGCGTCGCCCAGTACTATAAAAGAAGGTGAGAGGGCTTGTTTCGGGAGTTGCCGGACAACAACAAAACGAAAGTCCGCACAAAAGCCCTGTTGAGTCTTGTTCAACTGAATTGAAACAACAAGCGTCGGTCGCCTATTGTCTATTGAAGGACAACAAGAGCGCACTATGGCCATCACCTACAAAGCAAAACTACCATACTGCAACCTCTGTCTTTTCCCCATCATCCTTTACGCTCGTTATCATCGAAGACGACCGACGTAGACGCCGCCGTCGACGATGAAGAACAAGGAAACGCATTCAGACCCTCTCTCGACACCAACAGTCGTACACACCAAACCAACCCAGCGTTCGCCACCAGCACCGACCTACGCTCTTCTCTTCTCTCACTGCTCTCGCAACGATGTCTTCACCCTTCTCATCCCCGCCGTCATCGCGTCCCTCGTCGGTGGTGGTGTACAACCCTTCATGACACATCTCATCGGTCAGGCTTTCAACGCAATGGCCCAGTTCCCAAACGTTTCCCCCACGGATGGTGATAGACATCGTCTGGTTCGAACTATGACGCTTGTAGCTATTGAGCTCGTGTGCCTCGCCGCTGGCTCGCTTATCATAAGCAGTCTTATCAGTGGGCTATGGTTGAGGGTCGGCGAACGCATCGTCATGAGAGTGAGGAACAAAGTTTTCCACGCTGTGGTTCGCAGAGATATCGAATGGTTCGATAAGCTCGGCGTCTCGGAATCCGAGAATACCTCAGACGGCATTGGGGCTGGTGGACTAATGGCTAAATTCGCAAGGTAAGTCATCACAACCTGCGAGCGACTTCACTTGCTGACCCGCGGCGCCACTCGCAATTACAGAGAAACAGAAGATGTCCGGGAGGCCGTCTCTCTTACCTTTGGTCTCACGATTCAAAATGCAGCATCTGCCCTGGCTGCACTCATTCTAGCCTTCAAACAATCGTGGTCCCTTTCCCTTGTAATCCTTTCCGTCATCCCTATTACCATCGTTATTCAGGGTGCTTCCCAAACCCTTTCTGCACCACACTACGACACCGAGCGAAGCGTTACTGCCAGCGTTGCTACTCGTATCACCCGTGCCATCGCATCAATTTCCACTGTCAAGTCGTACAACGCCGCCGGCTATGAAGAGTCGCAGGTCTCAAGTCTTCTCGAGCAGTCGATCAAGGCCTACAAGGCGTGTACGACTGTGTGGGGTGCTTCAAACGGCGCCGTCCAGTTCGTGCTCTTTTCCATGTTTGTTCAGGGTTTCTGGTTTGGCGCCAAGCTCGTTAGGGAAGGCAGGGCATCGGCTGGAACGGTTATGAGTGTCTTCTGGGCTTGCATTGTTCTCCAGGCGAGCTTAGGGACGTGCTTGCCTCTCCTCGTTACTCTCACGAAGGGGAAGACAGCTATGGCCAGTTTACAGGCTGTTATTAATGGGGATGATGATCAAGACGCCGCGAATGTGCATGATTACGACGACGGGACCGTTCCCCCCCCTTACATGGAGGAATTTGAAGTTCCATCAAACTATCCCCAACCAATTCCTGCCTCTGAGGGCCTGCGGCCGACAAGGTGCCTGGGCACTTTCGACATTCATGACCTGACTTTCACGTACGCTTCTCGTCCCGGGAAGCCTGCTCTGTCACTTGCCACTTCTCCCATCCCGTCCATCCATATTGCTGGTAACGACATCACGTTCATCGTTGGCTCGTCGGGCTCTGGCAAGTCAACTATCGCCTCTATCCTTGCTGGGTTGTATCGGCCTGCCAGCGGCGTTGTGATGTTCGATGAAGTTGAAATGGGAAGATTGGACCAGCAGTGGGTCCACGAACGCGTTGGGCTCGTTGGACAAGAGTGTGTATTGTTTGAAGGAAGTATCATGGCTAATGTTGCAATCGGTGTCGCTGGAAGCGGTGAGTTTGTCGGGGATTTGTTGGATTAACTTGGAATGACTAATTTATACTTTTTGACAGGCAAACGCCCAGAAGATGTTCCCGCCGCTGACATTGAGAAAGCTTGTCGAATTGCCTTAATGCACGACTTCATCCTTTCCCTTCCCCGAGGATATTCTACACCTCTGGGACCTTCTGGCCTTGCTCTCTCAGGTGGTCAACGCCAGCGTCTTGCCCTCGCTCGCGCCATTCTCCGCGATCCTGCTGTTCTCATTTTGGACGAGGCCACCTCCGCCCTCGATGCCACTACTCGCTTACTCGTTTTCGAGGCAGTCAGGCAGGAACGTAAACGAAGAACCACTGTCGTCGTTACTCACGATTTGAGTATGCTACGCCCTTCCGATTACGTGTATGTCATGAAAGATGGACGCTGCGTCGAGGAAGGCTTCCGGGAAGACCTCGTAGGCGTCACGGGGTGTCCTTGTGGAGGCGGCAATTACACCGGTCCCCGACAGAAAGGATGCAAAGGAGAGTGGGACGACGTGGGCGGGTGCGGCAGAGGCGAGTTTCGCGCCATGCTGGAGAGACAGATGGGCATGGGTGGTTCACTTCCCCCCGTTGAACTTGTCGACCAAACACATGAATCCGTTGCAGCTGTCGAGCGTGCCATGTCCCCCGCCCACATGCCAGCTGCTTCTACAACCGACAAGCGCGTTTCGAAAAGAGCTAGCATTTGGACAAAGAGTGTTATTGCGCCTTGGGAGGTTGATGCGATTAGGGATATAGTGGGAAGCGGCAGCAATACGGCGAGAGCCATGGCGATGCCTCATCCAAAGAACCATCTCAGCCCGTACAAGCTCCGAGGAAGGTACGAGAGTGTTGCTCCTCCTTCGGCCTACAAGGGCGTCAAGGGAGTGGATGAGGCGACGAACACACATTATAGACCTTCGAGCATGGCGTCGGCTTTTGTTGTCGGAGGTGCACACGGGAAGAGCGCAAGTGTGACTAGTTTACCGAGTCCAGCGGCCGATGATCTTTCGTTTCCCCGTCCGAAGGCTTTGGATCTCGTCCGGAGGAGTATGACATTTGAACCTGTCGGGTGGGCGCCCGATTCTCCTGTTATGGTTTCTTTCCGCCAGAGAAGGGATAGTGCATTCGAGCGGACCAGTATGGAGGACGAGGAAGAAAAGAGTTTCGAGGGTTTCAAGGAGGCGATGGAGAAGAGCGGGTTGCAGGCCGTTTCCGGACGAAGACATGCCCCGCAGGTGATTGATGTTATTGTCCCTCAAGCCGCTGAGGATCCTACGCCAGAGCAGCTTCCTTCTGTGTTTGTTTTGACTGCCTCGTTCTGGTCCACCATCCCCGACAAGTTTTCCACCATCCTCGGTCTTATTTTTGCCCTCATCAACGGTGCCCTTACACCCATCTTCTCCTTCTTGTTGGCTCGCCTCCTTGCCCAGATTGGGCTTGGGAATGAGGCCGATGCGAAGACAACAAACCTTTATGGGTTGCTCGTGCTTATTGCGGCTCTCACGTATGGTGCAGCGAATGGGCTACAGTTCTACCTCCTTGAGATGTCTGCTATGCGATGGATTGCTTATCTCCGGCTCCGCGCGCTCTCCGCATTGCTCAAGCAGGATAAGGCATATTTCGACGAAGAAAAGAACAGTCCCGAACGACTTGTCTCCATTCTTGTGACGGATGGCGATGATGCAAGGACACTTATTGCTAGCGTTGCAGGTCCTTTCGTCGTTGTAATCGTCATGCTGACCGTTGGACTTCTTTGGGCTATGGTTCGAGGGTGGCAACTCACTCTCGTCGGACTTGCGATTGTACCAGTCTTTGGAGGCGCCATGATTCTTCAGAGTCACATCTCCACTCAGTACGAAGCTCGTAACAAGATTGCTCGTGATGAAGTTGCAAGGAGATATTATGAAGCCGTTGCGAGCATTCGTGCGATTCGTGCTATGGCACTCGAGAACGTATTTGAGAGATACTTCGAGAATTCGGTGAATGGTGCGATGGAAGCTGGTGTGGAAGGAAGTTTTGTAGCGGGACTTGGATTCGGTGTTGCGCAGGCGTTGATTTACCTCGCCGAGGCGTTGTTGTTTTATGTGGGAGCCGTGTTCATGAGTCGGGGGACGTATTCCTACCTCAAGCTTGTTCAGGTGTTGAACTTGGTGGTGTTCTCGGTGGCAATTGCGTCGCAGATGCTTACTTTTGGTATGTATTTTCTTGCAGCACCCTTCTAGCTCGCAGGAGGCTGATTTGTACTGCCATAGTCCCGAAAATCGCGAAGGCTAAGCAAGCTGCGATCGATCTCGGCAAGGTCCTCTCTCTCGGCACTCAAACAACGGAGTCGCGTGGTTCCCAACGCTTCCCCATCGAGGGCGAGATTGCCTTCCATGATGTTTACTTCAATTACCCTCAACGTCCTGACGTTCCTATCCTCCGTGGACTTTCTGGTGTCATTCAACGTGACGAATGCGTGGCCGTTGTCGGTGCTTCTGGTTCTGGAAAATCTACTACCGCTGCCCTCCTTCAAAGGCTTTATGAGCCTGACGCTGGGCGCATCACCATCGGAGGCTTCAACATCGCTGACACGAATGTCAAATGGCTCCGCCAACACGTTGCCATCGTCAGTCAGACTGCTCAGCTTTTCGACGCCACAATTGCAGAGAATATTGCATACGGCTGGGACTCAGAGAACATTCCGTTCGAGCTAGTGGAGCGTGCCGCCCGGGATGCCCATATTCATGACTTCATCATGTCCCTTCCCAGCGGTTACGATACTGTCATTGGGGAGAATGCATCTCTTATCTCGGGCGGTCAGGCTCAACGTCTATCGATCGCTCGTGCCTTATTTAATGGTCGTGCGAACGTTATGATCTTCGATGAGTGCACTTCTGCCCTGGACCCTGCTAATTCCGAAGCTGTGATGAACACCATCATGGAGATCAAGAAAGGTCGGACTTGCATCCTTATCACGCATAAGGATAGCGTGATGAAGAGGTGTGATAGAATACTTGTCCTTGATGGGGGGTTGATCGTCGAAGAAGGGCCATATGAGGCTCTCATGAAGAGACGTGGGAGGTTCTTCCAGCTTGCAAGCGCTGGGGAGCGGGCGGACGTGGAGTGATCCTTCATTTTCTTTGGTCTGAACCTTTTTGATTTTCGAACACAGTCCTTTGCATTCGGACTCCAAAGTAGATCTTTCGTTCTGTAATCTTTGTTTCGCGCCACATTATCACTTTCCTTTCGTTTGTTGTGCCTTTCAGCTTTCCTTTATCTTTTCTCTGTGCTCATTTAACCTGCATTTGTAATCTCCTACACCGCAAGCATGTACGTATTGGTTCGCACATTACACCCTTAGGCACTGTATTTTTATTCGTTATGAAACTAATAAATGGTTTTGACATTGGGGAAAGCTCATGGAGGCTGGAGGGAAAGGCTGAGGTGGTTCATCCAAGAATTGTTACAAACATGCATACAGGTAGGCAGGTTACCAGCCTCTAAGCATACAGGGCGAGTGAGAGCGTCCCAATATCGGTGCTGGAGCAAGCGGAAACCTTTGTATCAACGTTTCAAGGTGATGATGGACTGTTTCAGAACGCCCGCGCGTTCTTAAATCCTCGAATAGCCTGCCGGCACTGCCAACCTGCCAGAGTAAATTTTAAGTCCTGACTTGTCTATTTGCTTCCGTGGTTGTTTTGACCAAGTTTGTTTGTTCAGTTCGCCCTTGAGCGGATAACTACTTGCCCTCGGCAGACGCCTGTAACTACTGGTGTTCCTCGGAGTAACCTGGCGAGCGCCAGATATGACTGACCTGTTGGGGCGCTACGGCGTTCTGCGGTTGTTGTCTAACAAGACCAGAAAGCCCGTCACCTCATTCCCCGTCGATTCGGACGTCCTCACTTTTGGACGCGACACAACATGCGACGTTCGAATGTACTTTACATTCGTCTCTCCCCTTCACGCCAAACTCGTGTTTGAGAGCGGCCAGGTGAATTTTAAGGTTTGCAGTGATTGAAATGTTGGACAATACTAAACTTCGGGTCCGGGATCCCATATCTGTGTAGGCCTTTCTCAGTGTGATGGGTATGCAGGGCATTGTGGTGAATGGAAGTGTGGTCATGCCTTCGTCGCGCAGTGGAGAACCGATCATCTTACCGCTTCAGGACCAAGCGGAATTCACGATTCACAACAAAACATTTAGGTTCGAATACCCTTCCGATTCTGCCCACCCATTTCGCGTAGAGGTAGTGGCTTTTTGGTGCTCAATTTTGTTTCTACCTTTCTGAGGTTTTCTCATCAGACCCCACCTCGTAAATCACGCAAGTCATTACGAATGTCGATGATAAATGCTGCACGAGTTGTCTCCCCTGACATGAAGGTCTCCCCCCTCTCTCCTTCCCTCGAAGTCCTCCAAAGTCCAATCAAGCCATATGGGGATGTAAAGTCTTCTGCCGAACGCGATTTGGAAGTTATCCTTGCTGAAGGAGACGACGTTACTGTTTCGAAACAAGGGAATGACCTCGTGATCGTCGAGTCCATAGGAGATCCGGACCATGATAAAGAAACGGAAGACTTTAGGTCGTCTAGTATGGACTTCATTCGCCCTCAAAGGGAACAGAGTTTTGCCATGGAAGTGAGTTTGTCATTTATCATCAAGTCTGAAATAGAAATGAGTATTGAACTGAATAGACTCCCCGAACTCCCACAAGACCGAAGACACCAACTTCCACCATTTCTACGCTCCACAAAGCTGTACTCGTTCGCAACTCCCGTCTTGCTATGATAGATCGCGAGGATGAAGAGGAGGTTTTCAAGGCCGTCAGCCCTGAGCGGAACAGTCCACCGGAAGAAGAAGAGGCGGAAGAACTTGACGAGCTTGAGCAGGATTCACTCGAGGAGGAAGGCAATCCCGTTGAACAAACCAAGAACGTGAATGACGCCTCGTATCCTGAGAACGAAGAGGATGAGCCAATCGATCAGTCTTTGGTTGGGGAAGGCCAGGACCATGAGTATCACGAGGCCCCTCTAGGCTGTTCGACATCCGCACGCCCATCACTTCTCCGAGCCAGTCTCGGCGCCATCGGCAACGTTCTGGCCGCCCCCTTCTCAATAACATGGGATGCCAGCGAAAGCGAACCTGCAGAACAACCTCAAGTTGTCGCCCATCGCGACGCATCTGGTGTAGTCGCTCCAGAAGAAAAACAGGACGAGACCCCTGGCTCTTTGCTGGATCACTCAATGGAAAACGTTGAAGATGAGGAGTATCCTCCCGTTACGGAATCTGAAACGGAACCCCCGAATCATTTGGACGAATCCGACCTCCATTCCCCTTCACCTGCCTCCCAGATAGGCTTTCCTTCTCCCTCAAAGGCACCCCTTTCCCCCACCAAACCCCGTTCACAGTCCCTAGAGACGGGCATTTCCGAAACCACCCTCCTTGCTCGTCGGAACCGCAATAGTGCATTCGGACTTCCTGAGCGTTGGATCAGAAATGCCGCGCCAGAGCCCAATGAGAGACCCGAAGAGTCTAATCTCCCGGACAACACACCGATCCAGGTGAGTATTTTGATGTCTTTTACCCTGGACTTTCACTAACGTCGTTTCAGCCTGCGACCTTCTCTACGCCTGTCAAAGTTGCCTCTTTCACCGCCCCATTCACCGCCATCCCCTCTTCTACCCCGCTCAACAGTCAGCCTTCACAGACTCCAACTTTGGAAAGTCTTCGCAAGCAAGCTCAGAAGTTTGAGATTGACAATGCGAATCGTGCTACTCGCCTCAGTTTTGGTCATACGCCAACGTTGCTCCGATTCCAAAGCCCATCGAAACAGTACGCTGAGGCGCGGAGGCTCCTCAATATAGATGGTCACGAATACCCAGAGGAGTCAGCAGAGGATGCTTCAAGTACTTCCGAAAGTGCCTCCGACACAAGTGCAAGCCCAGTAATCGCCGCCCTCAGCACGATGGATGCATCAGGGTTAGCCACTCCCACTCGTCACCACAGTCAGCCGTCGTCCCAACTCGCACCAAAGACTCCCTCGTTCGCTGGGTTCAGGAGCTTGTTCGCTCCGGTTTCCAGGGAAGCTGCCACACCATCGTATCAAGGGATGCGCAAGATGTTCCAAATTGAAAATCCACAAGCTGTCCCACCTACCCCTAGTTTTGCGGGCATGAATGATATGTTCACACAGGTGGAAGTGGCGGAAATTGAGGACATTGTCCAAGGTATACCCTTCGTCTTCACGTTATTGAAGTGTCAATAACCGTTGATCACAGCACCCAATATGGATACCCAAAGAGAAGTATCGCGAGTGCGGTCAGTCACTCCGGGTATCACCAGGAAAACACGATCCTCGAAACGGGTCCAAGAATCCGTAGAGTCAGTTCGATCTTCTACGACTCCAGATCAGGATGATGGGGAGACACTGGCGAATGAGAGGGCTGACACTATTCCCACTGTTGTACGTCCTTTATATAGCGAGATTTTTACGCTGCACTTCAATATGCTTATCTGGTTAGGTCGAACGTGTTACACCCACAACTACTAATACTCGTCGCTCCTCTCGCACGCGATCGGCCGAGCCAATTCCGTCCTCTTCTCGTACTAGAACCCGTTCATCTAACAAACAAGCCATTGAGGGTATTCCTCGGCAGCCAACACCCGAAATCCCCCGCGTGTTTTCTGACGTCCTGTTGGCATCAGCCCAGTCGCAGGAAGGTGCTGGTTCTAAGCGAAAGAAGTCTCCTGTTGACGTTGGACCGGCCAAACCTGCCCGAGTGGGCAGGAAAGTGCAGTCGAACCCTAGTCTTGTGACCCCCGAAGTCGTAATTGTCACGCCATCAATCGCACGCATACCGTCTACTGGTCGTCAAACCAGAGCTTTTGCGGAGTCACCCACAGCAAAAAAGTCCCAACCTGTTGCCAAACCGGTCGGATCCCGCGTCAGCAGGCGTACAAAGCGAACGACTCCTGTTGTGAAGGAGGAATCGGAAGATGAAGCGACGGGTGAGGCGGAGGAGGCTGCCTCAAACGAGGTTACGACCTCTGATCGGAGAGCGCGCGGTCGCCTAACTCCCTCGGCAGGAGAGCCAAGGCAAACCCGAAGTGGAACAAAGAAGTCCCCTTCGGGAGCCGTCGACAAGGAGAACGAAGGCATGGGATCTGGTGAAGGAGGTAAGGAGGGACAGGGTGAAGAGGACGATGCTCCAAAGAATGTCCGAACTACAAGACAAATGCTTGCAAGGAAAACTACAACCGCTAGAGGTGCTGGCAGGGGTACAATTACTCCGAGCAGCCAGCTGCCTCGGTCTGCCCAACCTGCACGTCGAACCCGCTCCGCTAAAAAATGAGCACTTGCTGTCTTTTTATTCGTGTGTATCATATATACTTAGTATTCTCCTCCTATTGACAGGGCATTGTACAATTGTATCTAAATCGGCGTCAGACTTTGGGACTTATTATCGTAACATAATGCATGCATGCCCTAGATGAGAGCAGTATACATATATTTGGAACCCTTCCCACCAAACCTACTCCGATGTCCTCACTATTGCATGCTAGCGATTGTCAATAACCAAATCGACCATGGATCCTTGTCAGGATCTCGAGAAAGTTCGGTTCTAATTCAGGAGTGATGTGACCATGGCGGATAAAAAAGTCTATTAGGACTATAAACTAAATGAGCGACTCGTTAAGCTGGGTGAGTGACCAATATACCCAAAGCGCAGTTTGGCTTGAACAAGCCGTTCCCAAGCCGGTCTAGAACATGGTCTATTGAAAGAAGCTAATAAAGTCGCCTTACATCTATGCACACCTGACATCAGGAGCTGGACTCACCTCGAAATGCTCCACTTCACCATCTGAAGGCTTCGGTTCTGGCGCATTTACACCTGCTGGCACAACCAAATCGTAGACATATTGCACCTCTGGTTGAAGCCATCCATTGGATGTTCTGGCGGGAGTGAAATCAAATATAGGTGCAATGACTGTCGAGCCACTGACTGGTAGAAATAGGATATTGCACCAGCAGCTCGGACGTATTCACGGACAAAATTTTCCTCAAGTGAGGCCTCTTCCAAGCACTCTTTTACGAGCGCCTCAGTTGGAGTCAACCCATACGGTATTCCACCGGCAGCGGAGTTGTCTAGGTACCCTGGCCAGCTAATTTACCCTGTCAGTAGCGAGGCAACGACTTCACATGTGATTGCCGACGTTTGTTTTGTTTTCGCCCTGGTTGGAACCCATATTTTTTGCTCCCCTTCTAAGTACATTGTCATATGACAACCCTAGGGTTTGAGTATCGACAGAGGACTTAACTTTGTTAACAGAGGGGACGGCCTTGCTCTGACTCACATGCGTCACGAGCCCGAAGATAGTGCAGCAAGTACGCTCAAGAACAAACGCGATATCTACATTAAATCTCCTTTTGAATGGGTTGTAGTAGATTGGATAAAGCTCGTTCCTCCAGAGCCTTCCGCCGATGATGTCGCTGAAGAACCCACTTCTGTGCCACATTTCACATAGCGTAGCAAGCGCTACGTTGCGCTTTTCGAATGAGTCAAGCTCAGAAACAAAACGAACGCCGGATTCTAGTACAAGCGCCACTCAGAAGTACTCGATGAATCCGAGGGTCTATCAAAGCACAGGTACCTGACACGTCGAATACAGCTTTCCCTGTCTCCAGAAAGGTGCGAAATACGGGAGCTCGAATCCATCCAATAATGATCTCGACGCCCTCTGGTGGAGTGACGTAGAATGGGACAAGGATTTCAGTGGTTCCTCGCACACTGAAATTGTCGCAATGCTCAACAATAGGTAAAAGCGATTTTGGATCCATTTCTAACTCAACCAATCGGCTCTATCATGTATTAGCAACTGGCGAGTGCGGCTTGTTGGAGCAAAGCCAAAGTACCCCGCGAGAAGCCAGAGGCAAATTCGGCACAAGCGACTCGTCAGACCACGTGACGTGAGATCGCTGTTTGCCGCCAGCGCTGTTTCTCACATCGACGGACAGTTGACATTGGCAGCGCTCACACCTCGAGCCGAGTAAAAGCACCAAGTATGCTTCGGCTCGCATCATCTCGTGCCACGCGCAGATGTGCTCCCAAAAAGCTTGTGACTCAGTCCTGTGCGTTCATCGGCACGACGTAGTTTGGGAAGTGTTGAGTTCATAGACTGATATCCATGCATTACCATGCGAAGGTCTCCGCCCCTTTACTTCCTCGAATCAACGGAAGGCGGACGTAACTTTGACTGTGGATGGAAAAGAGGTCACTGTCCCTCAAGGCTCGCACCGTGCTTATATCTCGCATCGTCACGACATGCTAATCAAGTTGACTTAATAGGCAGTGCTCTCATCCAGGCTTGTGAAGCTGCTGGTTCGCCTATACCAAGGTGGAATTTCTTGTTCGTTTCTGTTGAGCACCACTAATCCCCACCCAGATTCTGTTACCATGACCGGTGTGTGATGTAACGAAAGCCGAATCATGGTCCCGCCCTAACCCCCCTTGAAGTCTCGCCATTGCCGGCAACTGCAGGTAAGTAAATAAAAACATGTTATTTGGTGGACATTGCTGAGACCCATGCACCCTCAGAATGTGTCTAGTTGAGGTCGAGCGTTCGCCAAAGCCCGTGGCATCATGGTAGTACTACCGCTGCTCTCGCATAAAAACTACTTATACACTTTTGGCGCAGCGCAATGCCCGCCATGCCTGGTACTAAAGTCTTTACGAATACCCCATTAGTTCATGAAGCGAGGTTGGCGGAATCAGTCTTAGTATTTTTCACCGGCTGAATGTGCTCACAGAGAAGGAGTGATGGAATTCCTTTTGGCCAATCATCCTCTCGACTGCCCTATTTGCGATCAGGGTGGTGAATGCGATCTCCAAGATCAGTCCATGAGATATGGCTCGGACCGTTCTCGATTCCATGAAATCACTGGAAAGCGAGCTGTCGAAAACAAAGACCTCGGACCACTCGTGAAAACATCCATGAATCGTTGTATTCAATGCACGCGATGCGTCCGTTTTGCTAACGACGTCGCTGGTGTCGAGGAACTGGGGACCACTGGCCGTGGGAACGACATGCAGATTGGTATGTATGTCGAGAGGACGATGGATTCTGAACTTTCCGGAAATATCGTCGACCTGTGCCCAGTGGGGGCCCTGACCTCAAAGCCTTATGCATTCCATGCTCGGCCTTGGGAGTTGAAGAACACTGAATCTGTGGATGTCCTGGATGCCCTTGGTTCCAACATCCGGGTAGATTCTCGTGGCGTTGTGGTAATGCGTATTCAGCCTCGAACAAACGACGACGTGAATGAAGAATGGATTAGTGACAAGACCCGCTACGCATATGATGGTCTTCGGTTCCAGCGACTAACAACTCCCCTCATTAAGAGCGGTGATCGCTTTATTCCTGCCTCTTGGGAGGAAGCGTTGGCCGCCGTTGCTGACGGGCTAGTACGATCTGGAGCCGCAGGTGACGAGATCAAAGCTATTGCGGGTCACCTTGCAGATACCGAGTCCCTCGTGGCTTTGAAGGATCTTGTTAACCGACTGGGTTCGGATAATCTAGCCACTGATGAGCTCGGAGGTGCCGGGTATCGCCTCCCAGCTCATGGTGTTGACATTCGTTCCAACTACCTCTTCAACTCGACCATCCTGGGGCTCGATAAGACAGACGCCGTTCTCTTGGTCGGAACTAACCCTCGCCATGAGGCTGCTGTTCTCAATGCACGTATACGCAGAGCCTATCTCTACAGGAACTTGAAAATTGGCTTGATTGGTGAAGCGGTGGATCTTCGCTACGAGTATGAGCATCTAGGCACGGATGCCAGTGTTATTGGGAAATTGGCCACCACCAACAGCGTCTTCTATAAGTCTTTCAAGGCGGCGAAGAATCCCATGGTCATTGTTGGAAGTGGCGTCAACGAGCACCCTGATGCTCACTTGATATACCAGTCATTGGCAAAGTTTGTTGAGGCACACAGGATCCCTCTCCAAACTCCCGAGTGGAACGGGTTTAATGTTTTACAACGCGTATGTTTGCACACTTCTACGTGAGATAAATACTTTGAATGCAATTTTTTCGCAGGTCGCGTCAAGGGCTGCTACCTACGACATTGGGTTCGTCCCTTCGAAGAAAGCCACTTCCACCAAGCCCAAGTTTATTTATTTGCTCAATGCTGATGAACTGGACCCTGCATCGATCCCACCGGATGCTTTCGTGGTCTACCAGGGACATCATGGTGATCTTGGCGCTCAGCTTGCCGATGTTATCCTTCCGAGTGCTGCGTACACTGAGAAAAGTACGACATGGATCAATACCGAAGGCCGGGCACAGTTAGGCCGAACGGCTGTTCCTCCACCGGGCGCCAGTAGAGAGGATTGGAAGATCATTCGGTGAGCACAGGCAGCGCGTTTTTCATGAACAAACCGCTCACGGATTCTCTAGCGCCATCTCTGAAGCTGTCGGTACTCCGCTGCCATACGACGATGTTCTTTACCTCCGTGATCGCATGTGGGAAATCTCGCCTTCTCTCGTTCGTTATGACATCACGGAGCCAACATCGAATGCTGTTGCTGCCTTGGGTATCAACAACCTTGCCACCCGTAAGGCTGCTCCTGCTACCAATGTGCCGCTCAACAGGCCAGTTGCGAATTTTTACCAAACAGATCCTATCTCAAGAGCGTGAGTCTTGCCGTTATCCCCGTCTGCACTCATTGTTCACCGTTGGTTCTGGGACAGATCCGTGACCATGGCTCAGTGTACACGCGCCTTCGTCAAGGGCGAAAACTATGGCTTCTCAGAAACTGAAAAGGGAGCACAAGCAGCTGTCGCCTAAACCATTTGGACAAGACTTAATATACATCCGCTATCCATATATCATCAAATTTGTATGCGTACAGACACAGATTTTCTTCGACTGAGTGGTGCCTTTTTGTGCGGTCCTTGCGATACGGATATCTCACCAATAACCAGTTCGTCATTGAGTGAGTGGCTCATCAATCGCACACGCCAAGTCAGCAAGACGTTACACGACCCGCGGTTCCGAGGCCGTCGTCGAATGGATTTGCGTCTACTTAACATCCAAGGACCGAGGACCCGCGTACGATCCAGGTGGCAGAGATTGGAACACAGGCTGACTTCGACCCTGGTCACGGGTGTCTAGCGATTGCCGGTTGGCTGTGAAGTAAAGTGACGCTAACATGTGGCCTCCATGAATCTTACACTGTAATTGAGGCACCAGGATACCGTACGACGAGGACAGCAGGCTCAAATTTCGAAAGGCCATTTGACGGCACAGAACGGATGATATCCGCACGCTTTTGGACAATACGGAAAGATTCACCTGTCAATTGTTCATGGCTGCGGGCGCACAGATAAAGCACTCCCGAACGTCAAGACTTTCTTTCTTTGATACGTGAGAATAGTTGTGGTTTTATCTGCTCCAGTCATGAAGAACCCGGCCCAGCATGATATGCAAAACTTTGCGAGCATTTATGCATTGAATTCCGGAAGCGTTCCCGCAGGGCACCGATTTGGCTCATAAGATTACATAGCCCTCTGTACTGAGTCCTACGCGTAGGGACTGGGCACTTAGCAATCACGATGCTGCAATACACACAACGTCCTACTCGCAACCCTAACTAGGCAGCCAACGGTGTGACTGAATGCTCGCGCACACACATGTAGCATTTATACAACGTTAGTTCTTTGTCGCATTGTGCGCAGCTGAGGGTGAAACGATGGAACGGTAAAAGAAATACCGATTTTTCAGTGCGTTCAAAGTAAAATAGAAAATTTGTTTCGGCCAAAGTGGCGCAGGTTAACTCAAATGGACAGATCATACCTTTATTCTGACCCGGGGTGAAAGCGAATGAAGGAATTATGAAAAGGCAAAATCAAAAAACCTTTGTGGGCGCAACGCTGAGCATCCATATTGTCTGACCCAGGACTAAACAACAGTCCAACGGAGGAATGGCTATAAATCTGTTGAAGTCTCCGAGCTTTATTTATGCCCACTGCACCCTAGGGAAAGGGGACCCTGTCCGAGGGAAGTGCAGAAAGATGGAAGGGCAACTTCGCGATTCCCGCTTTGAGAACGCGCAAGGCAAATAGGAAGGTATTGAAATTGACCACGAACATCCTAAAGGACTTGGCTGAGATCAACAACAATTGGAGCTGTCTGCCGGCCTTGGAAGAGAATTCGAGTCCCATCTTTGCTGGACCGAGGGCTGTACAGACAGGTAGGATCAGACATCACTTGATCACCACACCAAGCGTCTAGACCATTGGCACCATAAGAATCAACTGGTCGATACTCCTTGGGAATAATGAATTCTAATTTGCCATTGAAGAGAACTAGTAGCTTAGCGTTTCCGTCGGTCCTGAACAGTGGGGTTCTTCCGGCAGCAGACGAATGGATTATTAACTTCTGCCACCCCTTGTCCCTCTTGTTCCACCCATCCCACTCATCCTCCTCACTTTGCAAGAGAACATAAAATGGACACTTAATCCAGGACTCGTCCAACATATCTGTTTCGGAATGATGTCGATCTGCTGCTCCACCTTCTGTCAAGGGAAGGGTAGGTCGAGCAGATACAGGATCAGGGATGCGATGAGAGCAGGCGGGGGAAACAGCAGGATGCATAATCCAAGATTCAAAATCCATCACACGATAACCCGCAATGAGCTCACCCGAATCTGTCGACCAGGTGAAAGCCCTGAGGCCATCGAAAGCGCCAATATAACGTGCTCCTGGAGAAAAGCCAAGTGTACGACGGTGAGGAATAGCAAGCATGTGATGGGGAGGTGAATAATCCAAGTCGGAAGGAGGAGAAGCGAGGTGCTGCATATGCGGGTCACCCGAAATGGATATGAGGGTCATGCTGTCGTACCAAGAACTATCAGCGTTCCATGGAACCCGTATGATAAATAATCCATTATCTGATACTCGAGTTACAGCAGGAAGAGGATTGTTGGGAAGAGTACCGATATTAATGGAAGTCATATCGTGTCTAAGGATGGTGACGTTTCCCTCATTGTCCTCAGCAGCAACTTGGTGGCTGCCATGGACAAATTCGATCCAGACTGGATGGTTGGGTGGATTGAGCTGGAATCGGGAAGTCGTGTGCTGAAGGTCGATATCAGCAAGTTCGATGACACCACTACCAAAACCAAGAGCTACATGGTGACCATCAAGGGAGAGCGCCGCACATGTCACGATACCGTTACGGACGTCAGGGTCATTGAATTGGGCATCATCATCACTCTCAACATCCTCACTATCAGCCTCCTTTGGCAAATTAGATAGCTTCGCCTCCATAACCATTCGAGCATTGAGTAAATCCTCACTCAATGGGATTCTGTGCCCGGAAAACTCGCCAGAAATGGTGAAGATCCGGACAGGATCGGAGAGGTGGCCATACAGTTTGTGAAAAGGCGATGAGGATGGGGTGAAAGGAAGGGTGAATCGATGGAGGACCCATGGTCCAGAGGAAGTTATATTCAGATACCGCACAAATTGCTTTTCTCGAGCTTCTCTCAAAAGTTTGAATGAATCGCAATTCTGTTAAAAATGACATCATTATCAAAATAACCGCGACACAATGATTTTATTTACCTTGAATTCATCAAATCCATCAGGGAGTTCACTGCTATACCATTTATCATATCGCACCAAGTGCATAAATGTAACCAAATTTCGCGTGAGGAACGTATTAAACTCGTTCTGCAAATTGGAGCCTTGTGCAAAGAGCTGTGAGGGGTCCAAGTGTTCGAATAAATGTCGACGAATATATTGGAAATGATGGGGGCGATGAAGTTCTCTCTTCACAAAACCGTCCCATTTTTGTTTGTCTCCTAAAGGGAGAATGGCAGGCTCCCCGAACACATCCCGCTCACAACTTTCATTGAATAATCGGAGGAGCAGTGGTCCGAGGGAATACTTATTCACATCCTTGATAAAGAATACTTTGTCATTCTCGTTACCAATCGGATCCCCTGCAATGAACTCTTTCATCGTTGCATGAGAGAATTTGACACCCTTTGGGTCCTTTGAGGCTGGTGGCGCGGTAATTTCCATGCCACGTTCTTCAGAGAAACCAATAATAGAGCTAATTGGATCCAATATGACTAAGACCTCTTCCTCGCCAATTCCTAATAGCTGCGACATGGAAAACGCACTCAGTGGCTCAATCGCCACATTGATTGTGCCAATCACTTGGCGATAGTTCTCCGCTATATGTGGAGGAACTCCAGATGAGTCGAATATATAGGCACGGCGAAGTATGCGCAGGTATTCCTGATTGATGTCAACAGGGGCATCAATGAGGTCACGGAAGTATTTGAACTCGGATCGAAGGGTTGCACCACGACGAGTTCGAATGGAGACATCCCGGACTCGGATTGAGGCGATAATAGGCAGTCCACGACATGCCGAAACAAATACATCGACGTCTTCTTTTGATGGTTTCCAAGAAGACTTATCGATGCAACCCTGGAGGCCTTCCGACACCATGCGGTAGATAGTGTGGAAATTCTCGTCCTTCGTGACCATGTCCATATCTGCATATGGTATGACAAGGTTCTGAGCCCGAGCGTTATCCCAAGCCGAGATGACCGATGACTCTGGACGACTGCTAACCAACATGGCAAATCCAGCCGGCAGTTCGTTGAGGATGAGTACAAGCCCCATTAAGGACTCAAGTTCCTCCTGAGCCCCACACTCGTCCAGTCCATCCAAAATAATGACGAGGCGCGCTTCACCCAAAGATAAGAGTTTGTGCATCGGTTCCACGATCAAAGCTCTCATCTGCTCCTCCAGAGTGAAACCGTGGAGACCCTTCAGTGCTGAGGGCTGTCGAAGTCGACTGACAAGAAGTCCCGCGTACTCAGCGTTAAACAAGGCAAGCTGGCATGCAAGAGTAGAGGGAAAGTGCTCAATCGAATCAAGTCCTTCTCCCTTCCGATTTTTGTCCCAGAAGAAAGACGCCGCCAAGCGACCCTGTTTATCGAGAGCTGAGGCAACGCTCATCGATATAGCAGTCTTTCCAGTACCCGGAGAACCACGAAGCCAAACAAATCGGTGCTCCCGTTTCTCCAGATGATCGAGTATCCATTCCTGAGTCCGGACACGGGTATTTTCCAGGCATTTCGACTTGCTTTTCACCGCAAAGTATTCTGCCTTTGCCTTGTAGAGTTTCGAGAGTTCGCCTGAAATATCATTAACTTCCAAGCAGTGAAATCAGGGAACAGCAACGAACGGTCCACCGATGACTGAATTGTGTGGAGGAGATTCAAAGTCGTTGCAGCGGTCTGTGAGGTATACCCCAAGTCAGACATCAGACACTCTGAACATGAAACGAAACGAACCGTAAAGCGGGAGACAGCATCACGGATACAGGACTTCACAGCGCTTATTTCCTGGGTTATCTCAGTCGCTAAAATTACCCTCTTGGCAAGCTTTTGGCGTTCGAGTGCCTCAATTTGCTGTAATTGTTGTTTTAGAACTCTGTGACCGAGAGTTGAGATTTGGGCAAGGAGACGATGAAGTGAATGTACATACAGGTTAAATCGTTCAATCAGATCACCTATTTCGGGAGGGACTTTGCCAGTCCACAACTGGAGAGGCCTAAAGATCGTTTCATGAGCATCTCGGACTTCATCGTCCAATCCCTTGAGATTTTCGTCATTGTTGTCGATGGTCTGCATAAAAACGCGGGGTTATATCATTAGATCGCAGAATCGCGACACCCTGCGAACCTCATAAACTTGGAGCCACGATAGGAGTATATTTGGTATCTGTTCAAGATTCGCAATGGGGACGAACTTAAGAGTAGAGGCCGCAGTCTGGAGTACGAGCCTTGTGGTGGCGATGATTGTTTTCTTTCCGTCACCAGCAGGGACGGCCGAAGATGATGGTGTTTGATCTATTGACGATGGGGTGTCTAAGTTCATGCCTGTGCATCCTGGTGGTGGATGGGGAGTCTCAGTGTTGCCGTGGATGATGCGCTCGCTGATATCAATGGCCCCCTCAGGGAGAATGGGAAATGGCGATAGATTAGGGGATGGCGGGTCGGGCATAGAGGGGTCAGATTGTCTGGGATCGGAGGACTTTGATTGGTCGACATGAGTGGGATCGGGACTGGGACTTCTGCTCAACAGCTTGGCTACAGTGCGCCGAAAAGACCACCGCTGCTTCCGGCCTCGAGAACTACCGCCAGTAAGAGGCTTAAGACGGGATCTGTCAGACCCACCATGATCTGTGCTAGTTGTTGCATCACTTTCAGTTGGAGCAGTAGTGATCAGGAGGTTGGGAACAGGGGTCGAGGGTCGCGACGGGCCACCGGGAGGCGCAGGAGAGTGTCCTCTTTTAGAAAACTTAAGTCGATCGAACATCATGTATCAGCAATCGCAGAGGGTGTCGCAGGCAGAGAGGAGAGTCGAACCGCCCTCAACTACTCGACATATAAGGCAGTACTGTCCTAGCCACTGCCAAATCAGGACAACAAATATTCAAGTACCCTTCTGTCGGCGATGGATTGCAAACTACGCTACCAAAAGTATTAGGGTCGATAATTAATGAAATCCAAAAAACCCACCTGTGTTTACTGCGCTCTCTTGAGTATTTTTCCAGCGATTTTTTGACATGGTCTCCGTCGTTGACAGTTATTTGGTTCGGACCAAACGCAGCCTTGTGTTTCCTGCCACAGCGAGCTATGCCATACACGAATATTCACACGAACATCAGAGTCTCGTCTGGTGTCCGCCTTGTCACTCCTCTCGGTTATTCGCTCTTCAGCAATATGCTTCAACCTGGTTGCTTTGATTCCAATGCTCTGAGTCGTACCAGAACAGCTCTAAATGACACTCTCGCTCCTCGTATTAGGATCCAAGCTATTGATGATGGGCTGTGTCTGACTGGATGTCTTTGTGTGACGCCGACACAAACTTGGACGGGAAATTACTTACCAGGCATCCACTATTTTGTCGGGTTACTGGCCAGTAATAGCGCTGATATGCAAAAATATTTCAATCCTGCACTTCAAGACTCTATTACTGTCGGGCTCCTCTCTGTAATGTCCGCTTCTAACTCTAATCGGCGACCTCGCACCTCCGGGTATCCAAGTAGTGGGGGTAACTGTCGTTCTAAAACATGGAACACCCAATCTTCCCTCCTTGAGAATGGGTGGGTGGAAGATGTTATTTAATACTTCGAGTGATGACGAAGCCCCATCCGTACAGGATATCTCGATCAGACTGCGCGCTCTCAGACAGCAATCAGCGCACCACAATGGACTTCTCGTTAGCCCCTCCCCTACCTAGAAATTGTGTTTCATCGATTCCCCCTGTTTCTGCCGCTCATCCGGAGCCCTGTTACTCCAGTGTCTCCGCGTGACGCGCCAACATAGCTCCATCGGGTTGTTACTCTTTAACACGCCGGACGCCCGTCCATCCCTTTAGTTCTCCCGCTTGTTCCTCAGAACCAACTTGAAAGCGCCCCGCTATGTTTAAAAGGTGATTTGTCACCCCTTCTTTCCGCCAGCCCACTCTGCTTCCAACCCGGTGGGGAGGAAGTTTGACACTTTCTATTACTGTCTGAACCTATCCAGAGCATCGAACATAGCCGGCAAGGTGAAATGTATTTGGCCTTGCAGAGGGTGAAATAAACGGGATGACAACGATGAACGGCCTGCTAGTTCCGCTCAAGAAAATTTCAAGTGCTGATCTTTCATGTCGGACGAAGACAATATCTGTTCGGAATGCGGCTCCTCGTACTTGCAGCATCCTCAGTCCTGGAGATGTCTGCCATAGGTGGATGTCGGATGGGGATTCGGGGAGGATGATTGGTTCAACTGATTCATGCAAGGAAATCTTGATGTGGATATGTGCGAGCTATGCCATTGCGTCCAGGTCCTTGTCCGAGGTGGTGGTGCCCTCGCCGTTCGACTTCAGAGCTAGAAGATGTTGTTCTCTTTCACCAGCGTTTACTACCAACTCGCGATCATTTATGTCAAGCGCAGTGATGTACAAATCGGAGGACAGTACATAATGCATTGACAGGAAAACCCTCGAGCTAGGTGACTAACAAGTGGAAAGGGAGGGATTGAAACGACCGCGAACGTCCTAAATGACTTGCTAATTTCGACGACAATTGGAGCTGTCATCCGGCCTTGGGGCAGAAGTTGAGTCCCATCCTTGCTGGACCGGAGGCGACAGAAATTTGTGATTCGCAGCATTAAATCACCATACGAGGCTTCTAGATAGTTGATGTGACCCACCCTGAAGATAACCGGCGAGTATTGCATGGAGACAGTCCCCTCGCTTATGTTTCCCATCCAGAGCAATGAGGTTCTCCCTGCAACAAAGGAACAGACGCCGAGGTCTTCGTGCTTGCTTGGCGGGGGGCCGTAAAATGGGACGCATCTGAGTCGTGTATCCGATCCGGAAAGGTGCATGTCTGCTGCATTGCCAGGTAGGATTGAGCCGGGGGATACAGGAGCAGGGATAAGATATGAGCAAGTGGTGGGGAATGTGAGATTCATAACCCAAAGAACTGACATTCGTAACGCTGTAACGCGCGGTGAACTCGCCCGACTCGGTCGACTAGGTGAAAGCGCTGACTCCATCAAAAGCGCCAAAATTCCTCCGGGAAGAAACCTAAGCGCACGACGAAGAATGACTAGCAAAGAATTCGGGTGGAAGGGTTAGAAGGGGCTGAACGTGTGGGTGGTCGACATGAGCGTCATGTTGTCGTACCAAGGCCTCTGACATCAGTGTTCCAGTAGGAAAGGGCCGTTGGGGAGAGTACCAAGACTCACGGGGACCATACCATGGCTAAGGGCGACAACGATCGACCGCGGACATCCTAGCCGACTTAACTAATATCGACGACAAATGGAGCCGTCAGCCGGCCTTGGAGTCCCATCCTTGCTGGACGGAAGGTGGTAGAGATTCGTAGCATCAAACGGCGCTCGATTACTATACCAAGCTCTCAGACGGTTGCCGCCACGCACCCTAAGATCACCGCGGGCAGCCAGGGAATCCTCTAATAGAGGCTGGAGTCCTGCCTAGGAATCCTCTTCTGCAGACAATAGCGGACTCTTCCGGCAACAGATGAATTGACGCTGAGGTCTTCATGCATACTTGATCTAAGACCCATCTAGGTCATGCTCTGCATTCACTTCGGAATGACGCATGTCTGTCGCGTCACCTTCAGCCAAGGGATCCGAGTGAGATGGAATCAGGAATATATGAGATACGAGCAATGGGTGGAGACGGTGATGAATCCCAGAACTAAAATTCGTAACGCAACCAACTCTGTAAACCGGGAGAAAACCCAAACGTGTGGCGGTGGGGGATGGCTAATTTAAGCGGAATGAAAGGGTTGGAAGGAGAAGCGAGGAGCTTAACCTTAACGTTTGGGTCGTCTGAAGCCGATGTAAGCGTTATGTTGTCCTACCAAGGCTTGTCAATATTCCGTAGAAATTATCCATTATCCGACACTAAAATGCCAGTATACGTAGGGAAGGGGCCACTGATACCGAGATTTATGGGGGTGCTACCATAGCTAAGGACTGGTGTCGTCGGTAGTTGAAGATGACTGTTCCGAAAGTGGAATTATGTACGATTCTTCTTGAGCTTCTCTCGGAGCTTGAATGAATCACAATTCTATCAGAAAATGACATCAGCATCGTTAAAATACGCGCGATATCGCCATTGCCGGCAACTGCAGGTAAGTAAATAAAAACATGCTATTTGGTGGACATTGCTGAGACCCATGCACCCTCAGAATGTGTCTAGTTGAGGTTGAGCGTTCGCCAAAGCCCGTGGCATCATGGTAGTACTACCGCTGCTCTCGCATAAAACCTACTTATGGAAATTTGGCGCAGTGCAATGCCCGCCATGCCTGGTACTAGAGTCTTTACGAATACCCCATCAGTTCATGAAGCGAGGTTAGCGGAATCAGTCTTAGTATTTTTCACCGGCTGAATGTGCTCACAGAGAAGGAGTAATGGAATTCCTTTTGGCCAATCATCCTCTCGACTGCCCTATTTGCGATCAGGGTGGTGAATGCGATCTCCAAGATCAGTCCATGAGATATGGCTCGGACCGTTCTCGATTCCATGAAATCATTGGAAAGCGAGCTGTCGAAAATAAAGACCTTGGACCACTCGTGAAAACATCCATGAATCGTTGTATTCAATGCACGCGATGTGTCCGTTTTGCTAACGACGTCGCTGGTGTCGAGGAACTGGGGACCACTGGCCGTGTGTAAGCGATAAGCTTACATAAGCGTAGAGAACCGTATATAAGCTAGAACCTTAGTAGATAGGAAAAGCAGAGATCTTGTATTTTACACCCCTAGTGTAATATCGAGTTCGACTTTGGTTCAGCGACTTTCGATCACCCTGAGATTTCGTGAGTCCCTTAACCACCTGAACTCAATCGCCGGCCTCTGCCGACGTTAAGGTCCCTCACACCGTGGGAACGACATGCAGATTGGTATGTATGTCGAGAGGACGATGGATTCTGAACTTTCCGGAAATATCGTCGACCTGTGCCCAGTGGGGGCACTGACCTCAAAGCCTTATGCATTCCATGCTCGGCCTTGGGAACTGAATCTGTGGATGTCCTGGATGCCCTTGGTTCCAACATCCGGGTGGATTCTCGTGGCGCTGTGGTAATGCGTATTCAGCCTCGAACGGGAAGTTGGCCACCACCAACAGCGCCTTCTATAAGTCTTTCAAGGCGGCGAAGAATCCCATAATCATCGTTGGAAGTGGTGTCAACGAGCACCCTGATGCTCACTTGATATACCAGTCATTGGCAAAGTTTACAAGATCCCTCTCCAAACTCCCGGGTGGAACGGGTTCAATGTTTTGCAACACGTATGTTTGCACACCTCTGCGCGAGACAAATACTCTGAATGCAGCTCTTTTGCAGGTCGCATCAAGGGCTGCTACCTACGACATTGGGTTCGTCCCTTCGAAGAAAGCCACTTCCGATGAACTGGACCCTGCATCGATCCCGCTGGATGCTCTCGTGGTCTACCAGGGACACCATGATGATCTTGGCGCTCAGCTTGCCGATGTTGTTCTTCCGAGTGCTGCGTACACTGAGAAAAGTACGACATGGATCAATACCGAAGGCCGTGCACAGTTAGGCCGAACGGCTGTTCCTCCACTGGGCGCCAGTAGAGAGGATTGGAAGATCATTCGGTGAGCACAGGCAGCGCGTTTTTCATGGATAAATGACAACGAACCGCTCACGGATTCTTTAGCTCCAGCTGTCGGTACTCCGCTGCCATACGACGATGTTCTTCACCTCCGTGATCGCATGTGGGAAATCTCGCCTTCTCTCGTTCGCTATGACATCACGGAGCCAACATTGAATGCTGACAACCTTGCCACCCGTAAGGCTGCTCCTGCTACCAATGTGCCGCTTAACAAGCCAGTTGCGAATTTTTACCAAACGGATCCTATCTCAAGAGCGTGAGTCTTGCCGTTATCCCTGTCTGCACTCATTGTTCACCGTTGGTTCTGGGACAGATCCGTGACCATGGCTCAGTGTACACGCGCCTTCATCAAGGGCGAAAACTATGGCTTCTCAGAAACTGAAAAGGGAGCACAAGCAGCTGTCGCCTAGACCATTTGGACAAGACTTAATATACATCCGCTATCCATATATCATCAAATTTGTATGCGTACAGACACAGATTTTCCTCGACTGAGCGGTGCCTTTTTGTACGGTCCTTGCGATACGGATATCTCACCAATAACCAGTTCGTCATTTGAGTTAGTGGCTCATCAACTGTACACGCCAGTCAGCAAGTCGTTACACGACCCGCGGTTCCGAGGCCATCGTCGAATGGATTTACGTCTACTTAACATCCAAGAACGGAGGACCCGCGCACGATCCAGGTGGCAGAGATTGGAACACAGGCTGACTTCGACCCTGGTCACGGGCTAGTGTCTAGCGATTGCCGGTTGGCTGTGAAGTAAAGTGACGCGAACATGTGGCCTCCATGACTATCTAAGAATCTGACACTGTAATTGAGGCACCAGGACACCCTACGACGAGGACAGCAGGCTCAAATTTCAAAAGGCCATTTGACGGCACGGAATGGATGATATCCGCACGATTTTGGACAATACGGAAAGATTCACTAACCTGTCAATTGTTCATGGCTGCGGGCGCACAGATACAGCACTCCCGAACGTCAAGACTTTCTTTCTTTGACACGTGAGAATAGTTGTGGTTTTATCTGCTCCAGTCATGAAGAGCCCGGCCGAGCATGATATGCAAAGCTGTGCGAACATCTACGCATCGAATTCCAGAAGCGTTCCCGCAGGGCACTGATTTGGCTCATAAGATTAGCCCTGCGTACTGAGTCCTACGCATAGGGACTGGGCACTTAGCAATCACGGTGCTGCAATGCACACAACGTCCTACTCGCAACCCTAACTTACGCAGCCAACGGTGTGACTGAATGCTCGCGCACACATATTATGTAGCATTTATACAACGTTAGTTCTTTGTCACATTATGTGCAGCTGAGGATAAATGCCGATGGAACGGTAAAAGAAATACCGTACGTTCAAAGTAAAGTAGAAAATTTGTTTCGGCCAAAGTGGTGCAGGTTGACTCAAATGGACAGATACCTTCATTCTGACCCGGGGTGAAAGCGAACGAAGGAACTTCAGAAAGGCAAAACCAAAAAACCCCTCTGTGTGCGCAACGCTGAGCATCCATATTGTCTGACCCAGGACTAAACAACAGTCCAACGGAGGAATGGCTATAAATCGGTTGAAGTCTCCGAGCTTTATTTATGCCCACTGCACCCTAGGGAAAGGGGACCTTGTCCGAGAGAAGTCCAGGAAGATGGAAGGGCAACTTCGCGATTCCCCCTTTGAGAACGCGCAAGGCAAATAAGAAGGTAATGCAATTGACCACGAACATTCTAAAGGACTTGGCTGAGATCAATAACAATTGGAGCTGTCTGCCGGCCTTGGAAGAGAATTCGAGTCCCATCTTTGCTGGACCGAGGGCTGTACAGATGGATAGGATCAAACGGCACTTGATCACCATACCAAGCACCTAAACCTTTGGCACCAGAAGAAACAACTGGTTGATACTCCTTGGGAATAACGAATTCCAATTCACCATTGAAGAAAACTGGTAGCCCATCCAATTCACCATTGGCTAAAACTGCTAGCCCATGCTTTTCATAGGTTCCGAATAGTGGGGCCCTTCCGGCAGCAGACGAATGGTCTTTAAACCTTTGCCATCTCATGCCGTGCCAGCCCCACTCATCCTCCTCACTTTGCAAGAGAACATAAAATGGGCACTTAATCCAGGACTCGTCCGAGTTAAGCCCCATGTCTGTTTCGGAATGAAGTCGATCCGCTGCTCCAACTTCTGTCAAGAGAAGGGTAGGTCGAGCAGATACGGGATCAGGGATGCGATGAGAGCAGGCGGGGGAAACAGCAGGATGCATAATCCAGGAATCGAAATCCGTCACACGATAACTCGCAATGAGCTCACCTGAATCTGTCGACCATGTAAAAGCACTGAGGCCATCGAAAGCGCCGATATAACGTGCTCCCGGAGAAAACCCAAGCGTGCGACGGTGAGGAATAGCAGGTTTGATGGATGCAGAGGACGAAGTAGAAGACTCAGAGGCTAAGATAGGAGGGTCAGAAGTTGGAGTGAAATTATTGGAAGAAGGGGGTGCGAGGTGCTGCATGTGCGGGTCATCCAAAATAGATATGAGAGTCAGGCCGTCGTACCAAGAGCTATCAGTGTTCCATGGAACCCGTATGATAAATAATCCGTTATCTGATACTTGAGTTACAGCAGGAGGAGAACCGTTGGGAAGAGTACCAAGATTAATGGGGGTCATATCGTGTCTAAGGATGGTGACATTTCCCTCATTGTCCTCGGCAGCAACTCGGTGGCTGCCATGAACAAATTCGATCCAGACTGGATGGTTGGGTGGATTGAGCTGGAATCGGGAAATCATGTGCTGCTGGTTGATATCAGCGAGCTCAATGACACCGCTACCAAAACCAAGCGCTACATGGCGACCATCAAGGGAGAGCGCTGCACATGTCACAATACCGTTACGAACATCAGGGTCGTTGAATTGGGCATCATAATTAACCCGACCACCAGCCTTCTCTGGCAAATTAGGTAGCTTCGCCTCCATGACCATTCGAGCATTGAGTAAATCCTCACTCAATGGGATTCTGTGCCCGGAAAACTCGCCGGAAATAGTGAAGATCCGGATGGGATCGGAGAGGTGGCCATACAGTTTGTACAAAGGTGATGAGGATGGGGTGAAAGGAAGGGTCGATCGATGCAGGCGCCATGGTGACGGGGAAACCTCATCCCGATACTCCTCATATTCCATTCTTCGAGCTTCTTCCAAAAGCCTGAATGAATCGCAATTCTGTTAAAAATGACATCATTATCAAAATAATCGGGATACAATATATGATTTTATTTACCTTGAATTCATCAAATCTATCAGGAAATTCCCTTCCCCAATCACCATACGGTGCCAAGTGGATAAATGTAACCAAGTTTCGCATGAGGAATGTATTAAACTCGTTCTGCAAATCAGACTCCTGTGCAAAGAGTTGTGAGGGGTCTAAGTGTTCTAATAAATGTAGACGAGTATATCGGAGATACTGGGGGCGATGAAGTCTTCTCTCCATAAAATCACCCCATTTTCGTTTGTCTCCTAAAGGGAGAATGGCAGGCTCCCCAAACACATTCTGCTCACAACTTTTATTAAATAATCGGAGGAGCCGTGGTCCGAGGAAATACTTATTCATATCCTTGATAAAGAATACTTTGTCATTCTCGTCACCAATCGGATCCCCTGTAATGAACTCTTTCATCGTTGCATGATAGAATTTGACATCCTTTGGGTCCTCTGAGGAAGTTTGCGAGGAACGTTCCAAGTCACTTTCTTCAGAAAAACCAACAATAGAGCTAATTGGATCCAATATGGCTAAGGCCTCTTCCTCGGCAATTCCTAATAGCTGCGACATGGAAAACGCACTCAGTGGCTCAAATGCCACAGCGATTGTGGCAACCACTTGGCGATAGTTCTCCGCTATATGTGGAGGAACTCCAGATGAGTCGAATATATAGGCACGGCGAAGTATGCGCAGGTACTCCAAATTGACATCAACAGGGGCATTGATGAGGTCACGGAAGTATTTGAACTCGGATTGAAGGGTTGCACCACGACGAGTTCGAATGGAGACATCCCGGACTCGGATTGAGGCAATAATCGGCAGTCCACGACATGCTAAGACAAATGCATCGACATCTTCTTCTGATGGTTTCCAAGAAGACTTATCGATGCAACCCTGGAGGCCTTCCTCCACCATGTGGCGGATAGTGTTGTACTTCTCTTCCTCAGTGACAATGTCCACATCTTCATATGGGATGACAAGACCCTGAGCCCGAGCTCCAACCCAAGCCGACACGACAGATGACTCTGGCCGACAGCTCACCAACACGGCAAATGTGGCCGGCAGCTCACCAAGGATAAGTACTAGCTTCATTAAGGACTCAAGTTCCTCCTGATCCCCACACTCGTCCAGTCCATCCAAGATGATGACGGAGCGCCCCTCACCCAAAGATAAGAGTTTTTGCATGGGATCAATAATCCAAGCTCTCATTTGCTTCTCCAGAGTGAAACCGTGGAGACCCTTCAGTGCTGAGGGCTGTCGAAGTCGACTGACAAGAAGACCCTCATACTCAGCGTTAAACAAGGCAAGCTGGCATGCAAGAGTAGAGGGAAAGTGTTCAATCGAATCAAGTCCCTCTCCCTTCCGATTTTTGTCCCAGAAGAAAGACGCCGCCAAGCAACCCTGTTCATCGAGAGCTGAGGCGACACTCATCGATATAGCAGTCTTTCCAGTACCCGGAGAACCACGAAGCCAAACAAATCTGTGCTCCCGTTTCTCCAGATGATCGAGTATCGATTCCTGAATCTGGACGCGCGTGTTTTCCAGGCATTCCGACTTGCTTTTCACTGCAAAGTATTCCGCCTTGGCTTTGTAGAGTTTCGAGAGTTCGCCTGAAATATCATTAATTTCCAAGCAGTGAAATTAGGGGACAGCAACGAACGGTCCACCGATGACTGAATTGTGTGGAGGAGATTCAAAGTCGTTGCAGCGGTCTGTGAGGTATACCCCAAGTCAGACATCAGACACTCTGAACACGAAACGAAACGAACCGTAAAGCGGGAGACAGCATCACGGATACAGGACTTCACAGCGCTTATTTCCTGGGTTATCTCAGTCGCTAAAATTACCCTCTTGGCAAGCTTTTGACGTTTGAGTGCCTCAATTTGCTTTAATTGTTGTTCTAGAGCACTGTGACCGAGAGTCGAGATTTGAGCAAGGGGACAATGGAGTGAATGCACATACAAGTTAAATCGTTGAATCAGATCACCTATTTCAGGAGGAACTTTGCCAGTCCACAACTGGAGAGGCCTCAAGATCGTTTCATGAGCGTCTCGGACTTCATCGTCTAATCCCTTGAGATTTTCGTCATTGTTGTCGATGGTCTGTATAAAACTGTGAGGTTACATCATTAAATCGCAAAATCGCGACGCCCTGCGAACCTCATAAACTTGGAGCCACGATAGGAGTATATTTGGTATTTGATCGAGATTCGGAATGGGGGCTAACTTAAGAGTAGAGGCGGCGGTTTGGAGGATGAGCCTTGTGGCGGCGATGATTGTTTTCTTCCCGTCACCAGCAGGGACAACTGAAGAAGAAGGTGTTCGATCTATTGACGACGGGGTATCTGATTCAACGCCTATGTGTCCTAGTGGTGGGTGGGGAGTCCCAGTGTTTCCATGGACGATGCGCTCGCTGGGCATCATGTGAGAGATATCGGTCCCCCCTTCAGGGAGAATGCGAGATGGCGAAAGATCAAGGGATGGCGGATTGGGCGTAGAAGGGTCAGATTGTTTGGGATCGGGACTGGGGCTTCTGCTCAACAGCTTAGCTATAGAGTGCCGAACAGACCACCACTGCTTCCGGCCTCGAGAACTACCGCCAGTAGTAAGAGGCTTAAGACGGGATCCATCAGATCCACCGTGATCTGTGCTAGTTGTTGCATCGCTTTCAGTTGGAGAGGTAGTGATCTGGAGGTCAGGAACAAGGCTCGAGGGTCGCGGTGGGCCACCAGGAGGCGTAGAAGATTGTCCCCTTTTAAAAAAAATTCAGTCGATCAGACATCGTGTATCAGCAATCGTGGAGGGTTGAGCTACCTCAGCCACACGACATATAAGGCAGTACGGTCCTAACCACTGCCAAAGCGGGACAACAAATATTGAAGCACCCTTCTGTCAGCGACGGAATGTTAACTACGCTACCTAGGGCCGATAACGGAATCCAAAAAAACTACTTGTGTTTACTTGAGTATTTTGCAAGCGATTTTTTGACATGATCTCCGTCGTTGACAGTTATTTGGTTCGACCACCATTCCTATCCTATTAACATCAGAGTCTCGTCTGGTGTATGCTTCTTCAACTTGGTTGCTTTGATTCCGATGCTCTGGGTCGTGCAAGGACTGCTTTAAATGGCTTCCTCGCTCCTTGTATAAGGATCCAAGTTATTGATGGTGGGCTGTGTCTGACTGGATGTCTTTGTGTGACGCCGACACAAACTTGGACGAGATTTCAGCAGCAATCACTTACCAGGCATCCACTATTTTGTCGGGTTACTGGCCAGTAATAGCACTGATGCGCAAAAATACTTCAATCTTGCGCTTCAAGACTCTATTACTGTCGGACTCCTCTCCATAATGTCCGCTTTTAACTCCACCTCGCACCTGCCCAAGTAGCGAGGGTATCCTATTTCACTGTCGTTCTAAAACATGGAACACCTAGTCTTCCCTCCTTGAGAATGGGTGAGTGGAAGATGTTATTTAATACTTCGAGTGATGACGAAGTCCCATTCGTACAGGATATCTCGATCAGGCTCCGCGCTCTCAGACAGCAATCAGCGCACCACAATGGACTTCTTGTCAGCCCCTCCCCTACCTATAAATTGTGCTTCGTCGATTCCCCCTGTCTCTGCTGCTCATTCGGAGTCCTGTCACTCCAGTGTCTCCGCGTGATGCGCCACCATAACTCCATCAGGTTGTTGCTCTTTAACACGCTAAACGTTCGTCTATCACTTCCTGTCACTACTTCTCCCTCAGAGCCAACTCGAAAGCGTCCTGCAATGTTCAAAAGGTGATTTGTCTCCTCTTCTTTCCGCCACCCCACTCTGCTTCCAACCTGGTGGGGAGAATGTTTGGTACTCCTTTCTATTACTATGTATCTGAATCTGTCGAACATCGCCGGCAAGGTGAAAGGCATTTGGTCTTACAGAGGGGTCAAATAAACGAAAGGCAATCTGTTCGGAATGGGGCTCCTCGTGTTCGCAAGCACCCTCGGTCTTCTGACAAGATCTCTGCCAGTATCGTAGGAGCAATGTTTATCGATGGGCCACAGGTGGATGAAATCTCGATGGATATGTAATCCTTGTTCGGGGTGGTGGCGCTTTGCCGTTTGACTTCAGAGCTAGTTCCCCTTCACCTGCATTCACAACTAACTCGTTATTGTTAATATTATAAAATGTCAAGCACAATGAGGTACAAATCGGAGGACAATGTATAACGTAGTGACAGAAAAACGCTCGAGCTAGGCGACTAACAAGTGAAGAAGGAATTGCAATGACTGCGGCCATCCTAAACGACTTGCCAGTTTCGACGACAATTGGAGTCGTGATCCGGTCTTGGAGCAGAAGTGGGGTCCCATCCTTGCTCGACCGGAGGTGATAGTGATTCGTGATTCGTGGCATCAAACAGCACTCGATCACCATGCGAGGCCCCTAGATGGTTCACGGAACCCACCCTGAAGTTAACCAGCGGGTACCGCAGTGATGGAGACAGCGGACTCTGTTCTGCCGTCAACTATATTGGTGGCCCTTCGCTTATGTTTCCCATCCAGAGCAATGGGGTCCTCTCCGCAACGCTGAGGTCTTCGTGCGTGCTTGGTGGGAGAGATGCGGGAAAAGATATGAGCAAGTGGTGGGAACTGTGGGATCCATAATCCAAGAACTGACGTTCGTAACGCTGTAAGGGGCAATGGACTCGCTTGACTCGGTCGACTAGGTGAAAGTGCTGACTCCATCGAAAGACTTAAAAATACCGTACTCCTGGAGGAAACCCAGGCACGCGACGACGAGGAATGGGTAAGGGTGGAAGGGTGGAGTGGAAGGGTCAGAAGGAGAAAGGAGGGGCTTGAACGTGCGGGTCATCGGTATGAGCGTCATGTCATTATACCAAGGCCCACGGGGACCATACCATAGTTAGGAGTGACAACGACCGCGGACGTCCTAGACGACTTAACTAATATCGACAACAATTGGAGCCGTCAGCCCACCTTGGAGCCCCATCCTTGCTGGATTGAAGGTACAGATTCGTAGCATCGAACGGCACTCGATCACCATGCCAAGCTCTCAGACGGTTGTCGCCACGCACCCTAAGATCACCGCAGCAGAGAATTCCGTTCTGCAGTTGGACCATATTGGTAGCTCACTCACGTTTCCGGTGCACAATAGCGGGATTCTTCCGGCAACAGGTGAATAGACACTGAGGTCTTCGTGCATGCTTGGTCCAGGACCCATCTAGGTGATGCTCTGCGTCCACTTCGGAATGATGCATGTTTATCGCGTGTGCTTCAGCCAAGGGAATGAGTCGAGTAAATGGGATCAGGGATATATGAGATACGAACTCTGAAAATGAAAAGGTCGGGACAGTGGAAACGAGGAGCTGAACGTGCGTGTCGTCTGAAACCAATGTAATCCACGGTAACGACACAGTGGCTGCCATGAGAAGATTCAATGGGGGGTGGATCGAGCTGGAATCAGGGAAATGGTGCGTTGGTGAGTTCGATGATACCGTTACCAAAACCGAGGGCTACATAATGACCATAGGGGGAGAAGTGCCACACATGTATGATGTCACAACACTGTTGCGATGATTGAATTGGGCATCGTAATTGGCCATCTGTCAACCTTCTTTGGCAACTTTGCTTCCATGACCGTTCGAGCATTGAGTAAATTCTCACTCAACGGGATTTTTGTGTCCAGAATTGAAAATGGCGAAGACTCGGACCAAATCGGAGGGGTGGCCGTACAGTTCGTAAGAAGGTGATAGGGTTGGGGGAAGCAAGCGACGATTCGGTAGTTGAAGATGACTGTTCCGAAATTGGAATTATGCGCGATTCTTCTTGAGCTTCTCTCGGAGCTTGAATGAATCGCAATTCTATCAGAAAATGACATCAGCATCGTTAAAATACGCGCGATATCAATAGGTTCCATGTAAATGTACGAAATTCTGCAGGTATTATGTACATGAGCCAGAAACATTGTTGCCCAATTTCGCACAAGGAAGGCTTTCTTTCATTTCCTAAATCAGGACTAGTGGTTGGGCATTAACCCAGCTCACCATTATCGAGAAATGGAAGGAGCGCGCCGCCAAGTGTTTCAATAAATGTCGACGAGGACGAGTATATCGAAGATGCTGGGGGTGATAAAGTTCTCTCTCCGTAAAATCGTCCCATTTTCGTTTGTCTCCTAAAGGGAGAAGAACGGCAGGCTCCCCAAACACATCCCGCTCACAACTGTTATTGAAAAATCGGAGAAGCCGTGGTCCGAGGAAATACTTATTCACATCCTTGATAAAGAATACTTTGTCATTCTCGTTTACCAATCAGATCCTCCGCAATGAACTCTTTCGTCGTTGCATGATAGAATTTGACACCCTTTGGGTCCTCTGAGGAAGTTTGCGAGGAACGTTCCAAGCCACTTTCTTCAGAGAAACCAACAATAGAGCTAATTGGATCTAATATAGCTAAAAGCTGAACCCCTTTAAGGCGCAGAGGTAGGCAGGGTTCCAACCTCTATGACTTCGTAATAAGCAGAGGTGCTGATCGATTACTGATAATTACCGATACTGTAGCCATGCCGTTGCTGTTCGGTCCTCATCTGGACCTGGATGATCTTCTCACACACACTATTCAAATGAATAACCAGGGCTCGCCTGAAAACTAGAGAAGAGGTCCACAAAACCGAAGAGGACCCCTACTTCTAGATTTACTGTTGAAATATAAGTATCTGCACTTTCCCCCCTCTTCCACCTCTTTCTCGTCTTCATCTCCAATGCCTATTCACACACACTCACCCACACGCACTCGCTACTAACCAGTCTTATTATTACAGCACCATGGTTTCTGCTACTTTCCTCACTGTCCTCGCTGCACCTTCCGTTCAGGCTGCGAGACACTCCCGCTGTAACGAAAGCTACCACTCCTCTCAACGCGACTAATGACGCTAAAGTAAGAATTATTACAGCGAAGTGCAAAAAAATCTGCCGGTTTCGATTTTGACGGAAGTGATCTGGGGTGGAGTCACCCACTACCAAAACCAGGATTTGAATGGAAACCCCAATGGCACCGTAGAACTCCCCCTAAATGTGGCGCTTAGCGCCCAAACTCATTGCCCCAGCATCAACAAACCGTGAACTCTGTCTAGCTAGCATGGGAAAACATCTTGACCGCAGCACGAAGGACATCTTGGTGTCATTATCTTCAAGGATGACCCAACAAGAGATTGCTGAGGCCTCGGGAGTGTCCGAACGCACTGTTCGGAAGTTGCTCACTGCTCCATATGCACACCATCAGGATCGAGTTGAAACAAGAGGGCGACATCGAGCGCTTAGTATCCATGCAGTGAATGTAAGTACAAAAATCGCGTCTAAATAGAACTTGTGGTGTATGATCTCAAGTTCCTTGACAGCCTCATCGAACAAAAGCCGGATTTGTACCTTGACGAATTACAGGCTGGGCTTAGAAATGAGCTTGGGATTGAAACAAGCACTTGGACGGTTTCCAGAGCGCTACATAGGCGCGGTCTCACCAGAAAGAAGGTTTATCTTCCGACTCCCAACTGCCTTTCAAACCCTGATAAGTGCCCGTTTACTAGATCCAGAGGCCAGCAGCTGAGCATGATGAACAGCTCCGAGCAGATTTCAGGAGGCATATGAGGGCGACTTACAATGCTAGTCAACTTGTTTTTGTGGATGAGACAGGGGTCAACCATCATACATCATCGCATACATATGGCTGGGCCCCTTGTGGAGATAGGGCTCGCCGATGTGATTTCTTTGTCCGTGGCACTAAGTTTGTACTGAGCATTTAATTGGTAACCACAATATTCAATTTTTACTCTTCAGGTACTCCGTTCTTCCTGCCCTGTCGGTCAATGGAATCATTCACGTCGATATACAAAAAAACGCATATACCACTGAATCATTCAACGACTTCATTGCTTCCCTTCTCATTCACATGAACCCATATCCCCAGCCCCAATCTGTCCTTGTTATGGACAATGCGTCCATTCATAAATCCGATACCTTGCTAGAGATGTGTCATGAGCGGTGCGCGTTGTAGGAGAAATAACGGCCACACTATGGAAACCCATTATGAAAATATGCCAGATAAATCACAAAACCTCATACGACAAGTAGATATGAGAACATAGAAGGACCTGAATTTTAACGAATTTTACGAATTTTTACGAATTATTATGACTATACACGATAAATCGAAAGAAAGAAAAATAACAAAAATACTTCAAGCTTACCATCAACGAGACGGAATTCTCGGGGGAATTTATAGCAAATATTAAACCAAGAATTAGGACAATCGACCAAGATTTGACTATAAAAATAATCAGAGAACCTCCACGGAAACTACTTTCCCACGTCCGCACACATAGCAAGGATGGAAGTACCACGGAACAAAGATTCCTCAGGAACTAATGCAAAAGTCAAAGTCGTGTTTATAATAGGAAATGTAGATGTCACCCAAACGGAACCAATGAGAGTAATTATAGGGGAAACTACCCATAAACGACGGAGATATGACTAAAACTCCTGCAAAACGAGGACAATGTCTAAAAAGCAAGCGCGAAGATTAACTAGTAACGACCGAGACAAGCTTGATAGCCCATTAGAAAGGAAAGGATCTACTCTTAATCCTCCCAAATTTCCATAATAAAAGGATCATGTGTTAATGAGAAATCCAATAATGGGAATAGCGACATCAAAAGTCCGAGCTCAGGGACAAGACGATGATTGCGTAGGATCCATAATTAAAACATACAACGAAATTTACACGGAAATTATGAAAAATAGGAAACTATAGTTATGCAAATTCTCAGCCCAAACGGTCCAGCCGTTGTGAAGTTATACCCATGACGGGAATATAGGAATCCGCATCATGTGTAATGACACGTGAGGGTGGCGATGCACAGGGAACCGGCCGTCGGAACCGAGATCCGCACTTCGGCAGATCGCGAAGACCAATTTCCGTCCAAATAAGGAAGAGCCCGGTCAAAACAAAGCACGAAAAGTGCAAAACAACCTTAGATCATGAGGGAAAAATCTGAAATAAATCACAGAAGCCCATATGAAAGAAATAAACACCCGCGCATATCATAAATCCCGAACAACTAAACGAAAATGGCTCCCGCATACGAACAACTATGGGAACGACGCACGTGATTACCGAATGTGTGCGCGAAACTTTGCTAACTCAACGAATACAGGGAAATAGGACACAACCTTAGTACCATTGGAAAGGTGGGAATAAATGGAAATTTATGATACCAAGAACGTGAGAAAACATCCAGAAATGAATGAGATACAAGGACATGAAGTTAGAAACCTGAAAACACGCGGGAAGACAGCTTCAAGAGGTCTAGAGCCCTAAATAAAATACATAAAAATATGATATCTTCGAGGACGACCTACTATAACAACGAACAATACATATGGAGGATTAGGATGTGATAATACAAAGGGGAATCAGGGAATATGAACAAAATTCACGAAAACTACTAAACTACAACGGACCATGGCGGGAATTTTAGGGAACGATGTTCTAATGAAGTAGAGAGCTATAACACATTCGTTTGAGTAATTCTTGATTACTAGCAACTTTTTCTTTCAGTTTTAAACCTGAATAATTCACTCATTTATCATTTCAGTCTCATTTTAACTAAAATGTCACTAAATAAAATTGGAATAAATCAGCTGAAGGTCTCAGCACAGTCGCACGCATAGTAATGCGAGGTTTGAATTCAGTATGACCGAGTCATAGCGAACTTAATGGGAAATATGGGGAATTTGAAATAGGGAACTGCGGCAAATGCGGTGCAGACAAATTCTAATTAACCATTAAAATAGCTTAGGCGAGGAAGGACAATAAGGATTCCAGGCGCAGTCTGACCGCAGTAGACCGCAGTTCAGCGCAGCAAAGCGCAGCGGAACTATAGCGTGAAAATTTCACTTTTTATTCAGTTTGAGAAAAATACACTGTAAATAAATCCTGTAAATAGAAGGTAGAGCGTGAAAAAGGAAGGCGACCCAAGGAGTATAAAAGGGAGACCCTTTCTGCGACCTTTCGCCCCCCTCAGAGAAGTAAGAAAATAGAGTATTATTTTTCTCAAGCATTTCTGGTTGTCACTCCAGTGCGAAAAAGTGATATACAGTTAAGATTGCCACTGTAGTAAAAGGCAGCAATTAAGGAGAGAAATATTAAGTAAATATTTCAACAGGAGAGCTGGTTAACACTCCAGATTTCAAAGTGTAAACACAAAACAGTTATTTTGCTACTGTTAAAACAAGCAATAAAATAAAGACAAAAATAAAACGAACTCAAGGGACACTCCAGACACCATCCAAATTCATTAACTGAATAGAATCTTTGAAACTTCACCAAGTAGAAGATTAAATTCAAGTTTAAATCCAAATTAAACAACGCTACACAGAATTACACCTAGACAAATTAATAAATTTCAATAAAGAAACAGCTCCGCAGGGCTCGGTTTATCTGTAAGTCAATTCCCAGGAACTTTAAAACTAACCCATAAAAATAGAATTAGCCAAAACACTCGGATTGGTACTATATTTACAATAAACAACACTAGTACACTTCCCCATCCTAACTAAAGAACCAGGGAACAGCTTGGTGGTGGTCTCGTTTGAACCTCCCAACTGACCTTCCTTCGTTCTCTCCTACAGCGTGGTTCTCAATCTAGAGGCATTTGATATACTAAGATATATTTTAGCGGTGTTGTCCTTGAATATCTCCCACCTTATTCCCCCGACTTCAACCCAATAGAGTTGGCATTCTCCACGATCAAGCAAAGCCTCCGACGGGACCGAGACTATGTCAACAATGAGTTTTCCTCTGGGTCACACTACTGAGCAGCTGAGTCACTCATAAGAGTTGTGTTCTCCGTGACAAGACGTCAAGCCGGTGGATGGTTCAGGCACTCAGGTTACATCTAAGCTGCAACGTTATTTCATTTCTTCCTATACTACATTCAAACAAAACCTATGTACATTATACTTGCATGCGTAGAATATACAGGGCAAGTGAAGACATTACGCAAGTGAGGGACTAGTGATATACAGTGAGTAGACATCCATAGGATGAATTCATACAGAAAACTCATCATCCGTGGGGGCTTGTATAGTACAACAGAATTGCTAGAGAAATTACCAGATTTCCTCCCACGGATCATTGGCCAGTTCATCTTGAGCAGTCTCACCATCATATTCATCATTATCGTTAGATGCGTGGTCGGAGTCAGGACCAATGTGTGCCACTGGTGGCGAGGGTAACGCAATGCACTCCTCGGGAGTGCTTGAATCGGAGGATATTTCAATAATGGAAGGAGATGGAGGCAATGCGGGCTTGTTCTCATGTTGCACACAAGTAGTAAAATGCCAAAACGTCAATTTTTTCCCTGAGAGTTTGTCTGGGTTTGAGAGATGTGGGTGTGCTGTGAAGTCGAAGCATGTTTGACTGGACTTGGAGTTGCTGGGACTAGGACCACGGGTTTATTCTCTGAAGTGGTGATTGAGCGCGGGACTTGGACTTGACAGTCACCCACGGACTGTTTGGTATTCTGGAAGTCCTTTGAGAGTGCTCATATATTGCGAGTAGCTTCCAAATGGGCCTTCCTGCGCTTGGCTGGCATCTGAGTCGGAGAAGGAGGAGAAGTTGATCGGTCACGCTTCCAGGTATGGGGATCATCCAATTGCGTGAGAGGTTTGAGAGGTGAAGCACTAAATAAACGACTCTTGGGTGGCTCAACAAAGGAGACTCCTTTAACCCCATCGGCCTATGGGATCATCAGCTTTAGAAAGTGAAAGCGTGAGTGAGATGGACTTGGACATACCAATGCTTTCGCCCAAAGGGCAAGGGCCTCATTTGTGACATGCAAATGGTGGAAATTAGCATCAGGATGGCGGTAACAGCATCGCCCACAACCATGACAGAAGAGTCTCTTGTGAAGTTCATCATAAATTACTCGATGCATGGATGAAGTGTTGTCAACAGATGGGGTTTTGGCTCTACGGCGCTTCTTGATTGCCATAGGTCGAAGCTCTTTTTTGATGGCATCCTAGATAGACCCCAACACTTAAGACTCATGTGGGTAGCACAGTGGACCACAAACCTTATTAACAATTCGTAGTTTCTTTGATTTGTATGCACGAGATTGAATATCACGCTGCACATGAATAGCGCGAGTGAAATCATCCACATTGCGGATCTGAGTGAAGATGGATTCCTTCTCATCGGATAAACGATATCCGATCTGGTGCGTGGAGAGGTCCACCTTCATCCTAATGAGAATTCCATTGAGAACCTCTTCTGGTGATTGGGACTTCGAGTCTGGAAAGTAGACGGTTTCGTTCTGTTTCTTCGGATCCATCGTGTTCAACATGAATTGATACTCAAATTCTGATCAGAAGTATCTCGGTGAGGTCCAAAGAAGTAATAAAACATTGGGACATACCTTTCGTACCTTTCTCATTGGATTTCTCTTTGTCTTTTCCTTTGACCTGCCTGTTCCCCGACTTAGCCCCTAAGACTGATGCCTGAGCTGGCCCTGCTGCGGCAACCTGAGTTTGGGGTGTACTAGGCAGAGTGTATACGGGCGCAGGATTGAGCATGGCAATGGGTCCCCATTGACCCAGGTAGAGGGGAACATTGACCTGGGTGGACGGAGTGGGTGCAGACACAGGAGGTGGATTGGTAGTGGGCAGGTGAGGTTCCAAGGAATATGGGAAGTGGCCATTGCGCTTCGCAGTAAGATATGTCTGAACATGGGTGCGAACAGGATCGTCAAGTGGTTTCTCTTCCCCTTGTGACAAATACCAGCGTCATTGGTAAAGACCAGATCAGGAAATCAGACTTGCAATTCTTGGGGATCTTCACTGACATCTCGCTGGCATTGTCGCCACCATCTGTGAGAACATTTGAAACTGTGTCTGAATCATCTGGAAGGTAGTTGAGATGTCCATTTTCGATAAAATGATAGACCACTTCACGACGGCTCTTTGGCAATGGCTTTTCCTCAGCCAGACCTAGAAGATAGGCCATGTTCCAAGTGCGTCGCTGGTTGTTAGATACTGATCTGGGGTCGGGCACCGAAGGTCGCCGATGCGGACCGCTAAGGGCCGCGATGGCCACGATGCCTCAGACAAGGCCCGAGGGTAGGGCATTTGGCCTCAGCAACTCTAAAGGGAGTGCTGTGCCCCCTAGTTGTCTCTTGGCCCTCATTTCAGACTCACTGGGGTTGCCTTGTTGGGGTCAGGGCTTGGGGTCGTGGTCAAGTCGATATTAGAGCTAAGGTACAATAAAGTATCATACAGGATATATATAGGAAGAAGAAATGAATGGAAGCGGACCCGGGCCGGAGGCCGAAGGGTCCGGAAGCAAACAAGAAGAAGGAGCGGAGTTGGCCGCATAGCGGCCGGCAATGACCGAGGGTCAAAACAAACAATAATAGATAAATAAAGGAAAGAGCATAGGGCCGCGATGGTATCGTAGCGGCACTGGACTCGGAGTTGGGCCGGAGTCGGGCACGGGGATGATAGCGGCCCTGTAGGGGCCAAGTGGGCGGGGTAGGGGAGTCACGCTGGGCACGGTGCCAGAGGCGGACTCAGGGTGGGGAGGTTGGTGCAGCAGCGGGGGAGTCGGCCAAGTGTAGGGGAGCCTAGGGGCAAGCGGGGAAGTGAGCAGGGAGTCCTCAGGGAGGATAGGGCTGAGGTTGGGGCTCGCGCTCACGCTCGCATAGCGGGAACGGGCTCAGGCGGCATCGGGGCGGGCGGCTAACGGGCCGGAATGCACGGCCGTGACACTGGTCTTTGTTCTTTATGAAATATTCTCTATCAAGTTGTTTGCTGTCGGACATCGTGGCTGAGAGTGGCAGCAAGAGGTAACCTCTAGCCCTACAGTCATTCCGCACATCCTATATACCGCGATGGGCACCATTGAACCCCACAACACTCAACGTCATTGTCATAAACTGATCTGAGGGTTGCTGCCCTTGCCGTGATTGCCGAGGGTGAAGACCCCAGTGCTTGAGCTGTTGATCCAAATAAGGAAATCCCTGTTGTGAGCCATGATCTTGCCAACTTTTTAGGTAGAGGATTCACCTGCCCCACTTACCCGTTCGAATCGAAACCGGCAGATTTTTTTGCACTTCGCTGTAAACCCCAACACGCCTCTTCTATGTTCGATTGCGCGTTTTGATGCGTCATCCCTCCCTGATGCCCTTGGTGTCACTGATGAACCGTCTTGTTTGACTATTTGTCCAAATTGCCCAGGATATTTTTAACTTAGCAACAGCTTGTAAGTCGCAACCCTTTCCTACGCTTCGCTATTCCAAAACTTGTCTATCTTTGCCCCTCTCTCCTCAATATTAGAGCCGGTGCATTCAGCTATGGGTCCCAGATGCTTTCGCTTATAATTTTCGCAGTTTCTTCACCACTAATGATTTCGTCGTACTCTCCTTCAGCGTCGACGTAATGTCACCTCGCTCGATGTCACTGGATCAGACGCTTCTGTCAACGTAGGTAAACCTCTCTATCAGATATTCTATTCTGCCCTTTGCTGCAAGGTTGGCTGAATCCTCATATCTCAGGTGGACCCAAGCATCCAGCCAGCCTAGCCAATAAGCCTCAGAGTGGTGCTGCCGACAGCTTCCATGTATGTTGGTTCTGCACTCCCACCCTGTGTGTCTGATCCCGTATCTTAGGCCAACCTTGATGCCGCGGTTGGAGCCTCCACCACCACTGTAGGTCTTACACTTTCAGTGCTCCTCGACCGTTAATAACCTACCGTCATAAACCAGGTACTCTCTGCTGGACGTATTGCGGCTGCTGATGACGTCAAATCTACTCTACTCTGCAATCGTCTTTCTTCCCCTGATCCCCCTTTGTAGGTTGCGGTTGAAGGGGTCTTGCGCCCCGAAACGGTATGGATTCCAGGCTCTTTTCCTCGTGGTGGCGGTAATAGGCATTAGTACTATTCGTGTTACCACTGGTCGGGATGGTGCCACGGTAAGACCTTTCGGCGACTTTCAATTTGACGTGAAGACCGCAGACCCCTGCAACTGGCGCTACCGCTAGGCTCAATGGTACAGCATCGAGGGATTGCTGTGGACCGACTCCAGGTGCCAGAGTTTGAATCAGTATTCACTTCCGTTGACCGCTTTGGGCCAGGTCAGTGCTTGTCTTGGTACTAACTGCACTAAACAAACCCTATTCCGAGCACGTTCTACAATACACAAGCGCTGTAATGGTAATTAATAATTTTAGTTTGGTAATTGGGTTGGGTTGGGGAATAACAGGGAGGGGACGATGAGACTGCACGCAATGAATATTTATTACATAATAACGTCACATGTAGGCAATGGTCGTTGGCTGGTTTCTAAATCAATTCCCATCATTTTTTTGTTTGGCCATGATCACGTGTATATTTCCTTTTGCACTCATCTCAGAGGGGTTTTGTAGGTTTTCTCGCAAGAAATATGGTCCGACGGACTCAATGGACGGTCCACAGCATACCAAGAAAAAAGAGATTTCAACAGGAGAAGCGCCGCAAATGTATGATGTCACAGTACCATTGCGAACATCGGGATCACTGAATTGGGCTTCGTAATTGGTCGCTGCACCTCAGCACACTCCATCTATCAACAACCTTTGGCAACTTTGGTTCCATGACCATTCGGGTATTGAGTAAATTCTCACTCAGCGGGATTTGTGTGTCCAGAATCAGAGAGACCGATAGCCATACAGAAGGCAATGAGAATGGGGTGAAAGGAAACAACTGATTGATAAAGGTTCGGTAGTTGAAGATGACTGTTCCGAAATTGGAATTATGCGCGAATCTTCTTGAGCTTCTCTCGGAGCTTGAATGAATAGCAGACTCGTACCCAGTTGGAGGAGCTCTGTGGATGCGCAAAATAATAGCTTTTTTACACAATGTTCTCACATTCTGTATTCAATGCAAAAGATCACATGGTACGGAGTTAAACACATAGCCGATCACCTACTCCGGAAATTTGGATGTGACACTTCACTCCTCCGACTGGGGCAAAATGTAGTATGGCTGTGCTCTGGCACTGTCCGGCATCTGTCTTCCCACGGCAGACAAGTTCGCTTCAAGGCTCTAATCATCACACCCCTCCCCAAGCCATCACAGAAAAAATCCAAAACAGATGTAGTACAGTTCTCCAATAAACCGTTGCAATGTTTTGCACTTTTGACTTCATGACCTTATAGCATGATGAAGATGTATTCTAAAATTTCAAAAAAATATTCGAAACATGTAATAGTATCCCATTTAGATATGTACCAATTATGTAAGCAATATGTCCCTTTTTGGTAATGTTATGTAATTTACAAACCACCCAGGTCATTGCAACGGTTTATTGGAGTACATTTTTGGGAAGGGAAAATGGCATTAATTAATACTTTGTATAGCCACCTTTTGCTCTAACCACTGCCTCAATCCTCCTAGGCATACTCTCAATCAGATTCTGGCAAATACTTGGATCTATCCTATCCCACTCCTCCTGGAAGCGATCCCACAGCTCCTGAACACTACTTGGAGGTTCTTCATATTCCCCAAGCTTCCTCTTCACATGATTCCAGAGATGCTCGATTGGATTGAGGTCTGGAGACTGTGAGGGCCACTTCATGACCTCAATACAGTGGTTATTGAACCAGTTTTGGGCCTTTTTGCTGGTGTGTTTGGGGTCATTGTCCTGTTGGAAGAGGACATGGGCTGGGTTTTTGTGATAATATGATATGGTTTCCTGTAGTTCCTCATCCAGAATTTGGCAGTACAGGTCCCCATCCATCTTCCCATCAATCTTGCATGCCATTCCAACCCCATCCCAGGTCATACAACCCCATACCATGATGGAACCTCCACCAAACTTTTTTGTGCCTTGCACCAACCTGTCAGTGAGAGGCTCCCCCACCCGCTTCCACACCCATTTCCTCCCATCTGAGCCCAGACGATTCACCTTAGTCTCATCAGACCATACAACTCTTTTCCAGTCCTCTAAAGTCCACTCCTTGTGGCTGAGGGCAAAATCCATCCTGTCCCTCTTGTGACGCCTGGTGAGCATAGGCCTTTTTTTCTTCACCACTGCTTTCCAACCAGCTTTTTTGAGCCCTTTACGTACAGTCTCAATGGAGAGGGATGTGTCATTGATGTTTCGGAGTATTCGGGTGACTTGGGATGAGTTGTCAGCCTTCCCAGAGTTGATGAGATGACAAGCATTGTCAGAGACCAGATTCGAGACGAAAGAATGTCTCCGTAACGGAGGGCTTCGGCCTCAGCGACTTCTGCCAAGAGCGCTGTGCCTAGTGACACGTCCGTGCCCTAACTTACTGACTGGCAATTAGAACCTAGGGGGGTAACTCTAGTTGATTTTTCTACTGGGGCGTAACCTATGTACAAGTGGGATATATATATGGTTACAGCGGAGACGGTTCCGCAATTGGTGGAGCCGAACGGAGCGGAGCTAACGGGGTTTAAACATTAGCCGACTGAATATTACTGATGAGTCGGTTCACGGGGTTAGCGGAAAGGCAGGCGATAACCCAGAAACGGAAAGGAGGGATAGGCCCGAAGGTGGGCTCTGCAGGGCAGGTGAGTGTATTGCCCAGCGGAGGCGGGGGTGCGCTAGCGGACGTCGGAGCTGTCCGGAAGTCTTCGGGGCTCCGTACTTAGGGAGGCGTAGGTAATAAATTGAAATGAGGGGGTGGTGACCATCGAGGGGCGCCGAGAGGATTGCAGAATACGGGGGCTCCGAGGTTAGTGAGGGAGGAGCGGAGTTGGAACGGAGGGATCGGAGGGACCAGAAGTCGATGGCCGGGGATGGATATGACAAGCATGGTGAATATCAGTGTCAGAAAGCTTGGATGGACGACCACCACTGGGCTTGGGAACATCAGAACGGTGTTTAGACCATAGGCGAGTGACAGTGGAGTAATGGTGGCCAGTAAGAACTGAGATTTGGCAAGCACTATGGCCAGAATCAATGAGGGAAAGGATTTGTTCAACTTTTGAAGTGGCTAAAGGGTGCATTTCGGATTTGGGGCTTTATCATGTGAAGTCCTTCAGTATTTATGCTTTATTAATGTCATTTTGTTTACTAGTGTGTACAGTAAACAATATCACATGACATGTCACATGATATTCCTATTTTCTGTTCAGCCTGGGGGTACTCCAATAAACCGTTGCAATGACCTGGGTAGTTTATAAATTACATAACATTACCAAAAATGGAAATATTGCTTACATAATTGGCAGATCTTTAGACGAGATACTTTTCCATGTTCTGAATATTTTTTTGAAATTTTCAAATACATTTTCATTGTGCTATAAGGTCATGAGTTGAAAAGTGAAAAACATTGCAACGGTTTATTGGAGAACTGTAGTTACCCCCACCCAAAATTAACCCAGCCCAGCCCAGCCCAACCCGATTCATCTGCTTCTTGCCCATATGTGCTAAAATTATGTTGGAATCTTGTATTACATGCTCAAAATAATATTTTTTTTCACCTCATTGGCCAATTTCTTGGGGTGAAGATACTGTAGTGATCAACACCAGAGGATTGGACTATGATTAGGTAGTTCTAAGGTAGACAACTTACACAAGTAATCACTATGTTGGAAATTGCCGGATGTGGCAGTGCAGGTCATGAGCAGCAAACATTTCTCATGGTTGGTGCATCATGTACAAACTTGTAGGTATTATGTTATAAAAATGGGACCTAATTGGCTCATTTCTATAGTGTTCAGGTGCAGGAGGACATTGAGAAGGTGTTACAGTTAATGTAACAGATGTTATAACAGTGGTGTTTACAGTAACATTGACATCAGGTGTTTTGGGTGACTATTTACATGTCACATGATATTGTACTGCATAGAGCCCATAAGAGGCTAAAAATGGGAAAATCCCATTTCCATAACATATTAATTCTTAAATAATCATCTTTGGTTTAATTATTTCACCTTCTTCTTGGAATAGTCACCCAAATTATTTGCACAACAGCGCTTTTTGTGTGGAGGCATGCTGGGCACACTTTGGGGGGAAAAGGGCAGTGAGGTGCTGGTTTCCTTTTGTGGTATTGGCAAATCCTGCAATTCATTTCTATTTCTTCACAGCGGTGTTCTCATATTTTCAAAACCACAAAACTAAGGCCAAGGGCAGGAGGAGGGTCAATTTAAGCATCATGAGATATTTTCCATTTCATTTAATAATAACTATAGATATTAAGATTTGGTCCCCTAGAACTAATTAAAAGCATTGTATTTCGCAACTTTCAGGCTCTACATTCACATCCAGAACATTGTGGAAGGAATGAGCCATGATGTGGATTTTGCAATGAATTGCTTCTGGATAGTGATAACTTGTGTAAGTTGTCTACCTTACCATGTTTTTCCCTTGACTGGGCTCAATAATGACAAAGTGCTGAGTGCACAATACAAGATTCCAACATAATTTTAGCACATATGGGCAAGAAGCAGATGAATCAGGTTGGATTGGGCTGGTGAAGGGTGTCTTACTTGTTTTGGGATGGTACGTTGTAGGAGTGCATAATGGGTGTGCTCAAATTCATGGAACCTTATGCAGCAAATACATCAAAATTGGGCTCCTGCCCTTGTACATTATTAGGAAAAAGAAAGAATGATAGAGGGGAGTAATAAGAAAGAAGAAAGAGGGTTTTCGTACGAACCGAAAGAGCCTTTCCGCGAAGGAATTGGTTGAGATTTGGTGGAGAAATTCAACCTGAGATGTCCTCATGAACAAAGTCCGTGCACTTGACCGCGACCATGAGAACAAGGTCAAAAGCTGATGGAAGAGGACGATCTTGGGGTCATTAAATCGAGAAAAAAGCCCAAATACCCAGCGTTGAATTTCACCCTAATCGGTTCAGTGGTTGTGGAGATATTCTGATTATCAGGCATGACAGGAGTCATGGGACAATATGGACTATGTGGATGCTCATGTGCGAGCTAGTCTCAGTGAAATTCCAGAAGAATATGGGCCAGTTAAATGATACAAATG